ACAAGTACCAGCAAAAAGGGTGCCTCCAACGTTCTTTTGCCATGGAATTCTACTGAACGATTGGGCTAAATATTGCATGAAGCCACCTCCAGTGTTCTGTGTTCAACCTTGGTTTTGTAGGGCATCCACCATAGGAATAATTTATTTTAAGCCAAAACAAAAAAAACCTTCCAAGCGATCAAGTGGGGATGTCCTATGGGTGATTTTCCACATGGCTTCTCGGCACAGACGTGATGTTTTTTTTTCTTCTTCGCGACACCAACTGTGAGGAACCCTGAGGATTTCGTAGTACATTCCTAGTTTCCGAGAGAGTATCATTTTGCAGGAGATCCTTGACTGCTCAAAGCTACTCTAAGCAGCGGACTTTTGTGGGATACAGAAAGAATCTGTTTCACCCCCATGAGTTATTGAACACAGCTTCAGAGGCTGGTGGTTGCCATCCATGGGTTCTTGCAGTTGTTTCTGCTGACTGGCCATGCGACCATCAGGCTATGCGCGATCGGTGATTAGGATCGGTGGTTTGGAATTTGAAGCCCCGGTTTGTTTTGAGCAAACGGGCAAACTCACATGTCCAAAGCTGGGTCCCGAACAGTGCAACTGAGCAAATGGAAAGTCATCCCTTACCTGGATGTTCAACCACTGAACAAGTAGATCATAACTTTACAACCACGGTTATAGCCTGGCTAACAGGGTTTGGTCCCCTTATAACCATGATTTTTACTTACAGCCCTACTAAGTTGTTTGAACATCCAAGCGACCTCCAAACCAGAGTCCATGTTTCCATCTTTTGATCGCAGGCGTCCACGGCAAGGATGAAGACGTTGAACGACGAGCTGAGGAGGCCCCGTCGGGCCCAAGAAGTCTATGAGGCAAACCTCGGTTTTGGAGGGAACCCCCTTTTTGGGTTGGTACCTGGAGTCTCCTTCTGACCCATTAAAAATGGGTCCATGATCCCTTTAATTTGGGCAATGACCCCATCTTTCAAGGGTCATGGAGACTCCAGGTAGTTGAAGGACACCTGCAATTTTCTGTGCCCAATTTTCAGACAATCCCTCATTGGTTTTGGAGCCCAGTGGTGTGGTTGACGAAGAAGACGATCAACTTCGGAAGTGTTCCCTGCTTCTACTTGAGTGACTGGTTGCAACTGGGGTCTCGGGCTCCCTTTTAAAGAGGAAAACCAATTCCAAGATTCGTTGCAAAACCGGGTATTTGTCTCTAGTACCATGGGTGGTTTCTCCCGGTTATCTACTCTTATAGTGGCGAAACGCTTTCAAGCACCGCCATTTCTTAGAACTCCAACGGCCTTAATTTGGGGTAGTCATGTGTCAAAAATAGGGCTCAAGCATTGGAACTGGAAACCGCCAAGCTCCAAATCACCATTGAGCAGTGCCCAACCTATTGGCTATTTGAGTAGATGGTTCTACCTGGTTTAATAGGGCTTATATGTCAATGAACGGGCGCAGCTCACGTAACACTGCCATAGTGATTTAGCCCAGACTCCGGCAGTGGCACATTACATGGATTCGCATTGGTGGGTCGTTTTGGGAAATACCCAGCTGCAAGGAACGAAGTGGCACAGGCTCCATTGAGACGCGGCGTTTTGGGTTGCTCGGGAGGTACGACCAGGAGCTTCACGAGCTCCGGGCGGAACGAAAGGACAAGGAGACCAAAGCCGCCCTCCTGAGGCTGGTCTCCACTCAGCTGGTTGCAAGTTGTTTTTGTTTCTGGATAAACATAAGCACAAATCCATTCCACATCACTACTTCTCAGAAACCCGACAGAATGATGACTCCCTGAAAATTCCCTTCCAACAAGAGTTTGCCGTGGTTTCAAAGTGGTGCAGGATTTCGTCCATCCACAGGATCCCAATCATCCTCTCCATAAAGCGCATTGAGGCTTTTTCTTCCTTGGTACCCTTTTTTAGTTTTGCTTTTTTTTGCCCGAGGGAAGCTAAAAGGAAAGTCACATTTTCCACGGTCCACCACCCTATTTTTAGACATACAAGCTGTACCTGAGCCTCAAAGTGCCAGCTTGAACATGGGTTGGATATTGCAACCTCAAATTATGGGGATTGGCGAATTCCGCCTTTCTTGCAGGTAGTTCTTTCGGGTCCGGTATCCAGTCTTGGGCATGGGGGTGATCGGCTCGATGCAATCGATCTGTTTCGGGTGCCGAGGCCTTTGCGCGTTGCCTTTGAACTAGTCCCTTCAGGCAAGCAGAACCCCTTCCCAGAATAAGCCTCCAAAGCACATGCCATCCTCAGACTAAGGAATTTGGGTGATTTCTTGCTGGACCCCCCTAACAAGAGTGGAGTTTGGGTCAGAGACAAGTTGCTAGCTTAATATACGTTTGTCACAAATATGGTTCGCCACAACCCCAAAGTCCCCTATATATACTAAATTTGGAAACTACAGTTCTAAACGTATGTTATTAAGCTAGCGACTGTTACGGGTCCCTTTGTCCTTTTCTTTTGGTAGCCAGCAAACAGCAAAGCAAGAGACCATCCAGTTTGGTTCAAGTTTCGTTGTCTGAGGATTGCATGTTTCGTTTTTCAGCTGACTTTCTTGCTGTTTGGTCTTTGTGGATGGCTGCAACACCCAGCTCTGCGTGACAGTCACCTGCAATGCTTCCGTGAAAGTAAGCAGAACACCTGGTTGATGAATAGGGGGCATGTCCCCTCTTGGTAGGGCCCGGTTCATTTCTGGAGGGGGCCGTCTCCTAATCCGGGTCAGCATTTGGCAACAAAAGCCTTCTGCGAGTCCTGGTTCAATGCCTGGGAACCCGCTGTGGACCCTCCCCTTTAAGCAGGGAAAAGTCGCATGACTTGTGGGTCCGAGGGACCAAACTAAAACAGCAAACGAATGAATCAAGTCCCTTACAACTTAGCCTCTGGGTTGCCCAGCCCGGAACAGGACCCTCAGAATATAAATAGTTGTGTCGGAATTCACAAATGATTGGGGCCCTTTTGCTTGCCCTGGAAACCAGTCCAAAAAGGCAGCCTCGAAAGAGCATAAAACCCACACATGGATATGTGTTTGGTAATGTACCCAGCTGTTTCTTGTCTGAAATCAAAACCAAAAGGAAATCCGCCATTTTGTGGGTCCCCCCTAAAGAAACAACACCCACAGGGGTTTCCCGGCCGGAAATAGTTGTTTCCCATTCGCCAGGTCCAAGGCAAACACACCTGGCCTGGAGGACCGGAAGAAGCAGGCGGATGGCGTTGTTCCCCCAGCGCTTTCCAGCCATGGCAGGTAGCCGACCCAGTCCCCAGTTGCTTTTTTATAGTGGGTATTCGATCCATTGTCAACTTTTGGTTTTGAAAGGGTGGCGCTTGCCCTTGGTTGCCTATAAAGGCAAATGAATCCACTTGGAACTAAAAAGGTTTACCCGAAACTATGAAGTAATCTACACGTATGCTTAAAATAAAATATGATGCCGGGTTAGCTGGGTTGAGGAACATCTGCTCCAACTCCGAAGGGGACTCTGGACCTGGGGAGAAGCAGTTGCAGGCAAGCAAGTTGGGTATCGGCGGGTATATCTTGTTCGAGCCCCCCCCCAAAAAAAAAAAAAACAAAAAAAAAACAAAAAAAAACAATCACAAACACAAATATACGCAGTGTCTCTTTGGTTTCTCGTGAACATAAGTCCAAAAGGCGAAACAGCCGAGCTCTCCCGTCTCTAGCCCGGACCCTTTGAGGGGAAATGTCAGGTGAATCAAGCCAACCAAGAGGAGACCAAGCAGTTGGACGGACCCTAGACTCACTTCTATGAGTTTCTGGTCTTCTACTTTTTGGGAAGATCATTTTGGTGGTAAATCACAAGTTTGGAATCAGGAAGCTGGGATCCTCGGAAAAGAGCCGTTCTTCTTAAAAGTCGGTCTCGAACCGAATTTGTCCATGCAGGACAAGTCCCACCATGATTTGCCTTTCCACTGTGGAATACATAATTAAGCAGCCCAAGTGGTACTGAAGAAACCCTGCTCCGGGAAGCTGTTCATTTCAGTCAAACTCTCAGGGGGTTTGGTTCTGCCTCTTGCTCACTCGTGCTTCGTTCCGGGGCGTTGTGTTTTTGCCCTGAATTTGCGCCGCAAACTCACCGATTCACCGATGGAGTACAACCAGCTCACCATGATGCGAGCCCTTTGCTTGGGGATTCCTTGCTTCACCCTAGTGATTCCATTTGCAAGGTAGGTATCCAAAGGAACCACCCTTCAAAAGCCAAAAGGAATAAGCTCAGGTGGTATCCCCAACAGCATTCGGTGCTCTTTTTAGTGCTCACCAGTGGAACCCTGGTGGAACCCTGGTGGAACCCTGGGGGAACCCTGGTGGAGCCCTGGTGGAACCCTGGTGGAACCCTCGTGGAACCTTACCTCAGGGCCGCCCCGGACCACCGGGAGCCTATCTGGGCTGAGAACCCCAAGCTTTCAGCTGTTGCGGGAAAAATATGAAGGGGAAATGGATAAGAAACTGGGGAAACCAACAGGAAACCCCACCCATTTTGGGGCGCCACGGCCATATGGGTGCGTCTTTTTTTGATTAATGGTTGGCTTCCACTAGTGGCTGCCTGGACAAACACACTCGAGATTGAGCGGTTGCTTGAGGCTCAGGCTCCACTGGCGCCAGCAAATTGAGTTGTGAATCTGGCAGATTTCAGGTTCCATCCAAAACTTGGGAGTTTTTTTTTTTTTAATGGAGTTTGAGGAGTGTTTCAGGGCTCCAAACCCTGGCACGGATTTTGGAAAAGGAGGTTCCACTGGACGGGCCCTCGAACCCTGGATTTGGAGGATCCACAGGTTCCAAACTCCAACTGAGCCACAATCAAAACCCGCGTAGATGAAGCTTAGTAAGGGGCAGTCCCAGCCGGAAATAGTTGCGGCCGCCTTTCTAATTCTTGAAGCATGGTTCTGGGTTCACCATTTTCGTACCGATCGGTTTTGATTGTAACTCAACTCTCGCCAGGTCCAAGAAGACATCGATCGGAACTTGGAGGAGGCGAGGGAAATGCAGGCGCGACGGGTCCCAGCGGAGTTGGCCGGGGGGTTCAGCCGCCCCAAGGGGCCCCAGAAGTGGCAAAGCAAAGCTTCCATTTGCTTTATGTTCCCCTGAAACCGTCACTATATATGTGTATTTTCTCCAGTGGGCTTGAGCTTGTGTGGCTCCTGTTTTTCCGTGTCTTGGAGTTGGTACCCTTTTGGGCTTACTTAAAAGGCTAAAAGCAAAGGGGAACACTCACTTGTTGGGGTCCCCTCTTTTTGAGACATACCCATCGTCATGGCAACCCGCATGTTGAGCCCAATAAGTTAGGTACCTGGCGTGGCGGAGACAAAGTCATCCCTTGGCAACGTAACCTGGGCTTTGGGGACAAAAGAAGTTGCTTTCAGGGTGGTCCCGCTTCCAAGAACCCTTCATAGGGACTATTCATCCCTCGGGGGCAAAACACACATGTTTAGGATCTGAGAAACATGCCAACACAAAAAATGACTTTTCCTTCTACCAACAGGGTTTTACCGGCTCATATTACCCACGGACAAACTTATCTCTTCCGCAAGAGGACGTGGGAAAATTCAGTTGCCTCCACTAGCTCTTGCGTGGAGTTGGGGTTCCCATGTCTTCCCGACACCAACGGTAGACTACAAACATGTTTGTGACTTGCTCAGATACAGGCGTCGCTGTAGCCCCCCAAACTACATTTGTTCAATTGCAATGGGTCGACTGGGCGCTTCTCATCCGATCTGATACAATTATTTTCTAAGAAAAGAGACCACTGCCCCAACGGCTAAGTTCCTTTAGCGTGGTGAAGGGTAAAAAAGGTTAACGCAGGCTTTCACAGCAGGGTAGAGCCTCGGTTGGGTTTGAAGGATGGTGGGGTGAAAAGGTCCCTGGCTTCTCCCGAGCGAGGTCATCGGGCGCCGCGTGCAGCAGGGGGAAGATGGCTACCTCTCTGTGTACGCCTCGGTGTTCTCTTTCCTCACTGCGCAAGAGAAACATATTGGGTTTGGCGTAACTGACTCCCTGAGTTCCTTCAATTTGGACCATTTTAAAAAGTTGTTTAGACGAAAAGTTCAAACTTGTTTGGCCAATGCACTCGATCCGAGGTGAGGTGCGGAGCGGGTACAATATACAAGTAGAATGTGCCGCTCTTCTCTAACCCACTCGAAAATGCCCTTAACTGGGAAAGGACCCCCGTCCCTGCTACTGGGTCAATAGATAATATGAAGTGGTATATAACCTCCAAACCTCCAAAGCAACCCGCCTCAGAAGTGGCATGCACCCATGAGAAACAACCGCACGTGTGAGTAGCTCTCAGACATATGCAGTTCCCAAAAGACGTGAGTCAAAAGCGGAGGTACGGCGAACCTCACTTGGACGCCGTAGGAAGCGATGAATCCCTCTGGTGGAGTCCCCTATGTGGGTTATGTTCCTGGTATATTCCACTTCTGGTACTTGATGTTACCCTCGAAACCGGAAACCCGCAAACGATCAACGACAACACAAACAAACCACTGAAACTACAGATTCAGGCTGGTCATGCAACGGACACCTCCCTCGCAAGGATTTTGTCCCCCGTGACAGCTTGATTTGGGTGTGTCCTTTTGGGGGGACCCCTCAAAAAGGTGGTTGTCCTGTTGGCTTCCCTGAAAACAAAGCAACCCAAACAGGGCAAGTGGGGTCTTTGGGGGGTGGGCTAGTGTAGAACCCCCCGAGGCTGTGAAGGCCGTAGTGCTTCGGTTGATTCCCGGAATAGGGGACCCCCACTAAAAACTGAGTTTCCCTTTTGGTTTCCCTTTTACACCAATCAAAACGGGTATTCATTCCATTGACGAGCCACGCACATTTCGGGTTCGTCCCCCAAACCGGCCCCGGCGCCGCGCAAACGGCTCGGAACCCGCCGTCCGAGGAGGGCCAAAGCCGAGACTCCAAGATCGCGGAGCTGACCACGAAGCTGAACGAGCTGAAGCGCCACCACCAACAGCTCCTCCAAAAGCAGAAGGAGCCCGTCGTTTTGGTGCGATAGCGAGCGAGGGAATGAACTCAGGCTTTGGTCCCCTGAGAAGGAAACCACAAAAGATGGTTGATAAGGGTCATCCGAGTGGAAGAGAGCGGGTGTAAGCCGACGGCTAGGCCAGTAACTTCTTGGGGAAAGGAGGATTCACCCACACACCTGCAAGTTGAACTGTTTAGGCGGGGGTCCTAATCATCAAGAGGTGACAGTCCAAAAATGCCCGTCTTCTTGGTGCGATAGCGAGCGAGGGAATGAACAGGCTTTAGTCCCTGAGAAGGAAACCAGAAGGGATGGTTTGTATTAAGGGTCATTCTCTCATTCCCTGAGCACCAGCAAGTCTTCGGCGTCGTCTTGCTGGAGGAAGAAGCGCCGAGCTTCGTTTTGCGTTCCCGAATTGGCGACATGATACTCTTTAGTGACTTGGAACCGGACAATTCGCGGACAAACCAAGCTCGAATTTTGCAGGTCATGGAAACAAGTGGTGGACAGTCTGAATTCTGACGTCCACAGGGTCAAGTTCAAGTATACCCAGATCTTCCCCTACATGTAACATCAGGAAAATCACAAGCTATCACCAACAACTCCATTAGCCGTGTGTGAAAGGAACCTGTGCCAGCCCAGGGCACGCGCCTACCGCGCGCCGCGACGCTCTCACGCAGGGTCAAGCGAGGTTACGCAGCGGCGCTCTCATACACGCTCAATGAAAAGAGCATGTCTTATTTTTTTTTCTTATACATGTGATATATGTTGCACCTCCACGCCGCAAAATAATAAACACTGCGCCGATCTTTTGTGCACTTCCCATCAGGAGCTGGACATCGATCCTGTTGCATTGGGAGATCAGGCATCCAGGCGCTTCGGGGAAACTTCGTGTGCCAAAAGTGGCATCCGTTTGCTAGTTTAGGGGAGCAAGTCCTTGTTTCGCTTCCAAGTGTCTGCGATTGGGCCTTTCCCTCCAGGCCTCCAAGCCTTTGGGGTTTTGCGGGGGGGGGGGGTCTAAAGACTCGTCCGTGGCGGATCCGAACACTTCTCCTCGCAGAACAGAGCCTTCTCCCGAACCAATTCCCGGAGTTACTCAGCAAATCGGAGGCTGGTGCTCTTGATGGGAAGAGTTTGGGAACACGCCAAAGGCTAACCCTGCGCAGAAACCTGTCGTGGAGTTTGCTTTTGATCTGGTGACATGGCTCAAGAAGGAGACCCGGCCAAAGTTACCAGTTGCCCTAGTGGGGTTTCCTTTTGATATGGCGAAGCGCCAGGGGCTTTGGTCGGCCCTAGCACCCCCCCCCCCATTGGTGAAGCCGCCGCAGTTTCCCTCATATTTGCAGCCTAGCCCTTAACCTTCCGAGGTCTTTGTGGAGTGGTTGGGCTGCATCCCAACATTGGGGGCCTTTGGAGTTCACGCGTAACAGCCCGGGTTTGATCACCAAAGTAGCATACAGTTTTAGAACCAATATTTGTAGCCCCCAGAAATTGATCAGATTAAAACAACACCATTTGGGTTTGTCTCTAAATAGGGGAATCCTCAAGTGGGTGTTTTACTGTTGGTATCCAATTGCTAGAGCCCAGTCGGGTGTGGCTCACGGGTAAGAATCGGCCCTAAATGGGTTGCCCTGGTAAATGGAAAAGGAGTAAGACTTGCTTTCTGGCTCTTAAGTTTTGAGCCACACCCATTTGGGGCTGGTTTTTCTGGGTCTTCGAGGGAAACCACAAACCGTAATCCATTTTGGTGGGTCCCCCCAAAAAAAAAGAGAAAAAGAGACAAACCCCAAGCTGCAAGCGACGCCCCATTTGTTCACACGGGTGTGGCTCAAGATCAAAGAGCTAGTGTTACGCAGGTGATAGTCGTTGGTTCCATTTACATGGTTGTTGTTGGGGAACGTGTTACATTTTTTGGTTGTTGTGGTTGAAGTGGGAAACTCCCACTTAACTGAGTAAAAAAATGTTTGCTCCCCTTCCAACGTCAAGCATGTTTACCAAGGTACCATGTTGGAGCCGTTTTTGGAGCCACAGCCAGGCTCGAGAACGAGGCTTCAGAGCTGGATCTCCGCATTGGGAACCTCGAGGACCGTGCCCGCGTGGGGAAGGCGTCATGAACCTTAGGGTGCGTCTCTTTTTGTTTTGGGACCCCCCAAAATGGGTGTGGGTCAATATTAAACCACCAGAAACCGCAGATTTTGGTCCATGTTTCCCACTTACCAGGGAGCGATTTTGGGTATCTATTTTTGACCCACAGCCAAATTGTTTTTTTTGTTGGCTTTCCTTTGTAGAAGGAAGAAAGGGGTACCCGCAAAAAAAGAAGACAGACCCCTGAGGACAGTCAACTGGGGGGTCATGTTTACTTGTTTTGGGGATGTTCTACTGTGGATGGACGAAATCCGTTTCCCATGGTTGAAACCACTCTTTGTTGGTATTAACAGGAGAGTTGACGCATTTCAAGGCTTTCTAGAAGGTGCAAAGTTTATCCATCCACAGTTTTATTCGAACACATGTTATTATATGTTGATTCAGACTTGCCGAAAACGGATCGACTTGAAATAAGCGTTTGGTTTGCCCTTGTTGGTTCCTACTTGAAGTAGCGGCACCGCAGGTGATCACCTGTTATCTCGAATTGCCGGCCCAGGTGTTTTCGCATGTAAAACCGACGGTTGGTTCAGTCAAGGGTTTGTGTGTTGTCCTTGCAAGCCCTGCAAAGGGCCACTCAGAAGTGATGGCCACCCCGCCAATAGGACGGTTCTACTTGGATCCGGTTGGTCCAGCCATAACTTTTTGGGCCAGCTTTGAGTGAGGTTCCGGATGTTGACAGAGGAATACTTGGGTATGATGTTTGCCGGATCTTTTGGACACAACTTGGAGCATAGGTGGCCTTTTTAGGTTAGTTTGGGTAGAAATAGATGGGTTCCACCGGTTTAGATTGGTGATATTTCATTTACCAGGGCCATTCGACCCATGACTGCGAGGCGGTCTCTGTGATGTTTTTTGTTGGTGAGGACCGGCAAAGAGAAGCGGAGCGGAACCGGATCGAGGCGTCAGGCGCGGACTCTTTGGCTGCGACACCGAGTGGGGCATGTAGCAAGCGGGCAATACTACGGGCGAAGCCCATTTCGCACCACCTAAGAAGCCATGGTTGAACCATAACGTTTGGTATTTACAGGGGAATCGAATCATTCCAGACTGTCTCAAAGGCGGTGAGTATTGGGCCGGTCCTTTTTTACACATGCAAAAGCCGCTGCAACACGATACGGGGTAGAAACAACGATGCCCCCAAAAAGGATCAACCTGTTTGTCACCCCTCAAAACGCAACCCCAAGTGAGCAACGCTAAAGAGAGTGGTTCCTTTTACTTGGGGATTGGGATCGTCATCCACCTGGTAAGGATCCTTCGCAATCGTAAGTATTCTGGCTCAAATGGCAATGTTCAAAATGATTTGGTGTGACTTTTTGAAGGTTGGACCCCAAGAATGGTGATGTTCCTTTTGGTGTCCCGCTTCAAACCAACTCAAGAGCACACACAAAACACCCAGATGGGGTTTGGGACTCCGGACCCCAATAGCCCACTGCCCTTCGCTGATAGACAATATGGGTTTGTGCGGTGCGATGCTGCAAAGCCGAACTTAGGCCTTAGGCACGACTGTAGCTATATCCACGAAGGCGCAGGAGTAGCCCAAGCTTCAAGTTGGTTTTCTTTCCATGGGGGAGAAGAGTGCAGAGGGACACTGCCTTCCAGGGCTCCAAGGTTTGCTTTTGATACCTCCAAGTTGGGGTTGGGACCTTATCTTGGAGTTGTTTTTGCTTGGTTCAATAAGCATGCAAGGGTTTTCCTATTGCACCCTGAGATGATGGGGAAGACACAATGGACGCTCAAACTTCAACAATTGGTTATTGCCCCAAACTTATGGTTGGTGAGTTCCCCTTTCTTTTCCGAGTAGTTCTTTCGGGCCATGACTTGCCCGTGGAATCCCAAGCCCCTGGGAACAGCCTTTTGGGGGCCCCGAGGCGATGCCACCCGGGAGTCGGAGGATGCCCGAAGCGCAAGGGCCCGGACCCGAGGAGTTTGGTAGGATGCAGTTGGATTGAATTTTTCTGTGTAAAGAATAACTTCCATTTGCATATTAAGATTTTATATTTTCCCTTGCTGGTTTTAAAGGGAATCTATGACTACTGGACATATATTTTTCCAGTGGGCTTAAGCAAATGGAAGATAAAGTGGCCCTTCAATGAATCCCTGACCCATTTTGAGGACGCCCAAAAAACAAATGGGAGCTTTGGCGCACGTGAAGATGCCACCCCAAAATCTGTCTAAAGAATAAAGAGGGTGGCCGCACCCATTTACGGTTGGGAGTCTTCATCCATGGGTTTCCTGTTGGTGTCCCTTCAAAGCCACCCCAAAGGGTAAACAGACAGACCTTGAAAAGGCTTTCTACACCAGGGGGGCTGCTTATTTATTCCACCGCCCAAAAACTGTCTAGAGAATGAAGAGGCCCATTTATGGTTGGGAGTCTCCCTACCATCCAGCTGCCCGGCTTTTAATTGTGACCGGGCAAATCGAGCCGCAGCGACACGTGAATGCAAATGACACTCATGCAGGGGGGGACCGATACTAGCGTATTTAAGTGACCTTTTCAAGGGGTAAGTGACCTCGATTCGCACCCCCACTCAAATGACACGCATTGACACTCGAAACGCCATGTTCGGGCTTTCCGGGTCGGCCCCAATCAAATGTGGCATAGCTGTGCGATTTCAACAGAATCCCAACCCCATCAAGCCAGACAAGGCACTTAGCACACGAATCAAGGGTCACTTAGGCGACCGACACGGCCTTAAGTGCCCTCGATTCAAAAACACGTCAAGTGCGCTTCATTGGAGGGTACTAAGAATATGCTGATGCATGTTTGTGTGTTTAGTCAACTTGTTTCCAATTGCCAGGGCCTTTTGGTGTCCCCAAAAAAAAGAACAAGCAGAGAACCAGGGTATCAACAAAACGAACATGGTGGGGTTTCCTGTTGGTTTCCCTTCAAAGCTGGGGGTAGTCTTTGGGGTGGCTTCTCCACGGTGGAATAAATACGCAGCCTCCCTGGTAGTGAGGAAAGCCTTTGGGGCCCTCAAGATGGGTCGTTTCAAGGGCCAAAATGGGTCAGGGATTCATTGGAGGGCCTACGGGGTTGCGTTGGAGGGGTCAAGAGCGTTAGGGTGGTCAACCCACTAGCTCCTTTGGTCTTCTATTAGTTCAGGTTTCAATAGATGATAACCTTTGACTTCCATTTGCTTTTGGCAACTTCACGGGCGGTGCAACGCCATCCTATGTTCGATGGTTCAAATTCCGGAAGGACGGGGCAACACTTGAAGACTTCAAAGTTAAAGTTGGGCTTACATCTGCAGTATAGCTTGCGAGTTCAGTGGGATCATCCGTTTTGCTCCAAATTTGTGAAACAACCACATCAAAGAAGTTCCACCCCTTTGGACTCACTTTTTTGTTTTAATCCATGTGAATGCGTCATATTTTTTGGGTCCCCCTTTCTCTGGTTCTTTCTCTCGCCTTCCACGGGGTCAATGCGCAGAGCGCACTTTCCGCTCCGAGGACCATGCCTCCCACCTGGCCTCGCGCCTGTCCTCGGTGGAGCGAGACGCCAAGGCGGGACGACTCGGCGAAGCGAAGCGGATCGAGTCGTGAACAGTCAGATTTCGGGTTTCCTGTTGATGTCCAACTCGAAGCTACAAAGGGGTGTCGAGCCTCGTAAAAGACATGTTCAGGTAGCCCTTTAAGGAATTGGATAAGGGTTTGCGCAGCATTGAACCAAGTTACATCATGATCATTGGAGTGTCTTTTCTGAGTGAACTCTTTGGGTTGGTGTTCAAAGCACAGTTTATGAAGTCCAGTATTCAACCGAGTTGTCTCATTAACATTGGGTTTTAGTGAATATAGTGTCTGGAATCGGTTGTCTATCGTGATGGGACGAGTTTCCCGTTTTTGTGGCGAAGGCTCGAACTTGGGGAACGCTGTCCCTTTCAAGAAGTCTGGACTGAGGAAAGTGGACGGGCATCAACAATGCTTTGGACATGCCCCAGCCACTTTTGAGGTACAGGTTCGCGACAACTAGGCTGGGCTGAGCTAAGAAGTCTGGACCCTTCGGACACCATTTCGCTGGGCCTGGAGCGGCTTTTGCGGTTCCAACTTGCTTCGAACAGTCATGTCCACTTGACTTAGCCAGAGGAAAAAAGCTGACGGAATCGAATCATTTCAGGGTTTGTTAGGTGGTGCAGAATTTCGCCCATCCTCCCTATTAAGCCCCCAAAGAGCCCTCACGCCTTTGCCCGTCAGAGTGTTGGGAAGACTTTGTGACTCAATAGCCATGACAAGAGGAAAACGGGTTCACACATGAAGGTGCTTTACAAGGGAGTTCCTGATTTCCAGTTTGGGACGCGCTCTGGTGTTTGAAGGGTACTGTTGACTCCAGATTAATAAGCCGTGGTGCGAATCCGACGAAAATCAGCTTTCTCTCTAACCATGGAAGTGGACGGGAAGGTTTGGGAGGCAGCCATTGTCTAAGATCCCTTAGGCCTCTTCCACTGCACAAAGGATCTGGGGGAGTTTTTGTTTGCTTCCGTTTGCTGGAATGAATGTGTGTTATGTTGCCCTGTTGGTTTTGAAGGGGATCCATCACATTTGGACATATTTTTGGGCCTGCGGCCTCTAGCTGGCTACGCCTCTTTGCAGTTATACCATGTCATGTCATGTTTGTTGTATGAGAAACGTATCCTGTGCCATGATATGGTTGGTTAGGTTATGCATGTCGCCCACCCCAACCCCAGATGATGCCGGGGATGCCAGCTTTCCGGGCCCCAGCCGGGCCCCAGCAAGGCCCCAGAAAGAGCAGCCCAAAAAGAACAGCCCGCAAGCCAGCCCGGAAACGCAAATGCAAGAAAACACCGTAAATAGCAGCGTTTTGTGGACGACAGAACAACAGCCCAACGCTCAGCACAGCAGTTTTTGACGGTATTTACAGCGTTTTGTAGAGCGAGGGCCCAGCATCGCCGGCATGCCCGGCAGCGCTTGGCGCCAAAATCGGCAAAAATGAGCCTCGCTTATATCCCTCCGAGACCTTCTAAAAAACAGTGCTTCATGGGTTGAGAGGCTTTTTGGAAGGGAGTCTTGATGATGCAGACCAAGCCCCGCTGAAGCATCACCCAGGCCCAACCCCAGACCCTGATGATGCCAGCACATGGCCTAAACCCTGCATATACGCGATGTTTTGCGAGGGCTTCCCACAGGCAAAGCAAAACCGCAAGCCCGAGCTGGTGACGCAGAGGTGCCGGATTTAGAAACGCATCACGACCAAGTGACGAGGGTCGGCGGCGCACGGGTGCAGCCCCTATAGCTGAAGCTAGCAGGCAATTGCCTAGCGGCGACATGCTACCCCAGGAGGCGTAGCCGGATATAAGGGCTGCCGCCCTTTGCCGCCGCCCCCGGCTTGCATATAACAAAGTCGGGTTTAACGGAACACTTAAAGCATATTGGAAATGAAAAAGAAGAGCACCACGATAATGATCATGTTTTTGATGATGCATATTATTTCCCAACATTAGGGATGCTGATGTTTGTTACTATGCAATCGCATTGTCGCCAGCAGTCATGAAGATAACTGTAACTTTGCATGTTTTGCTTCACCAGCAGTTGTCATGATAACTATGACTCAAACAAGCTGCAGTTCGCATGATATTGAGCACCTTGTTGGATTTTACAAGAAGTGCCCCCGGTGTGTGGAAACTTGGGCAGGAAAACCATGTTGGGGGCACGTTTCTTTTGTTCGCAAGACTTCGTTGTATTGCTGTGGATGCAAAGCGTGGACTTTGTGTCATCGCTTCGTCTTCGCAAGAAGTAAGCTGTTAGCACGGATGCAATCAGATGGTGATGTCGTCATGACAATCATGACTACGCATCCTCATTTGTAGTCGGGTCTATCGGCGCACTTGAAACGCACATGAAAAAGAAGAGCGCCACGATAGTGCTGATGATCATCACTATGCATCCGCAGCATCGCCAGCAGTCATGATGATTTTCGTCACTTTGCATCCCCTGCCTGTCAAGTCGGGTCATGATGATGATGATGATGATGATCATCCTGATGACAATCATCACTATACGCATCCCCAGCATCACCAGAAGGTATCGTGACAATCATCACTACGCATCCTCTGCATTTACAGTCGGGTCTAACGGGACACTTGAAACGTATATGAAAAAGAAGAGCGCCACGATAATGATGATGGTTCTGATGATGCAAATCATCACTCAACACCAGTGATGCTGATAATCACCACTATGCATCTGCAGCATCGCCAGCAGGCATGAAATCCTCACTTTGCGTGTCAAGTTAGGTTATGATGATGATGATGATGATGGTGATGATGATCCTGATGATCATCACTACGCATCCCCAGCATCACCAGCAGCTACCGTGACGACATCCTGATGATAATCATCACTATGCAGCATGAGCAGCAGTTATCATAACAATCATGACTATGCATCCTGCATTCCAAGTCGGGTCTAACGGTACACGTGAAACGTGTCTGAAACAGAAGAACGATGATGATTCGGATGTTGCGAACATCACCCAACATCACTGGTGATGATAATCATCACGAAGACAAGGACGAGTACAAACCCTTCCCATGCGCCTCCCCTTTGGAGCAAGGGGTCGGCGGATTTTCGTTTTTTTTTCTAGGGGACTTCGCCAAATGGAGGCTTTGTTCACCAACCACATTCATCCACATGACAGGGGCTCCCTAGTTTCCAGTTTACTAGTTAATATGTTTAAGTATCTGGGGCATCCTCCACATCACATATCCTACGGCGCACCCCCCAAAACCTTAATTTCATTGGGCTTATTTGGCGCTGCCTCAACAGAAGTGGAGGTCTTTGGAGGGGCAACATAGATGCGATAGATGCACCTTGCCCACAAAGGCGAACACCAAGAGTTTTTGTTCCCCCAAACCCTCCGTTTTTGTCGTGAGCAGCTCAATGGACTCGGGCGGTTTTTTTCGGCATGGCGCGTGTGTTGCAGGCGCAGCTCTCGGCCCTACAGCCTATGATCCAGGCGAGTGTCGCTGATCATGGTCTGCGGTTTTGAGGGTGTTGCTGTTGTGTTGGATGGAAAGACCAATCGGGAAACAACCAAAGGCCCCCCACAGTACAGCAAAAGCAGGGGCCCATTTTTCCCTGCCTCCCTCCCTGCCTCCCTCCTTTCCGCCCTTCCGCCCTCCCTCCCTCCCTCCCTCCCTCCCTCAGGCGATTCCACGGAAGCTCCCTCCCTCCCAGGACCCTTTTGGCAAGAATCCTCCCATTCCCCGATCCCCGGCTTTTTCCAGCGTGGAAAACCCCAAACGAAGCCGTCCACGAGTCGCAAGGAGCAGCACGCGGGGTGGCAGCGGCTGTTGGCCAAGCAGCGGAACTTGGACGAGGATCAGTACAACCTCGGCCTAAAGCCGGGGCACCGAAAATTCGTTCGAACACGAGGTTCAGCCACAGCAAATTCTTAGCAGGGGTTTAACCAGCACCCGGGTCCCAACCACTCTTTTTGCAAGTTGCGATCCCCCAGGGCCAACAGTCCCAATCCAGAACCGGTCCCCGGCCCAGGGACAACCAGACTGCTTGTGGTTTGCCTTTCAGGGGCACCTTTTTCGGAACCGGGTGTAACAGGTGCCTTCCTTGGTTCCGACCTTTTGATTAAGGTGCTGGAAATCGAAGTGTGTTTAGGGTCTCCCCCAACATACGGGCATGTGAGTTTGTGCGCTCATGTGATAGTGCAGCGGCAGCATGCGCTGTGCAGGCAACACTTGGGCAAAATGGCCTTGCCATTTTTGCTCCCTTCCCATCACTGCAATGTCAAGCTTCTTCAATCTATGCTCTTCCACTGCGAGCTGGATGACCAACGTCGATGGCGCCCCTCTGCATCTCGGACAAGGAGAACCTCAGCGTGGCTTTGACAAGGTCACTTTGCGAGCCGGCTGAGCGGGATGAGCCCATGGCGGACGGGCCCCCGGTCTGGCTGGAGATAGACGGAGGCCTAGGTGGACCTCATTGGGTTATGCAGGCATTCACTAGCAGGATTCTGGGGTACAGGAGTTCTAGCAGAGCTCAAGGGTTGTTGCAGGATGCTTGTCGAGTTCTGGCAGGCTTCTGGCAGTTTTAAGAATTCGGTCTGCTTCTTCTTTTTCCTTCGGAGTGGGTTCTTTTGCTACAATGGATCATTCTCGGGTTGAGGCCACTGAGCGGGGCCTCTTGTTCCCGTGACGTTTGTCGACCCCCGTGCCGGTGCCCCCGTGCCCCTAGCCTTGAAGATGGGGAGGGCGCGGGGATGGCACAGCGGATGAACTTGTGCAGCCACGTTTGAAGGGGTTTATGACCCAAAATGTTGACAAGTCACCCCTTGTTCAGTTTTTGTTGTTTTTGGTTTCTCCGCCAACTTGACTTCAGCTTCAGTTCCTTACGTCAACTTGATTTCATGGTACCCTTGGAAATTCAACTTGAACAACCCCTAAATGCCGCCTTGATGTCGTCAGGGCCTTGGGATGAACCCCCAGCAGAAAGCAGCATGCCATGTGCATTGCTTAATCAGGCAGGCAACTTGGATTGTTTTACCGGCGGTGTAAACCGAGTCCACAAAGCGTCTTTCCAATTGGGCTCAAGCCAATGTAATTACGCTGTACAGTGTTGACCTTTGCCAGTGCGACATGCTACACCTTCTCCTAGAAGGAGGCGTGGGTCCCAATATGCTACGTGAAGAAGTGAAGGAAGACAAGGCTTGTGTCCGCGCCTGAGCACATACCAACTTGTTCAAGAGTTGCTTTCCCGGCGCCTGGACTGCAAGCATGTGGATTTACCGACTGTTCACCTATTTCAATGAAAGACCAGGCAGTAAATCTGCTGGCACCTTGTTATTAGCTCAAGTCAGACTTCCCATCCAGATTGCTCGAAAGATGCCCAAATCCTGAGAATGCCTTCTTTGGCATCTTGCAACGTTGAGGAAATATCTTTTTCAGCCTGCAGCGGGCCAGCGGGCTTGAGCTGCAGAGCCCGCCCAGACAAGAGGACCGACCCTTGCGGCCTGTACAGCATTGTGGCTGGCGCGAACGACGAGCATTTCGTCTGAAGCTCCGCAAGTACGCTTCTTTCACTTGAAAGCATGGAGCCTCTGGGCCCGAGCCAGCTTGGCTGTTCCCAGACCGCCGCAAGCTTCAGGTGCAGACCGCTTCTGGCAGACACAGTGCTCACATCTTTTGAGTTGGACGCCTTGCTTTGCAGTGGTATCGCTACCACTTTCTAGCCCTGACGCTTCAAGGGTGCGCGTGTTGGGATTCAATTTAACGATGCCGTCTCGGTCTAGCATTTACTTCAGTGGCTTTCTTCGCATTAAGCGAGCTTAAAACAGGTTGCTTGCATGGGCATATGTGCAGGCTTGAAGGACATGACATCTTGTTGCCTTGACGTGAGCAAAGCACGCAGACGTTGTAAGGCTGTCGCACGTTGAAGTCAATTCAATGATTCGATGATGCAGTCGCGTCTAGCATTTAGCATTTGCTTCAGAGGGGTGGCTTGCCATCAGGGTAGCTCGCACATTGGGTAGGCTTGGAAGTTGCAGTCTCAGGCTGCGGCTGCTGCTGGCAGACCTTGCACGTTCCAGGCCTTTCGCAATCAGGGCTAGCGCACGTTGAAATTGAAATCAACGATGCCGTCCTGGTCTAGTAGGTGCTTCAGTGGCTAGCCTCATGGGCTATGTTCGGAGTGTTTGGCGGCATCATGAGGAGCATCATGTTTCCTTGACTTGAGCAAAGCACGGAGCGGTTGGGCCCCACCAGCGCGGCTCTGCCCAGAAATGCGTACGCGTATGCGCTCACATCTTTCCCAGCAGCACCGGCAACCCCGCAACTTCCCAGCCGGCACGCAGCCAAAGCTGGCGCGTTTCGAAAACTAATTTAACGATGCTTTCCAGTTCTGTGGCTGCTTCACATCAGGGCAGCTGGTAAGACGTTGCTCGCAGTTGGCTATGTTCAGGCTTGCAGGAGGAGTGTTAGATGGCGTTTTATGGGGAGCGTTTGCCGTGACTTGAGCAAAGCGAGCCGTTGGACCCCGGCTGGGCACCGTCAAGGCGTTTGTGGCAAGTTGCAGCTTGTGACTGCTTCGGTTGGCCACACTGCTGGCCTGCGAATGCGCTCACACCTTTTCAGCACGCGCCGCAACTTCCCAGCCCTCACGCTTTCAGGGCCGCACGTTGAACGGACATTCAATGATGCAGCTCTGGTCTAGCCTTTGCTTCGGTGGCTAGCTGGACATCCAGGTACCTGGCAAGAGTTCGTGTGCAATGGGCTAGGTTCAGGCCTGCAGGGGCAGTATTAAATGGTGTCATGGGGAGCGCCGTTTCCAGGCCCTTATCTGGAAGTCCGCGGTGAAACTGAAATCAACGATGCCGTCCTGGTCTAGTATGTGCTTCAGTGGCTAGCCTCCCCATCCAGGTGGCGCCGAAGAGGTTGCTTGGCATGGGCTATGTTCGGAGTGCTAGGCGGCATCATGAGGATCATCGTGTTTCCTTGACTTGAGAAAAGCACGGAGCAGTTGGACCCCACCAGCGCGGCTTTGCACAGAATCTCTTGGCAAGGTGCAGCTTGCGACTGCTGCTGCCAACCGCACCACTGCTGCTGCCAACTGCACCACTGCTGGCCTGCTCATGTGCTCAAGCCAGCAATGATGATTTGTAGGCGAGCGCCATCTCTTTACACAGATCTATCCTTTTGTACCTTTGGGATTAGGAAATCGGCAAAAGAGGTGGAGAGAAGGGAACGTGAGGATTGGTTTGATATCTTCTCATTTGTGTGCCAGCCCCTATTTCCCATGCCGTGCCAGTGAAAGCAACTGGCTGGCCCTCTCTGTTCTCACCCAGTACCGGCTGTGCCAGTGGGTGAAGAGAGTGGGGAAAGATGGCTCATGGCTGCCTTTGTCTGGCCTTGCCATCTCATTCTTTGCATCCGAAACGACTGCACCAATGCAGACAAGCTTTGCCATGAGTGTTTGGTCTTTGTAACCCTTTCTGGCAGCCAAAAAATGTGTCTCAAAGTAGTATGCTGCAAGTGAAATGGCACTTGCGCTTCTTCTCCCACCTGCTGGGAAGCTGATGAACCTTTGCGGGCGCCACGTTTCGCGGAGCTCGAGTCGGTTTGACCCTGCCGAGTCTGGCTTCTCAGCATCCACAACATTTCGCGGGCACATTCTGTGATTCTTACAGGGAGCTGAACCCTTCTAAGAAGCTGATTTCGACTTCGCAGAAGTCTCTTGTCGAGGCCACCAGAGCGACTCCTTTTCCCTTAGAACAGGGTGCGCGAGACGAGTCACACAAGCGACAATAGGTGCAAAAACTAAGAGACGAGTTCAGTTCTGCGGTTATGAAGAGGCAGGCCCTTTGTGGATTGAGTTACGTCCTGTTTCAGAACTACATTGCCACCTATGTAGTTCAAGGATGCAGTCTTGGTCTTGCGTTTGCTTTAGTGGCTGGCGTCACATCAAGCATGGAGTGGGGCGTGTGCGATCTTGACGGAGCATCGTGACCTACCCAGCTTAGCGGCGCCCAGAATGCAGCGGCAAGCTTCAGCTTCAGACTGTGGTTGGCGTTGCTCACTTTGAGTTAGATTCCTTGTCTTGCAGCGGTGGCAGCGCCGCAACTTCCCAGCCCTCACGCTTTCAAGGCTTCCTAGCCCCTATGTGTTTGCCATCAGCAAGTGTTGTTGAAGCCAACCGACCTGGCTGCACCCAGAGCTGTGTGAAGTTCCGGGTGCGCGAGTTTGACGCTAGGCTTTGCGGAGCCTGCCTGCCAAGCGGCTACCAAGGCTGAGACTCACCTCAGAACTTGCCTTTAGAATCCCATCTTATGTTGATCCTTCTCATTGCAATGAGGTTTGTGTTCGCTGCCAGGAGTAGTATAGATGGCATCACGAGGCGCGTCCTTGCTGCCTGCCACAGTGCTCTGCGCCCGTGCTGGCACCCTGTGCGACTGATGCCTTTGCCAGCCCCTGCGCCATAGACACCTTTTGAACGTTTTGAGGATCACTTGCCGAAATGGCTCTTGGAGCCGCATTCTTGCACTCTGCTTGGACGTGAGCATTGAGTTCACCCGTTGCAAGGCTGACGTGGCCAGTGCAGCTGGCGTTGGCTTCAGACTTGGGGTTGCGATTCGGCAGGGAGCTCCATTGACTGTCGTGGCAACTGTATCAATAAATATTGTTTAACAATAAATGAGGCTCACTTGGCGAGTAAATTGCCCAGAGTCTCGAAAGCCGGTTTCATGTTGAGCTATGTGGCGCGAGAAGCAATCCAAAAAAGCAGTGACTTCCCAAAGTCTCGGAAAACACCTAGACGTTTGAACTGCAACGTATAATTTAGAGTTTTGCGAGACCCTCGACAAAGAAGGCGGTTTTCTCAACACACAACATGACTCTGCTGTGTGTCTCCACCTTGCTTTCGCCAGTCGAGCGGTTGCTTCAGAAGCTGGCTTTTCCAAAATTTTAGAGCGAGCTGGCCTGAAAGTAAAAGGAGCTCATGGCAATGATCGGAGGCCTTGTCTCAGAGTTTAGACTTGTGGAATTTGCAGAAGGGAGCTCGCAAGAGGTTGGGTTTCTGGTCCAGCTAGGTGCCCTTGAATCCCCCTTTCTTTGGTTGGGAGGGGTCTCCTACTAAAATAGACTTTCGATGTCAACCAAAAGGGCATCCACCACTTGCCTGGTATAACTCGAGCGTAGTGAACAGCTCCAGAGCCCACGGCATCATGAGGGCATTGGCCCCAGCCAGCTCGGCTCCCCAATGCCGTGCAAGCTTCACCTTGGGACTGCTGCTGTTGCTCACAGTCATCAGTGATGAATCAGTGCTACTGCCCTGCGAATTCGCTCACACCTTTTGAGTTGGATGACTCTACCGTGCACCGGTGCTGAATCATTCTTGCCTTACGCTTTCCAGTCTTGCTTCACAAGGTAGATTGCAACAGGGATGCTTGGAATTGGAATGGGGTCTTTGCAGAAGGAGTGTTAAGCGACATCATGAGCATCTCGCTGCCCGGACTTGAGCAACAGTGTAGTTCGCCCAGCAGTGCAACTTCCGAGTCTTTACAGCAATACTGGTGCACGTTGGAAGTTGGTTCAATGCAGCCTTCACTCGGTTCAGCTGGCTTCGCGTCAAGGTGTCTGCAAAGTGTTCTGGTACTGTTTGGATTCAGGATTGTTTGGCAAGGCTTCTGCGGTGACTGCACCTACGCGCCGATGAGTTTGCCTTGATTCTGCCAAGCTTCGCCACGACCCCGATGCCGAAGCTCCTGCTTGGTGCCGTTTGGCTCCAAGCCCAAGTCTAAGTCTGAAGCCAACCGCGCCACAGCTCTTGCCTTACATCAGCCTTAGATCAAATCCTGAGCTTGTCACCGCTCACATCCAAGCAGAGTGGTAGATCGATCGGAAGGCGTGGGAAGACACGGCGCCGGTGCATGGCATCAAACGCGCTTTGGTTGAGCGCGCGCGCAGCAGCCAGCATCGGCCATTGCATGTGTCTGACGGCAGCTTCTCAAACTGCAACTTGCCACATAAGCCACGCCAAGCGCCAGCATAGCCCATGCGAAGCGAGTATGGATCAAAATTTAACCACCAGGGGACCGCAGGTTTTAGTCCTTGGTTCCACTTACCAGAGTTCCATTTTGGGTACCCATTTTTGACCCACAGCCAAGCCGCCTGCGACCTAGCATTGCACAGGTGTTGCACCTTTGAGAAGCTGAGATGGCAAGGCTCGTGCCTGTCAGATTTTTTCAGGCGTCGCTACCAGTGTACCAACTCCTGTCGGTTGTTCCAATTGACTCATGTCGACTTGTCGACGGATGCGCTTCGCCGCCGAAGGGAAGCAAGCCGCGTCGCGGGGAAAAAATCCGCCCACCAAGAGCATCTGGCAGACCCGCACGGCCGTGTTCAGAGCGGCTCGACTTGAGAACAGCTCTCGCGAAGGGATCCAAGCTTGGCTGGCAGTCAGACTGCACGGCCCAAATCTCACGGGCCTTCAGGGGAAGATCCGTCAGTATGGCGCACGCGCAACGAGCGCCGGACAGATTGCCGCTTGGAGCTCACCGATTCGGCTATCGTCTGTCCTAGCCGCCGGTGGCTTGAGTCTACTACATCTTTGCACACCTTAGCCAGTCACTCCAAGCAGGGAGCCACGTACGCAATGCGCAACGCCAGACCCCAAATATCAATGAACAAGGCCCCAGCACTCACATTGCCGTGCAATGGCTTGGGTGGCTTCAAGAAGCAGCCTTTCGTATTCTTTCTCCTGACGCCTGGGGCTTTGCAATGACTAACAGCCATTGATTCTTCCCACTGCCGGGGATGCCGCAAAAGGCGGCCAAAGGTTGGCAGCTTCGACGACAAGATGTCGTGGTTGCCTCCAACTCGGCCGGACAAGGAAACCTGATGCAAGTCTACGCCAGAGCGCGGAAAAGGGAACGCATGGGTAGATTTGAAAAGAGTTGCTGTCTGAAGCGGGTGGTTTGTGGATGCGTCCTTCACGCAACCCTTGGGTCAGTTGAGCCCGGAGATGTCTCCGCATCGGTTTCCCGACCTTTTCTCTCTGGTTGTTCGATGGGATTTCGACCGAGAAACTGATATTGACTTTCAACGCCAAAGTTCCAAGTTGGAGATCACCCTCTTGTTTTACACCCTGAGCATGATTTGAAGGCAGGGTTGTGTGAATGAGGGGTTAGTTCCCACTTCTGTGATAATCAGGTACACATTTACCTTCTTTCCAACAATCATGGAAGTGGACCGGGGGCTCTCCCCCCCCCTCCCGAAACAGAAAAAGACATTTAAAAACAGGGGGAAGTTCCACCCCCACCCCCGCCCTCATCAGCTTCCATGTGTAGCCCTTCCCCAAACAACGGGGCTCTCCTTTTTCCATCTTTCGGATGCTGCAACCGGGCGTGAAGTTTCGTGAGGTTGTTGGAGACCAAGCACGCTGCCGAGTCCGAGGCCGCCGTGTTCTGCGTATTTCTGGTTGATTCTCAGCACTTCGAGCAATTGATGTAGGGCCCGCAACCAGCGAGGTGTTGAGACCCCCAAACACCTCCAAGGTGTTGGGGTATGGGTCTTCCATTGACAGCTGGAGAGTCTGGGTATGGAATTTGCGGGTCTTGGGAATGAGCCGATGGTGCACTTTGGCGTTATTTATCCAAAACTATGTTATGCCATGCTGGAGTAGACTAAATACTGTGGATGGACGAAATGTTGCACCACCCAACAAAACCTGGAATGATTTGATTCTTCTGGAAATACCAATAAGAAATGGTTTCAACCATGGTTTCATTCGTGCGAAGTGGATTTCGCAACCATCCAGAGCATGGCTGAGTCTTACGACTACTCAAAAGTGGTTGGTGGACATGAATCTCACCTAATGCCCACCTAAGCATTCCCTATGCGGATCCTCAGACCCATATTATGGGTGTATCTTTTTTTAGGGGTCCCCTGCAAAATGGATGTTGGTGTTCCTGTTGTTTTTCTCCTTGAAACCAACAAAAGGGGGGTATGAAATCCAAAAAAAACTGAGAGACCCAAATATGAGCCCGCATCGGACAATATGTTTCGAGTATGGATGGCCATGTCTTAAGGCTGAAATTGCCTCCTTGACGAACGTTCGGCTTGCAAAGACCTGTACCCTGTGGATTTTGGAGTTACCCATCCTCCCACAAACATGGCGCCTGACACGGGGTCCCTACAAGAGGAACATGAGCTTCCAGGTACCCTCCCAGTGGTGCTATGTTAGTGGAAGGGAGGGTACCCTGTTCGGGTTGTTTGAAAGGGAAACCAAGAGGGAAAAATCAAAATGGGGCTCCAAATCCCTATTTTGACGCATGCCCGTAACCCGGACCCAGCTTGGCATTTGGAGTTCCTCATTAAAAAAGGAGTTGCTTTGTTAAAGGACGACTATCCACAAGGGGCCTTTGATTGGAAAACAGTTGCCTTCCCGCCTTCCCTTTCGAAGACAAGGTTGTCAGTCTCACTTCTTGAGTTCATGGACGGTATGCTTTTTGGGAAGACCCTGTTAGCGGTGTACTACAGGTTCAGACTTGTTTTGGCCAATGCACTCAGGAAGGGCGAAATCCTTTGCCGGCTTTGGAGCAACCCTGTTGATGTCTCGCCCCAACGTTCGGAGCGAGCGTTGGGATCGGATGGCACTCTGCCCCCGCGGAAAGAGCAACCCTGTTGATGTGCTGTCCAGAGACAACATGAAATGCACTAAGTATAGTGATCTCACCGATCCAGGGGTAAAAACAGCTCGTAAAGGTCCCTTGGGGATTCCCTTAGAAGCTCAAGCTAAAGGACTTACTCTGGTCCGAAGAAAGGCAAGAAAGACACATTGAGCTACTGGATTTCGGAAGAGGAATAGCTTTTTTTGTTAAACAAAAAACAAATAGAACTATAACATGCTCTTTGCATGCTCTACTGTTGTTTTTGAAGGGACATTGACATGACTCGCAAACAAATGCATTCTTGTGCTGGGGTCAGAGAAGCAGATGGAAGCTTTATATCAATATTTTTGAACTGTTGGCATGTGTGCGTTCTCGGCTGCTCGGAAGATGAAAAAAAGACACTGGCACTTCAGTTGCCCACTAACCGCACTACTCTTGGTTGATTCCCCATTCTTGCCCAGCATCCGTTGTCCCTGGGTTTCTAGAAGAAGGATCTCTAGAAAGAATGGGGAATCTAGAATTACTCCCAATTTATATTAGCTTTCCCAATTGAGTGTTGTCCTTTCAAGACTATGTGACTGGACAAGTCTGTGGTTCCTGTAACAGTGTAGTTGATCCTCGTCGGTATGTCCATGTTATTCCAACAAAGGATTCGGCACAGGGAACTGCATATTCTGGAAGGGTGCCTATTTGGCATGGAACTTCTTCGTCTTTCACAAAAAGATGCGCGTTTGATGGCCTTGAAATTGGTTGAGTTTGGCAAACCTCCACTTAACCCCACCTAAGCACATGAAAACCCTCGTAGGGTTGCTGACCTTTTGGCGATATGCGGCCCTATCGCCACCTTTGTGGCCAGATGGATCCTCCATCCTTTTGGTATAGCCTTTCGATGGGAAACCCACGAAGCAAGTGGGCAAGTTGCAGCGACAATTTACTAAGAGCGTCTGTGGTAGTTCCTTGCCTTTGCGTTGAATGTTTTTGAGTTATCTCCTGGTTTAATGGGAATCTATGACAATATAACTAGTAGCAGTTCCACCCGCGCTTGTCCGGGAAGCCGCAAGACGTGGGCGCGTCCTCTTTCCGCCAGGCTCGATCACGACAGCAAGTGGCGGGCATCGTGCAGGAGAGCGAAAAACCAGGGCCTAGATATCGTTTGACCATAGTTCCTGGGGTCGTTCCTGGGCCTGGAGCCTGAAATATATTTTAGGGTAGACTACGTATGGGTCTATCGTTGAGGGCACCCCTTTTCTGGTGGTTTTAAATGGAACCAAGAGGGAGCGACTATTTTTGGGGGCTCTGATTTGGATCAGTCTGCCCAGGCATCATTGGACCCTACATTGGAGGAGTCAAGATCCCTATTGCAAGAGCTTGAACCTCATGAAGGGCCTTTTGGATGCGACCCTCAAACCACGCATAAAAAAGTTGGAATTCCTCCATTCCATATTGTTTTGAGGCAGCAACCCATGTTTTAAAGTGTTGAGGCTCCAGGTAGTCTCTTTTTTCAGCAACAGGGTCCCTGACCTCGCGCTCGCGCGACCCGCGAGCCCGCGAGCTGAGGACGTGGTGAAGTCTTTGCTGAGCTTCGCGCCGGGAGCTGAGAGAGTGTTCAGGGCTTTGATCTAGGTGCCCTTTCAGAATAGGTATACCCTTGAACCACGCTGTTGCCCAGCGGTGCTTCCCCTTTTTTCTTCCCCTTTTTTTGGGGATTTTGTCGGGTTCCCCTTCAAGCTATGAACCGAACCAAAAGAAAACAACCGCCCAAGAGCTTTCCTGGCCCCAAGCGGCCCGAGGGCCTCCCCCCAAAGCCACCCCCGTAGGCAGACCTTGGAGTCCTGCGGCGAAGCCCCGCGAGCCGCTCCGGGAGCGCAGGCCGCCCAGGCGGGGATCGGAAAAACAACACGACCGTGCGACGAGTCAGCTCCCAACTTGGGTCTTTTTGTGAATTGGAACGACCTCACACGACCGAGTTCACCCACCAAATGGTGTTGTTTATGTGGGGAATGGCCCAACCACCAAACATTTCAGGCTGGTGAAATATGATAGTTCAGCCAGATTTGGGGACGAACATCTCCGAACCCTCAGACTACCCATGAGAGGAGGGAAGTCACCAACCATCATTCTGGAGCAATAACCAATTTGTGAGGGATTGTTCAGGGTCCATGCAGGTAATGTGTTTTTCCCCTTGTTCTTTTTTGTTAAGGGAAGCTAGCACTACTGGATTCTTGTCCAGGGGACTTTCTAGCAAATGGAGGTAAGTGTTTCATATCCCCAAGGAAGTTCATGGCTTCGAATGGCCTATGACCCATTTGAAATTCCTGAAAGGTATAATGGTGCAAAATATTAACACCATGCGTGGAGGCAGAATGGGTCAGTGAAGTCTATAGGCATGGGTGAGCCATCATGGATGAATCGACAAGGGAATGACAATCGTAGGTTGAAAGGAATGGGCAGGAACCCCACCAACAACCCCCTCCCCCTCAACGAAAAGTGAAGAAACAACGGGTAAAATGTACCTGGGTTCTTGGAAGGTGTCGTTGGGGGCGTGTTGTGAGGGCCTTGTTTGGCCTTGCTTGGGCCGGAGAAGGGTTGTTAAGCCCAAACAGTTGAAACTCTTTTTTGGGGTTTTGGGGTTGCTGAGCTCTTGGGGTGTTTACTTGCAGCAGCCTGCTCACCCGCAAAAACAATTGATATGACGACATGAAGCTACAACATGAAGCTCACACAGGCCAGAGCTGCAAGGGGACCCAAATTGTCTCTCCACAAACTCAACGACACCAAAATGGGCACGCAGTGCGCGCACGGCACCCGCTGCAAGTAAGCCGATTTTCCCACGCAAAGGGGGCATACACGGCAAAGGATTCGATTGCTAATTCAGATCTGAGGAAGTTGCAACATAATTTCTGTCATTTGTTCCAGTGTTCGCGCGTTGAAGCTGAGTTTGTGGCGGGGTTCACTGGGGGTACTGATGCCCCCTGACTGTTGAAGCATAGGCATGAAGCGTCACATCTCTACACCCGGGGGGAGGGGAGGCAGGGCCCCTTTCCTTAAGTAATTACCCCCTAAGTCCTAAAACACAAGCCAAACAACTTGAATACAACGGAGGTGAAGTTATACCTAAGCAACGCCCTGTATAGTTTCAAACAGCTATCCTTATATTAGGGTATTTTAAACCTGTTTGCTTTGAGGAAAGATCGCAAGCATCGCCCCTAAAACTTTTGTTTGGTTTCAGACTTGGTCGCAAGCCCCGCTGGGTTTCAGACTTGATCGTAAGCCCTGCTCCCTAAAACTTGTTTGGTTTCAATCCTAATCACAAACCCCGCTCCCCCAAGACTGTTGTTTGGTTTCGCAAGCCCCGCTCGCTTTCAGACTTAATCGAAAGCCGCGCTTCCTAAAACTGTTGTTTGGTTTCATACCTGATTGCAAGCTTCGCTCCCTAAAACTGTTGTTCACGCGGGCTCGCTGTTGCAGATAGGTTCAAATCACAAACATATGTTTTGCTCTGTTTTGTTGTCTCTTGACTAAACCGTCCCGCCTATGTCTAAAAAGAGAAACAAACAAATACTATAGGGAAATCTGCTCGATTATCAGCTTTTTAGTGTTGGACTCAGATTTGAAAGGGTACCCCCTCGATTTGCAAAAAAAGTGTTCAGAGTGCAACTTTGAAAAGGAAAGGTCGCCGCTGGCCAATTCTACTACGTTCGCAGGGGCAATGGTTGCGGCTGTATAATCAATACCAGGTCGCCTAGTTGCCTTTGTGTCTTTGAAATTCCGATCTATGGCTTCTCATCAATCTAGCGTCTTTTGCTCGGGCTTTCAACGGGAAACTATGATTCGGGGAGTGGACCTTTAGTTCGGCATCAGTACTTCCAGCGGACCCACAACAAAATCAGCTTCGCGCAAACTGAGAAAGTTCACCGCCGTGATGTTGTAACTTCCTTCATTCGTCGTGTGCTTGAGGGACGGCGCAGTTGCATGTGAGGCAAGATCGCAATAAGTTGAATCAAACCGGGCCTTTCTGGTCGGGGAGTTGGTGGCAATCTGTCGCCCGAACTCATGGTGCATGCCCCCAATTTGCGTTTGGGCAAACCGGCTTACTTGCAGCTCGATTCACGTACATGTGTTGCAGTGTTGGTCACATAGTCGAGTTTTCCTTTGTACTCTTGAGATGCAAGATGTTCGTAATTTGAAACACGCAGTGCCATTGTTTGCAAATGTTCTCAAGTCCAAGATTTGACACGTTGCATTTTTTGCCAGGGTAAAAAAGCACAACCCCCGGCCCCCCGGCCCTTAACTACAGGTCTGACCGCTGATATATGCTCCTGTGCTTTGGGCGGGTGATCTAACTTGGTTTTTGAGTGCCCTCAACCGGAGCTGACCTACATCTAAGCCACTTGACTTCCAATGGTACCATTTTGGGGTAGGTGCACCACCCATTTTAGAACCTATTTTAGTGGTTGGATTGGGATGTTCACTGGGGGTACGATTTGGCTTTGGATTTTGACCCATGGCCATGTTGACAAGTCCTAGGCTTTTCTCCTCACGGCAAAGCCTTGTTTCACCAAGGAGGCAGCCACACGTGTTATCGGGGGTTTGTCTCGGAGGAATCCGCTTGAAGGTTGCCAAAGCATCGGCCCAGTCGGCGGTTGCTCACGTGGAGTTAACCTTGGCCAGACTTGGCCGAATCTCAGAAAGTTGGGCCCCACGAACCACACCTGTTGCAACTTCTGCCTTGGGCCTTGGGTTCCCTACATCTCCCAGGTTTAAACATCATCTGGGCCACCAAAGAAAAGGAACATTTTTCAATTTCCCCATATGAATCAACCCCAGTTTATAAATAGCGGGGAATCAGACCACCTTTTTTGGCTCGGACAGGCTCCTTTGGCAGATGAGTTCGATGACTTCTTGCAGCGGATGCCTTAACGACCTCGACCGCACGAGGTTACACGAAGTTCCTCGCAGTTCCTGGGGGATGGGTACAGTACCTGCCTCAAAAGAACCAACTTAAACATGAACCCCAAGTTATGGTTGGTGAATTAATTCCTTGTTTATGGGTCCAGGTAGATGTTGTGTGTAGGTTCCACCCTCAGAATTGCCCTTGAACACGGGTGATTGCCCCAAAATGATGGTGAATTCCCTGTTTTACGGGCAGTTTCAGGGTCCAGGTTGACTACACATGAAGCAGCGGAATCTCGAAAGCCGCAATCAATTCGAGCCTTTCTTAGCCCGTCCAAAACCGGGGCTCGCGGGAAATGTTAGTATGTCAGGTGGCCCCTCACAGCTCAAGCACCCGACTCACTCCCTGAGTTCCTGCGCTTGATACTTCTCGAGGGACCTTTTCAGTAACCGAAAAAAATGGCCCTGGAGCCAAATCTCGGGAAGCGAGCATAGACCGGGCGCCCCACTGCTGATCCAATGGTTGGCAGCTCCTAGCTGGAGAGAGCAATACTAGGTCCCCCAGCTAGGTACCCTTTCTCACCCCTTTTTTGGGGAGGGTTCCCCTCAAATAGACTACAGAAAAACGAAACGGTACCCTTATTCTAGCCTCTCTACTGGAGGACCTAGAATCGCTCACAGCTCGGTGCGCCGAAAAACCCCAAAGACTTTGCAGGGACCAAAAAGCCGCGCGAGGCAGGATTCCGTGCGCGACCCCTTCGGCGGAGCAGAGCCCGACCCCTTCGGCGGCGATGACGAGGAGGGCGGCGTTTTTTTTTTTTTTTTTTTTTCTCTGGGGGCGTGTCGCTTTGGTGAGTTTGGCGCCCTTTTTGGGGGTGGCTTCAAAGCAAAGTTCAAAGGGAGCCATCATTTGAAGGGTGCCCTAAAAGGAACAACGCCTCATTGGGCCTTACAAAGAGTTAACTTGTTGCGTGGGGGGGTAAGTTCCATAAATTGTCACAACCATTTTGGCAGAACCATATGTGAGCTGGTTGGGGTGTTGGGTTTTTTAGTGGAATCCCGAACAAACAACTTTGGTTAATCACAACCTTTGCAGTAAGGCGGAGTCAGCATTCTGGCTTGTATTTGGATTGTGATTCGTGGTGTAGAATCTTGGGATGAAACAGGGCACCTTTTGTGGCTCATCTTGATTGCTCCGGAACACGAAAGGCGCCGAGACTGAATATGGGCCACGGGCGCGATGACCCACCACGAAAGCCTTACAGGGTATACCATGCAGTGAACGGCTGTAAATAGACGGGTCATGAATCCCAAATTTCAGACGCTTTTCCAAAACCAATCAGTTTCTAGTATAGACTGGCTGTTCCAACCCCACCCCCTGAATTTCAAGGGGATAGTTATGATGGGTTTGTCTAAATAAAATAGGTGGTTCCTAAAAGGACTTTCCCAGATATGCAACGCTACATGAAGCTGTTCTTCGACTTAGCCATGCAATGAAAGCTAAAACCCGGGCGCACTGAAAGGTCTACTTGACATGGAATTCAATGTCCGAAGGTAGACCAGGAGATGATGGCCGTGATGTTTTGTTACGTGTGGATTTGGGTTGGACGTAGCTGCTGTTGAAAGTTGGTGTTCTGGGAAGTCTTGGCCAGCCACTCTTGATGTTTCGCGTATGGAACATGTTTTTCTCCGACATTTTTCCGCGAATCGATGGTAGACGTCAGGTCTATTAGAACTCCTCTACCTTTCTTTGAAGTGGTCCCAACAGAATGTGCTTGATAAAAGCAGGCCAGCACACTACCCCTGGTGTGGCTATTTTTTGCCCTGTGTCTTCCGGGTTTTCACTGTCCTCAAATGTTGATTCACCATGGAGTTGGTTCTCGACTTCGTTGACCTGATTGGAACAAGGCATAGGGAAAACATGTCACATGGCTCGGGAAGCTTGGATCCTGTGAGGCAATTCTTACTGGGGTTGTTGAGAGATGTTAAGAGGAAGCTGGCCAAAGGGAACAACTCATTGCATAATTTAATATATATATATAGGTCATTACAATGGAGCCATATGTATCCTATTGCATATGTAATATGTCATTACAATGGAGCCATATAGTTATCCTTTTGGCAACACCTAGTGCTCCCAGCTACCACTGTGCTAGGTAAACGGGTGTACAAGCTGTACATGGTTTTCCCCTGGTCACCGACAATAACTGGAAGCTCTGAGTAACATTGTCCTAGGTGACAGGGGCTCAGTCTCGCAACCTTCGCCTTCGGGCCAGCTGAGGCTTTGTGAGGCCCTAACCGTTGGATTTATCCAGCGTCCATTTGCTTATAAGATTATGTTTTTATTTTCCCCCTGTTGGTTTTGAAGGGAATCTATCACTACTTGAAAATACTTGACATATGTGTTTTTTTGTCCAGGGGTCTTAATCAAATGGAAGGTGTGTGTGTGTGTGTGTGTTTCCTCTTTTTTTGAGGTCGACGTCAGGGAAGCCGCGGGTTCAAAACCACGAGATGTCTCCGGCCGGTTTCCATATAAGCAACAAAACAGCGGATCGCAAACCAGCCAGGAGGTTCATCCAGATGCCAATTTTGACGAATACCCTGAACCCAGGGGGAGACCACCAGTTTGTGGAGTTCCCTATTTCAAGATCCACGGCCATATCAAGCTTAGTGACTTGTGGATTTGCCATTTCCCGCACAGGAGGATCCCTTTGCGGTGACGGCAGTGCCGCGCTCGAATCCGAGCCCCACCCACAGAGAGGAGGAGGTCTTCGCGGGGGAGAGCTTTGAAGGCGTGATTTTTTTGGTTGTGCCTTTGAGGGGACCCCCAAAATGGAGTTTGGTATTCCAGCGCTACTTAAAAGATACATTTTGCAGCCATTTGACACATGGCTTTTTCCACCAAAATAACGGGAAATCAGCATTGACAAGGCAATGTTCAGGTGTATCATGTAAGGATCCCTGTATTCCTTGAGTTGTCCCTGTAAAACCGCAAAAAGGCTGGCCTCAAAAAACATGAGCCACCCATAGGTTTCCTTGAGCGCCATCACTGGCTGGACTAATTAACACTAATTTGCCCTCTCGTGTGATGCTTAAGGGAATCTAGGGAGCCCTGGTTCGCATTCGTATGCCGGTTGGAAGTGAGACTTTCTGGCCATCTGAATCTTGTCATACCTCGCAGACACGGCCCGGGTCACCCCCCCCTTTCCGGCTGTACCCCTGGGGTTCAGTTGCCCACCATCAACACAAGCGGGGTTGATACTAGGAGCCTAAGGAGTTTCACTATGCAAATTCAGTCGGCTATTCTTTTCCTGGGGGTTGAACCCTAGGGCCTGGGGTTTTGACGCGTGCCCGACTGTCAGGTGTGTGACCGGCGAATCACCCGCCCGGGTGCAGAAATGGACGCTGTCGAAGCGGCTCTGGGGTGGTGTGCTGCTGGTGTCCTGTGAACCCTTTGTTGGTTTTCCGCCCAAATTGTGTGGTTTTCCCAGTGGTTTCCTGTCAAACACCGCCAAAAAAATGGGTACCCGTCCAAAGAAGGGTATCGGATTTCGACAGCTCTGTGTCACCCATCGCTTTGACTTGGGAGCTCGACAGGTGAAAAGAGGAGCGGAGCATTCGAAGTGCGTTCGCCCGTTTCAGGGGACCCGTCTTCAGACGTGTAGTAAACACAGGGCTCCTGAAAAGATACATGTTGCAGCCATTTGAAACATGGCCTTTTCCACCGAAATAAAGGGAAACCACCATTTACAAGGCAATGATCAGGTGTATAATGTAAGGATCCCTGTAAACAGCTTGCAGCTTGGGCAATCATGTGTAGAATCCGATTTCGGAACCCTGACAGGGGTGTGTGTTGTATTTCGGGTACCACCCGACAAATCATCAGCAAACCAAGCCCCAAGCAGGGTACTCCAAAAACACAGCCATGTGTTGCCGGTCCATGCCATGCGGGTAACTAACCAACCTTTCAGTTTCTCAGCTCACAGGGTCGAATCCGTTTGGCACAGAAAAATGGCAAACACTATTCTTATAGGTGTTCAACTGTCAGGAAACTAGGCTACAACCACTAAAAAAAAGGGGCCACAGGTATAGATGTTGGTTTTCTCTTTGGGGTTTACGTTTTTAGATTCTTCCACAGCTCGCGGCAAGTATAGGATGGGGTGCAAATGGCGTTTTTTCAGATTGGTGAAGTGTATCAGATCGTGCGGATGAGGTTTGGCCAAATTTTGCTAGTGTATGTTCCTTTTGGGAGGGACGCGAGGGAACTTGCTAAATCTGGCCAAATCTCGAGCAGAATCCAGGATTCACAAACATTTCCCATTCCCTCTTGGGGAAACAAGTAATTTTGACCATGGCTAGGTCGTGGCCAGTTCCGAACCGGGCCGAACACCCGGGTGCATACTGGGTGTGCCGACTCACCAGCGGCTCAGCGCGCGCGAGACCGCCAGCCCCGGGTGGGTTGACCCGGGCGCGGCGCTCGCCGTGCCGCGCCGCTTTGCCATGGCAAAGGTCGCTCGGTGGAGTGAGCAACAACGATTTTGAGCAGGGTTGTGGGATCACTCGGGGTTTATACCCACCGTGATACAAGGGACTCTATCCTTTATATATATATATATATATATGGGGGGTTTGGTGAGTGGGAAGCCCTTTCTGTTGTATCACAGAAGGGATCATTGCCCCCCTAATGTTGAGAGTCCCACCGAAGAATTAGGAGGTGAGGGTGGAACCCACCGAACCGAGGAAAAAGTGTTCCTAAATTGCAAGACTCGCAACGCGGGGGCTTCCAACGCAACTCGGGGTCTTTGGGGGCCTACGGGTCTTTGAGTGGGGCCCCGTTTGCCATGTGAACCCATGGAAGTGGACATGAGTCAACCTGAGGGGCAAGATGTCCAAAGGGTCGCTAGGGGCCGCTAGTTTGGATGACCGCCCCATGCAGTGAATACCCTCCTTCAATAGATTTATCCTATCACGCATGGAATGGGGACCGAATCAGGGATAACTTTTGCACAAGACCCGCGAGATTTCATGATTAGGGCCTTACATGCCTTATGGGTGTGTGTTAAACTCGGGGGACCCCAAAAATGGTTTTGCTCTTGGGGTTTCCCTTTAAACCAACCCCAAAAGGGGCATAGCACAAGTGTCCGCAGGCCTCCGAAGCCTCCAGCCATCTCCTGCCGCCCAAGAAACTCTCAGTAAGAACCCTTCCATGTGCTTAAGCAGATGTGTATCTTCATGTGTGGGTCTCACATGGTCTCACAGGCAATTTATCACTACAGGGATCTATCACTACCAAACAGGGGTAAGATGAGTTTGAGTTGTTTTCCGCTTGGGTTTTGGGGGGGAACGAAACAGGCAACGGAGGAACCTCTTCTAAGGTTCTGAGAAAACATTATTCTTGGGGGGTGGCTTAAGGTTCCTCCTTCGCTTTTTATGTTGGCTATCCTTGCAGCCACTCCTTGTAGATTTTGCCATATTTTGCTCAAGCGCAAAACCAGAAAGGTGCGTGTTGCATACATGTCCCAGAGTTTCCCTTACTTACTTGGCGAAAGAAACGTCATGCATCGCAAAGGGCTGCATGATGTCTAGCCCAGTGCTTTAGTTACCCTAGGTCGCCAGAGCTTTCTGCCTCCAGAGTTTGCATGATGGTTCCCCGATCATTTCAGTGATTATTGTTGCATATTCAGGCTCTGTATTCACTGTATAATATATATATATATATATATGGTACAGCGTTGCCAGCCCCCCCCCCCCCCTCCCCCCCAATGGTCATGGGTCAGACAAGTACCCCCCCCCCCTGTGGTTGTGGTCCTGTGGTTGGGTTGTGGTGGTTTAGGGTTGGTTTAGAATTGGTTTAGGGTATATTTAGGGTGTATTTAGGGTTAGTTTAGGGTTGGCTTAGGGTTGGTTTATGTTGATTTAGGGTTGGTTTAGGTTTAGAGGTGTACGGTTTAGGGTTTGGTTTAGGGTGTATTTAGGGTTGGTTTAGGGTTAGTTTAGGGTTGGTTTAGGGTTGGCTAGGTTTACGGTTTATTGTTTAGGGATTGGTTTAGGGTGCATTTGGGGTTAGTTTAGGGTTGGTTTAGGGTTAGTTTAGGGTTGGTTTATGTTGATTTAGGGTTGGTTTAGGTTTAGAGGTCTACGGTTTAGGGTTTGGTTTAGGGTGTATTTAGAGTTGGTTTAGGGTTAGTTTAGGCTCACGGCGTCCTTAACGACCCCGTGGAGTTCTTTGTTTTTTGGACGTTCATCCCTGCGTTCATGCATCATGGTTAGGGGGGGGATGGGTGGGCGGGGGGGGAGGGGGGGTGGGTGGGGGGGTATGATAAGCACACCCGCTCAACTGCTGCAGACCAGCCTGCTCTGTTACCGGATTACAAAATAACATGGGGGGGGGGTTGGGGGGGGGGCATGATAAGCACACCGCTCATCACACCCGCTCAACTGCTGCAGATGCGTCTTTCACCCCTGAGGCATTCACTGGCCCAACCTTTGGCTCCAGGACCATGGGTCATCATTTTGTTCTCGCTCTTTGTGTTGCGTACGTTCTGCTGCTGCGTGTCGCGTGTGCACCCTGCCCCATTGTTGACTCGTGGTTCCAGGCATTTTGGACGTGTGATCCGTTCTTGTTGGACGCTCACTTTGAAGTTTTCGCTGGTAGTTCGTCTGATCCTTTCGCGCATTTTGCGGCATCTGTTGGTGCGATATCTGCTCGAAGCCCTTTGTCCTGGTGTCGGTTACCTGCTGCACTGCCGCGTCTTCGCGCTGCCTGGCTGACGCTCTCGCGTGCCCGCTCCCCGCTTACCCCGGCTTTGCCTTGAAAAAAAAAGAGGCCGGCAGCCTCAAGAAACGCGCGTGTGTTGGCCAGCAGCGCGAAGTGCTGCTATTCTCAGGCGATTTGGCCCTTTCTTGTCAAAGCCATGGTATAGTAAAAATGGAACAAAATAAACATGCTGCGTGTCAACGATGCAACGAAATGTTCATAAAACGCAGGAATTTTGGTAAACGTGCTTGGTCGCCCTGGTCAAAAGCAGCGTGGTCATTAGCAACGCCGTGACCTAGTTTAGGGTTGGTTTATGGTTGGTTGCGGGTTGGCTTGTCCTGGGGGTGGGGGTGCCGGGGTGTCGGGGTGCGAGTTCAGGGGGTCGGGGTGGGGGTGGGACCGTAGGTGCCAGGATCCGGGGGCTTGGGGTCTCGGGCCGGGGGGGGGGGTCCTGGGGGACCATACCATATGGGGGGGGGGGGTAGCAACACGGAACACGGGACCATATATATATATATATATATATTATACCTATATATATATATATATAAAAATCTAGCACATGTATTGGAGACCACTAGGGTGGTTTCTAGGATATTTTGCACCGAGGTGAAGCGACCTGCCGCAAAGCCGAAGGCGAAAGCGGCGAACGCGGCGCTGAAGCGGCCAGCGGCACTGAAGCGGCCGGCCGCCCTTAAAGCGAAGCCGACGTCGTTGAAGACGCAGGCAGGAGAGGGTCAATGGTGGCCCATCCATGGACCCTAAGGGAAGCGACTATGAGTCACTAGTCACTATTGGGCTGCAATGGCTTCCAGACCATGCCCATTTGGAACCTTATAGAGAATTCGTTTACGGTTTGTAGGAACATGTCTGCAGGGGGGGTCATTCAGCCTACATTTCCCTTGGCACGCTCCGAATCAGAAATATAGCTTCTCACAACAGACCGCTTTTGGTATTTCAATGGGAAGCAAACGTTCCTATAGTTTGGACCCCCTTTTGGTTGGTACTTAAAGGGGAACCTAAAGAAAACCAGCCATCGCGGGGCCGATGCCTAGTTTGAGAAACAGCTGGATCTTCTCGCAGTATGTCCTGGTCTCCGCCTACACGCAGAAGATGGGCCATGTGATGTCCCCGCGGGTGGAAGAGGCGAAGGCGCAATGCGAACGATGAACAGAGGGGTTCCTAAAGCATTTCAACCCCGATCTCGGGGCCGGATCCCTAAATACAGTGACACCCAGTGACTCCATTTCTCAGTTGTTGAAAGCGAATCGACCTTTTGATCTTTTGGCTTGTCACAGAAAGTGGCAACTGAAAAGACAGGGTTCCACAACCGTGGCCAAGTACGTAATGTACAGGTAAATCTCACTTGCCCAAAGGACCCAGAACCAAAGGGTTAGTCTGTTGGGGCCATGACGAAAAATAGAGTGATACAGTAGTCACTTGGAGTCAGTCACTTTGGTATCACCGAAAGGGTTGTTGTCCAGCATGCACAAAGGCCCTGGCTGCTCACCTGCAATCTGGTAAATGACTGCATGGAAAAGGCATCCGTTTGGCCCTCTGGATGAACGACAGCTCCCAGCCATGTTGCAGCGGGAATTGAATCAGCAGAATTCGCTTTTGACCAAAGGGGACCTCGCCAATCATCCACGGGCGGTGTCGGGGACCGGGCTTGGTCCCCTTCTTGAGCCTGGTTTTTGTCGGGGAAACCAAATGGAAACCACGGTTTTAGAGGTTCCCTTGAGAGACAGCCCCATAGCCTCACTAGACCTTGGAGGTCCACCGGTGTGGCTGAAGTGTTTGCCAAGAGTTGATTTTCCAATGGAATTACCTGAAGCTTCTGTGGATGGTTTCGATTTTGCACCCCTTTGAGAAACCCTGGGATGAGTCCACTGTGTAAGTGCCAACAAACAATGGTTTCAACCGTGGTTTGAAAGTGGTGCGAGATGGTTTTCTCCATCCAAAGTACCATGAAAAACCTACAAATTTATAAGCCCCGGTTACCTGGAAACTGGAAGCACTGGGTATGATGGTAACACCTGTGGCAACTGGAGACTTTCCAGGGGCCAAGTAATGCTGACAGGGACAATCAACCCCTGGCGGGGTGTCTCTTTGTGCAATCCGCAACCCTCTGGGCGAAACATTTTTTTTTCAACCGGGTTGATGAATCCGGGGTCAAATGTTCAACTGAACCCCCAATTCCCTGCGCTGCACAACAGACTCTGAAGCCTGTTAGTGGGTCTGATCCAAAGGTGGCCCAATCTCGTTTTGAGTTCGGGCTGCCAGCACCCCCTGAAGGATACGAAAATGGTTTTGGGGGTTGATCAAAAGGTCCTTACATGGGATGGGCATTTGGGGCAAACCACTGAACAGATGATATGTCCCGCTAAATGGGAAGCAAGTTGCCCATAGTCATTTGGAGGTTGAAGGGAGTATTGATCAACCCCCTTTTGTTTCGTTTGGTTCCCTTTCATCAGAGGCCAAGTTTCTGCCCCCAATCCGGCAATTCGCGGGAAGCCTAGCGAACACCGTGCCCTTGGGCCGCCAGGGCATCACTGTCTTCCGACGAGAGCCGGACAGGCGCTCCGATCTTTGGCCGTTTTAGCCCTTTTCATGGTCGTTGTTGGGAAACATTTTACATTTTTGCTTATTGTGGTTTAGTGGGAAATCCCCACTTAGCTGCTAAAATTTAAATGTTTGCTCCCCTTCCAACGTCAACCAAGTTTCAAGGCTCCTTGCTTGCCCATCGTGTGACAGACTTCAAGACCCCTTTCACTTGTTTTGGTCATCAAGCTCATGACTTTCGACTCGCTCAGTGAGTTGACGTGCGAGAAACCAAAGCCACCCACAGCGAGCATCAGAGCACCTGTTCTCTTGGAAGAAGAACATGGATTGAAACCTGGGGAAACAAAACCCTAGAGTTAAGTCCCTATCCCAAACTAGTGATACTTGGGTCCTACCCAAAGAAATTGAAGACTTAGGTGAGTTTAGCACCGTGGATCATGAAGTTTATGTTGTGTCCCCACCCAGGGATTCAATAAGCCCCTAAAGTCTTAACAACATAGTGGAATTTCTGTTGATTTCCCTTTCCATCTAAAATGAGTTCCGCTACCCCCAAACCACTACCCCCACAAAGTTGAATCAGATATACAGTCACTATATAGCCACTGCATAAAGGGTATATACCCCAGTCTGCCCTGGGAGTAGTGGTACCCTCCAGGCACCACGACATGTGGATGCGTAGCATTCGGTGCTTCCGGACTTCGCCAGGGAAGGCTCGAGCTTTGGCAAGCTCGTCTACCACTGGAGCACCTCGGCACAAAGTCAGAGGCATCGTTGGGTAAAACAGAAAATATGGCTATTTGGCAAAGATGGCACCGGCCAACAAGAACCCACCCAGTTGGCAGGTTTATCCTAGGATTTACAGCTGTATGGTGATTTTTGATATGGGATCCTTGGACGTTTTTTCCTTGGTTGAAACAGCTGGGATTTTCCGAAACACGACCCACAACAAGAAAAACACTTTTGCATGGTTGTTGTTGGGAAACATTTTGCATTTTTGCTTCTTGTGGTTTAGTGGGAAATCCCCACTCAACTGCCAAAATTCAATTTGTTGCTCCCCTTCCAACGTCAACCAAGTTTGCGGAGGGGTCGACCGCCACCAAGACTTGGGCAGCCAATTCCTGTGGAATTGGCAAAACTGAAGCTGTTGGTTGGCGCTCAAAGCGAATCGAACTGACCTTTTGCTCGGTTTTTCCTGCCTTCGTCTACTTTAGTCATGGCCCCACAAGGTTAGCCTTATATATTTCCAGGTCCTTTGGGCAAGCCTTAGGTTTGGTGTTTGGTTGTCTTGGCAAGTCCAACAACGACCGAGACCAAGTCGCAGCAGGCTGAAGTCTTTGCAGCGGGCTAGCTTGACCAGCGCAGTCAAAGAGAGGAACAAACAGCTTGCCCTCGAGACCATCTTTTGGCGAAATCAAGGGCAGCAGCCCTTTTAAAACAAACAAGCATCAACTTTAAACAGCTTGCTTCAAGAGGGTTGACCGCCAAGTCTGCATCTGGTTCTGAGACATGCGCCTGACATGCAACGGGCTTGAAAGTAAAAGAGAGCGTAGTATAAGACATGTTTTTGACACCTCCCCAGATGTTGTTCATGGAAAGGTTCCGGTAGATCTTGCGCAGGGCTTCCAAGACGGTTTCCACTACCCCAAACCGCTAGCCCCGGAAGAAATCGGGGTATATGCACTTTATGTAGCGACAAACAAGTGGCCCATTTTTCCAGGAGCGTGGCCCCGTGTCAACCATTTTTGAAGAGAAGGATCCTGCAGAGGAGGGAAGTTGAAGCTCGACAAAAGAGACCTGATCTTGCTAAGGCTGCACGGACTTCCCGTGCCCCACGTACATGTGCCTCAGCTGCAGCGCAGCTCTGCCCGAGCTGGTCTTTGCTTGCTTGTCTCAAAACTCAATGGATGCACGTGGCGAACCTTGGTTTCTCCTTAAGTGAGAACAGGACAAAGAGGGTACTTGTCAATGGGAGCTAAGACAACTAATGCTATGGTTTGTTGCTTCCACCTTTGCCCCAAGCCTCAAGATGAGTTGGTGGTTCCCAGCCATAGGTGTTCAGTGTTTTTTTTAGGTGATGTAGGTGTTCCAAACAGAACCCACTAAAAGTTACGAGCGTTTGGCAGATCTGGGCTGTTCCCGCCCAGGAAGGAGCTGAAGAACTGGTTGCTAAATTAGGATTCGGGGGACTGGGTGGCGTGTGGGGAGACAAAATCACTTACTTTCAGGGAGACAAGCGCCCCGCCTAGTACCAAATCGATTTTTTTGCCTAGTACCACATTGTGGGGTCACCTTGACCAAACCTCAGAAAGATGCCCAGGTTTGCTTGTTTGCCGCTTTTGGCTGCGGCTCTTGCTGCTTCCTTCAGGGAATTCGGAGTGGACTTAGCTTTGCCGTTCCCGGCTCGACGCGCTCTCGAGCCAGGTGCTGCAATCGCGCCCGCACACGGATTTACACCGTGTCCGAGGCAGGAGCCAAAGGAAGAATCCTAGGTTTAGGCTTGAAGGTTGGCCAAAGAGTCTCAAAGTGCACCTCAAAGGGAACCTAAGGGGCCCCTCTTGAAGTAACTTACCAGATATGGGCTTACGAATTTTAAGACATCATTTAGGTGGGGATTCATTCCAGCCACATTTGAGATGGTTACCTAGTGTGGATGGACAAGATCCTGAACCTGGGGGGACCATGGGAACCCACTGTTGTTGGTATTTGCGTTGTGGAATCGAATGATTCCAGGGTTTCTTAGGTGGCTGTGGCTCAAGATTAACGACTTAGGGTTACGCAGGGTTTTGTCTTTGGTTCCATTTACCAAGGTGCCATTTTGGTACATGTGTTTGACCCAGAGTTTTGCCCACTGCATACAAAAAACAAAAAGAAAAAACGCGGCCAGGTGGCAGAAGAGGGCACCTTGTCCGCCTACGCCTTCGATGCATCTTATCCGGATGGAACGGGGAAGCTCAGCAGGTCAGGGAACCCCCTGTTGCTCAAAGCGAATCGACCTTTTGACCTTGTTTTTGTTCCCTTTTTTAACGGAGAGTGACGCGAGCAGTAGGACTTCCGCACTTCGATTTAGTTTCCTCCAAGAAAGATAGAAACTATTTGTATATAGATCATAAAACTTGTCCTTCTACAACGCTGTTACAATTCATGATAGTTGTTTTCCTATCAACCCAGCTACATAAATTAAATTCTGCAGGAAATTATTGTTTGTGCGTGTGGTGGGTGTTTGTGCAATCTCTGCACTTGGTGTCTATTGGTTTTTGTTGAGGGTTCCCTTTTTAATTGGTTGCAAATGACAACCACAACCATAGCCCTGTGTATTCAGTCATGCTGACACATACCCAAAGGAGAAGTTGAAAAGGAAGTCGTTGCCATTTTCTGGGGTTTGCTGGCATGATTTTCAGCTTCACTGAACATGGACGAGACTGAAACACATCTTGGCGTGTTACGGTTGGGCAAAAGACGAGGTCCCATCCAGATTCGAGCCACCTATTGATTCTTTGCATGGGCCGCTCCTTTGATAGAAGTGTTGGTCACGACATCCGCACCCCTCAAGTACTGGACATGCAGGGCGCAGCTCCAATACTACGCCCCTGGGCACGAGGGAAAACATGTATGGTCGGGCGGTTGAGCTTCTTACAAAAACCTGCTCGACCGGTTTTGTGAGCTGGCGGCGCCACGTTTTCAACTTAGTTTGGGGTGTTCTGCCAGTGGGCCCCTAGTGAATCCCGTGCATGGAGCTTGCTGGCTCCTGGTGTCCCACCCACCCGGGGCTACGTTTGGTTGTTCCTTGTGAGGACTTGCCTTGAGAATCACCCTTGGTGATCCGGCCCTTTTGAGCAGCAAACGCAACATGCTGCGTGCTGCGGGTGAGTTTTTCCCCCTCGTGTTGTGTGAATGTCGAGTGACGTCTCTTTTTCTAAGTCCCCGAGTTCACGGACTTGAAACTGTTGGGGTTTGGCACGTTTTTTTGTGGTAAACAAAACGTTCATGGACTTTTTCTGATCGGAAGTGATTTGCACTAGGGGCCCTACATCAACCTCCCAGACTCTTCATGATTTTCGAGGCCCAACAGTTTGCTCGCTTTTTCTGGCCCGTCAATTCCCATGACTACATCGTTCTTAGATGTGCCTCACAGCACGGGCTTTTGGGAGTCGCCTTTTAACAGGGAACCGAAAGGAGGGGTTCGATTCCTATTTTGAGACACCTAAATGTTCCAAAAATAACAGCAGGTTCCAGCCCTGTGACTGGAGTCGAGAATCCCCAACTTCTTAAACATGGAATTGGAGGTCTTAAGTGGAATTGGGCCCACCCCCGTCTGTTTTTATCGTACTGTGGATGGACGAAATTATGCGCCACCTAAGAAACCCTGGAATGGTTCGATTCCCCAACGTAAATACCGAAATAACCCTTATAGTTTCATTCCCATCGTAACTCATTGTCCGTGGTACGGATGTCTCGCGAAGCCATCCACGGTATCATTGGCCTACCTCATCTAATTACCCATCTTTGGGGGGCAAAGTACAATATTTGTTTCAACCAGAGTTTCGTTTGGTGACTCGAGGATTTCGCGAAACCATTGACAGTATGTCCGCCCATACCGAACAGAAGCCCAGCCAGTTGACAACCAATTATAACTAGGTCCCCCAGTAGTGCCCTTTGACCCTTTTTTTGGGGAGGGTTCCCCTACTAAAATAGACTACAGAAAAAGGGGCACCCTTATTCTAACCTGACTACTGGAGGACCTGGTCTACATGCAAGTAAGGGAACCAAAGAGAGTCCAGTTTACAGTAGCCTTTCTTCTCTTGTATCTTGGTGAAACACCCAGCCGTCCAGTTTCTTAGATTGTCGATTTTTGTGTTGGTTTTGTGAAGGTTTCCATTTCACCTCCTTACCAAGTTGGTTGCACATCAAGTGGGATCGAGGCAAAGAGCGGGCAGCTGACGCTGCTGAACAGCGCGCTCACCGGGGGCCCCATCGCCTGCCACGTGTCCTTGTCCCGCGCCTCGTTCGGCAAAACGCTGGGCATCTGTGGTGCCTCGTTTTTTTTGGGTTTTCGGGAGCAACCTTGTGGGTTCCTCTGTTTTAGGGGAGACCCCCCGCAACATGGTGGTGTTCCCTTGTGGTTTCCATTCTAAAATCGCCACAAAGGGGGTTCCCCAAAAAGACACGCACACACACACACACACACCTTTTTGGTTTTCGAAGGGAACCCAACCATTCTAGAGGTGCCCCTTAGTTTAAGACACCCCATACACACCCATCTGCATGAACAAAAACGAAGCCTCAACACATTGGGCGGCGTCTCTTGAGCTTCTGTTTTAAGCCACCAAAAATAATGTTCTCTCAAACAATTGCAGACACCCCATTCTCCACGTTGGCCTTTGCTCCCTTTGGGACTCTTGGTGGTTTTTTGGAAAGAGCTTTTGAGTGGCAAGCAAAAATGTTGGGTAATCCTTTCTTGGAATTTGTTTGATATGAGTTGTGTATGGTGAGCCTGGATGTTGCTGAGGGTCCCTGCTCACCCTTGTTGAAAAACCAAGGGCATCAGACGTTTAAACCAGCGTCAAGGCTCAGTAACCGCTCAACTGTTTTGGGAGGGTCGTTCAGGTGTGGCAGGGAGAACGTCAGTTGGAGCCGAGAGGAAATTCCCAACAGGAATCAGGGGCATGTTCAGGTGGGTTAGAGGTGTGAAGGTTCAGGGTGAGTGTTTGGTTGTGGGCATCAAACGCTGGACTCCATGACAGAGCCATTGAATGGGCGAACGGATACAACTGGTAGCCAACTCTGGTGATGTCTGACTGAAATCCTTCACTGGCAGCATGTGTGTTTGCCTCATCGGGGAATCCTCCAATCAGGTGGTTCCCTTGTTGGCTTCCCTGACAAAGCACCAACAGGGTCCCCCCCCAAAAAAAACAGAAACAAAAATACAGAACCCTTCATATAAGGTTATGTAGGTATCTACTCACTTTTCCCTTGAGACCCCGGTGAGACCCCGGTGGGACCCCGGTGGGACCCCGGAGGCAACGAGCGCACGTTGGCGGTGGCGAACTACGGAGGATCAGCTTGGAAGCCCAGATCGATACTGTGGATGGACGAAATCCTGCACCAGTTTGAAACCATGCGAAACCCATTGTTTGTTGGTATTTACAGGGGGAATCAGCGTTCCAGGCTTTCTTAGGTGGTGCAGGAGTTCGTCGATCCACAGTATGTCCCGTTTGTGAGACTCCCCCTGGACATTTCTAGGGGAAGCTTTCATTTCCGTGCCTTCCAGCTTCCAGGGATCCTTCTCTTCGGGAAATTTTGAAGCACCCAGGCGAAACAGCGATCGAACTTGTTGACAAGAAGGATGGTTGAAAATAATGGGGAATCAACTCCTGGAAAATTGATATGGAGCTCGCAAAGGGGGATTCGGGACCCAGCACGAGTTTCCTCTACAAATGGGTTCAGTTTGGGGTTCCATCATCATATCTAGGGCAGAAACATACAACAAATACCATTTGGCGTAAACATAAAAATGCCAATTGGCTTCAACATCACCGTTTGGTTGCCAGTTTGGAGCGGGTCACCCTTTAAGGTGGGGTGATGTTTGCGGCAATCAAGGGAGCCCTGACCTCCGTCCCATGTCAGGCAAGTTGTGAATATCCCCTGTGAGACCAAAAGTCCCCAGTCGACTTAGGCTCCTACTGAACCCGAGATAACCGCTTCCTAAATGGGGCGGTTCAAAGTATTTTTTCCTGAAGCTCTGTTTTTGTCCCACCCCTTGCCCTCTAAAGATGCCATGGCGTGTGGAAACTCCTGAGGTAACTTACACGGAAAAAAAACATGTCAATGTCTTTGTTTGCACATTGGCAGGAGCGATTCCTTGGACCAAACCGCGGTTGGGAAATTGGTTGAGTGTGTTTTTTGAGGGACCGTGTTTTTGGAGAGCTGTTATAAAAAGAGACACCCAAAGCGTTCCATGTTGGTGGAAGCCAAAGGAAAGCCATACACGCAGCGTTGCCATGCAGTTGATCAGTACCCATTCCTTTTATTTTATGGAATTCACGAAGCTGAAGCCGGTGAAGGGCCTTTTCAATCGGTCTGTTTCTCAATCCCATTGCGCACACAAGCTGATTGACATCTTACCGCACAAATCCCTGTTAATTTTGGTACTTTAATTTACCAACTACCAGGACCCAAAGGGAACTGGGGATTATCGGGGAAAAGCCAATTTGAGCATTGCCGAAATGGGAGTTGAAAACCCCGTGTTCCAACCTGTGTCCCATGATATAGTTGCGATGTTATTGCGTTGGCATTTTCATCGTCTTTTGGCGCCGACGCCATCTCCTCCATGCCAAGTATGTTGCCAAACGAAGCTTCAACTGGCACTTGGCAGGTGGTTTGTCCATACGATGCCTCGCCTGCCGTGTTCAGTCTTATAGGGCCCTTTTGCGGCCCGATTGATCTCTAGATTAAGAGGGGAACCCACCAGACAATTCGGAAAGCCGTTCTCCAACCTTAGGCAAATTGACCCCCACCCCTCTTTTCAGGGCAGTTTGAAACCATCCTCTTCAAAAGGCCTTGTGTCCACTTCTGTTGAAAGGAAGGTATCCCTTTGGTCCAGGAGTGCTTGTACATAATTTCCCCCGTTACATAGCCCTTGGACAAATGAACCCAAAAGGCCTGCTGATGTTCATACCCCTCTCCCCAAAACGGGTATCTAGGCCTTATAAAGTGGGTTGGAAAACACGGAAGCCAATGGCTATGAACAAGGGCCATGTACTTCCCTAAGATTTGGGTATGGGTCAAAATTAAACCAGGAATCGGACCAGCTTTAGTCCTTGTTTCCATTTACCGATCGGGCAAGCCATTTTGGGGTTACCGTATTACCCACAACCAAAATGGGCGAAGCCTCGATTCGGTTTTTCGGTTCCTCGCTCGGTTCCTGGGAGCTTCGAGGTTGCGCTCTTCAAGGTCAACGCCAACGGCCGGATCTCCCACCGCACCGAGCTGGTGAAGCATGACGGGAACGTCAAAAACTCGGTGGCCCGACTAGGTCCAGGTGCCCCTTCTTACTGTTTCTTTTTCTGTTGGGAGGGTTCCTACTAAAATGGACTACAGAAAGAACGTTGGTACCCTTATTCTAACCTCTCTACTGGAGGACACAGTCCACGTGCAAGTAAGGGAACCAAGGAAAGAGAGTCTTGTTTGCAGTAGCCCTGGTCGTGTGTCTTGGTGAAACACCCAGCCGTCCAGTTTCTTAGGTTTTCGGATTTTTGCTGGTATTGTGGGAGTTTCCATGTCACCCATGGCACAAGCAGTTAAACTCTTAGAAGAGGATCTGAGGACCACCTCGGTATGGATGGTTCACTTGCCATGTGAACCGCGGATTCATCGCACCGCACGCGTTGTCTTAGAACATGGCCATGTTTTCCGCACAAGCTGTCAGGGGCCAAGGACCAACTCAGCCGCAATGATCCAACCTGCCAACACAAACATGGGTCTGTCTCAAAATAGGGAGCTGCAACATGTTTGGAAAGCGGTTTCTTCAAAGTAGCCCAGGCAACCAAGCAGTTTTCGAGGTCATTGAGACACACCCACAAGTTTCTTTGGGCGTCAAACGAACACCTGGGGGTAGCCTCAGCATGGGGTTGGCACGGGGCCGAGTCGATTTCGCCTCCTGTGGCCTGGAGGCTTGCTAAACATCCCAACCGTCTCTGGACCTCAATTTTTGTCTGGCAACATAGGGACCCCATAAAATGCCGGCGTCCTTATGATTTCCCTTTTGAACAAGCCTTAAAAAAAGAGGGAAAAACGAACCCCAATTTGTGGTCCAAGCTTCGGTTCGATCCACACCAGGAGAGCCTCGGTGTGGGGGTGAACAAGGACCGCCAGGAGGGCCCGCATCCGCACATGGCATGCCTGGACAAGCGGAACAAGTTCCTGCTGGCCGGGAGCGACAAAATCTCCGGAACAGCTCCTAATGTTGACCCCGAATTGATTTAAAACCGAGACACGCAAAAGTGATCCGGATTCCCACTGGCAGTGGTTGATCGCCATGTCCGCGACCTGTGTCAGGTCCAAAGCTAGATGGGAGGTACCTAGAAGACAAGTTACACCCCAAGAGACCACGGGCCGAAAAGCCTCGAGCATTTTTGCATGGCAAACAGCATGTCTTGAGGGATCTCCTGGCCTCCCTCTAAAAGTGCCTTAAGCAACTTACGGCGGGGAACTTTCCTTAGGGGTTCCCAGTGTTGCCAACTTCCAATTGCTTGCGACGTGTTTTTTTGATTTTTGTTGAACAGACATATTATAATGTGTTTGCCCTGTTGGCTTTTTAGTTGCATTTGTTATGTGTTTGGTTGGCTTTGTTAGTTGGACATGTTGTGATTTGTCCAATTATGCAAATGGAAGAGTCTTGCTGTGGATGGATAAGGTCCTGCACCGGTCGGGATGGATGACCCCCTATATTAGTGGTTGATAAACCACCTACCTTCCTCTGTGAAGTTGATTGTGTTCATCAGTCCATCTAGAGCAGGAGTAAAACCGTTTCCGTCCAACTGGGTGACAAACAACTAGTTGGCGCGCCAACTCTGGTGTTTTTTTTGGGGCGGTGCGCAGGCGCACGGCGCTTCAGACTGGTTGCTTCCCTACACACGGAGTCCCCTTGGCCTCCCTCCGGACTGGCCTTTCTCCATGTTGGCTCTGCAGTGCAGTGGAGAATTGGTAAACGGGTGTCCCTTTCCGATTTTTTTTGGGGTGCTAACGGTCTATGCCAGGATCTTTGGAGTAGCGTCAACAGGGAGTCTCATGGAGGATCTCTTTGAAGTTGGTATCCTTTGGGTTTTCAAATGTGAAATCCGAGACTAGAAAAGATCCTTCATCGTCACATGGTCACTTACTCGGTCACTTACATGGGAAGTCCTTATTGCAGTTTGTGAGTACCTGGAGCCTCAGAATTCCCTTAAACATGAGTTGTTGCCCAAAAATTATGGTGCGAATCCCATTTTTTATGGGTAGTTTGAGGGTCCTGGTGATGTTCGAGATATGTTCGAGATGTGGTGAGTAATCGTCACATAGCACATGGACCCATTGTGGCTCAATTGTGTGGCTGGGTGTGGCAACTGGTTCTTACCCACTGTACTCTTTGTTGTGTTGTGACGGCGAATGTGAACATAGCGAAGCCTTCCACACGAATGAGTTTAGAGGTATTTATGACATGTCGCGAGTTCGTAGGTGCCTGACCTTGGCTTGGATCGGGTGATGACCTACTCGCTCAGCACAGGCGAACGTGTAGGCACCCTGCACCCCGGCGGAAACTGAAGAGGTCTTTGTGAAAATTGGGGGCCCCCTTATTGATTGTTTTCAGGGCACCCTTGTAGGGGGTTGTCCCCTTTTATTGGGGGGTTTCAGCGGGGGTCAGTTGACCTTTTTTTGTCCCCTATTTTGTTTATGAGCAAGAGTTCCGAAAGGCTCATCTTTTATTCTAGGCCCTTTGGGCAAGTGAGTTCATTGGGGGGCCCCTTGTTGGTTGAAGGAAACAGGCATGGGGTTCTTTGGTGCCACTTTCTGTGACACAGGAGCCCACAATCAACGCTCCGGATAAAGCGAAGGATTGTAACTGGGCAAATTACAGAGACCATCACAAGGCTGGTTTGCAACACCCATGCTGAAGATTTCTTTCTAAAGTTCTTAAAGGATCCCTTGTTTGCGGTGGTTTAATTATAGTTACGTGCCCAGTTTGCTGAAAGGCCTTGTTTGTTGGCTGTTAAAGGAGCCCCACTTTGTTCGGTTGGTGGCAAGAGGAAAGCCACACCTTTGTTGCTTTGTAAGCAGAAAGCACATTTTGCGTGGTTGGATGGGAAAGGAACAATGACCTTTTTGGGTTGGTTGTTGTTAAAGGAACATCGGACCTTTTGATTGGTCTGGACTGAAAGACAATCCGCAAGGTCCTTCCTTCCGGTTGCAGGAGTTGGGCCAACCTTTGTTTGAACAACCCGGGTGGGCCCGGATTGTGCTTTGCAGTCAAGACACATCCGCTTGCTGCAAAATGTGCAGACCATGCGCCCCTTCATGTTCATTGGCGAAGCGTCTCACTTGTTTCCTCACTGACGTGAAATGCCGGACTAGTCCCTCGGATGATGGGTAATGTGTACTGCTGATCCATCGGGACTGGAAATGTGTGGTCTGACTTATTGGGTGGTCAACTCATACCTAGCTCTTCCTTTTCGTCACTCTTCAAAACTCTGGCGCTGGTCATTTTCTTTGCTCGTTTCAGATTCTGAGCGGGAAAAAAACAACAACATGAAATGAGCGGTGTGGCCCGTTGTCTCCGGGAAATGAGCGGACATTTGCGGCGCACACACACACACACACACACACACCAGTCTCAGAACATTTTCCCAATTAAGCTGCTTTTGTTGTTTCCTAATTGAGAGCTTCTTTGGGTGAAATGAGCGCGTTGTTTTTCCTCAATTAAGCTTGGTGGATAACTCAACGGCCTTGTCATTTTCAGGCGCGAAGAAGTTGGGTCTCAGATGATTGGAAGCTAGCTGAAAGGTTAGCAACCCACATTGATCCCCAGTTCACCTGCGATTAGAGCATTGTAGTCAGGGTTACAAACCATTTAGCAATCACCAGGGCAAGTGGATACCATCCACGAAGTGCATTTGGGGCTACCTGGACCCTCACACTACCCATGAAAAAAAGGAATTAATCACCTTGAGGGTGCAGGTAGTTGAGTTTGAAGTGAAGCCCATCCCAAAAAGCCATGAAGCCATGCACGAAAAAATGGGTCGGTTTTGCGAGTTTGTTCATCTTAACTTGAACAGGATTTGAGTACGTGCCGAAATCGGGGATCCCCTTCTTTGGTTTTCTGCTTTTGGCGTCCCTTTAAACCGACCACAAAAAAGGCCCTTAAACAACAACGGGTGGTTCCCTTAAGCAGCCCTGGAATAATGAGCCGCCTGTAAATGCCAGCAAACAATGGTTTCCCATGGTTTCAAAGTGGTGCGAAATGCATTTCGTCCATCCACGGTAGCACACACACACAGACACACACACACACACACACACACACACACACACACACACACACACGGTTCTACCCTTTGACTACCCCCAAAAAGAGTTAAACCCATTGGTTGATTTCCCTAAAAGCAAAATCCCCGGTTTAAGTTTATGGGGTGGTCAAAAAGTAGAACCCTGCGCATGGGTCGTGCGCCAGGAAGAGCGCGGGTCGTTTGTCGCTGCCGCCGGGCTCGGGCCCGCGGCACCTGGCACTGCACCCGGCGTCGAATCGGGCGTACGTGCTGAATGAGCTGTTGTCCACAGCCCCTTGGCTTCCAAAGGCTGACGAACAAAATAGGTGGGGGGGGGTCTGCTAAGGGGGTCCTCCCGAGAAAACCGACGCCTAGAGTCTTTATGACGCTTCCAAAATAGTTGGTTATGTACCCAAAACAAAGGGGTCATGGACCCATTTTTGAAAGCGTCATGGAAACTCCAGGCAGGGTCCTCCCACAACTGGTTTTCAACTTCGGAACTCGGGGGGGGTCCTCAAGCTCGATCCCAAAAACAGCCCTATAACGCACACAGGGTTCCGGGATAAGATGAAGGGGATGGGTTAGGGGGGGACGTTATCTCAGGTTTATATCCTAAGGGCAACCCCTGTGTAGGATCTATGACTTTGACCCCGGATTTTTCAACCCCAGTTTGTTGGGCACCCTGGGTCTCTGCGATGGAACCCTACCATGGATGGACAAATTTATTTGGCGCTACTTTCAAACCATGGTTTGGTATTCACGTTGGGGAATCGAAAATCATTCCCTTGGGTTTCTGAACGGTGTTTGGAAAGGAATTTCGTCGACCCACCGTATTTTAAGGTGGCCAAAAGGCCGAAAAAAAATGGATGACCATCAGGGAAACCACAGACAGGGAACGCTACCCACGGTTCGGCCAATATTGAGCAACCCCCATTTTGAGATAGCCTTTTGACAAAATCAACCACCCCTAATTCGCTGCGTCTACTTTCACCACACCCACAAAAGCTTCTTTCCATTTGTCTAGTTTTGCTATCTTCCCCTGTTCATTTAATACTGTGGACAAATTCCAGCACCATCAAACGTTGGGGTTTCAACCATGGTTTTATTTCGGTGATGCAAGACTCGCGGATTTCGCAACCATCAGCTGACCCCAAGAACTTGGTGAGAGGGTTCCTTTGGGTCGAACTGTTTCTTTCCCTGGGGGGCGTGGGTTGGCCAAAGGAAGTGATCCAAGTGGACATGAAGCTGAACCCAGATGTCCATTCAGTCGTCCACTGGACCCTCAAACTACCCAAAAAGTTGGCATTCATCCCATGTTGGGTTTCAAGAACAACCATTTTGAGGTCGGAACTAGCCATCCACAGGTGACTCCAAGAACACGGCGACACAGTTCCTTTGGGGTCGAAATGTTCCTTGCCCTACCAAGTTGGAATTCATCCCATAAGGTTGGGTTGCAATAACCCATTTTTAACGGGAATTTGAGACCCCAGGTAGACTCCCTCCCCTTGAAGGAAGGTACAAAAAGATCTCGGAGGTTGTGACCTGTGACTACAACGTGGTCTCGGGGGAGCTCACGGCTCTGCAGACCGTGGACGCGGTGCCTGGTAGTCCCCCCGTGGGAGTGGATGGCCAGACGTTCTGCTCGGCCATCCGGGTTTCAGGACTCGGTATCGGATTTCTCTTGGGGATACCGCACATACGGCTCCGACGATTTTTTTCTATGGAAGCTGCTGATGTGTCTTCCAGGTCCAGGAACCTGTACTCAGTTGTTCAGTGGCTCCCTTTTTCCCTTTTTTTTGGTGGCTGCCCCACTAAAATGGTCTTCCCAAAAAAGGGTTCCCTTTTTTTCCAGGGTCACTGAACAACTGAGTGTAGGTTCCATGATGGCTTGTTTGGGAGGCTACGCTTTTTGGTTTTAGTCCACCAAAGAGTGTGGGGCAACCGCTCGGCCTAAGCCATGCCGAAGCCAACTCTAAACCATCCCTAAACCAACTCTAAACCCCACCATACACCCACCTTAGTTCCCAACACCACCCCAAACCAATCCCATACCAACCCTAAACCGGCCCCAATCCAACGTGACATTTTCTGGTCAATCGAGTCAGAAAGTGAACTATGGAATTTAAGGGCTGCCGCCCAGTGCCGCCGACCCCTCCGCTGGGGGCCAGCCCAGGTTTTTTTTTGTTCTGGCAGCGGCTTTTGGCTGGTTCAGGCTTGCTGGCTTGCTGGCTTGCTCGCTCGCTTGATTGTTTGCTTGTTTTCAGCGCTTTTCCAGGCCGCGCTCGTTTGCCCACACAGCGAGCACCAACCAAAGGAGCGCTATATGGAAAGTAGACAGCAATCGGTCCCCAGGGCGCAACCAGCAAGAACAGCTTCGCGTCCAGCGCGCTTGGAGGCCGCACTCGCTTCGCTGCAGCGAGCACGAACCAAAGGAGTGCGCCGGCAGCCTGCTCCGCCGCGGCCGAGTGCCTAACGTCGCATTAGAGTCCAACATGCAGCAAAGCTATCGGTGCAGAGGGAGCGGCCAGCCACAAAAGCTTCGCTTCCCGCGCTTTTCCAGGCCGCACTCGTTTGTCCACAGCGAGCGCCAACGAAAGGAGTGCGCCGGCAGCAGAAAGGAAAAGGAAAGCAACCAAAGGAGTGCGCAGAAAAGGAGAAAAAGGAAGAAAAAAGGCCGTACGGGCGGGCCGCGAGAGAGCTTCAGCGCTGAAAACTGTGCCCTGCAGGTGTTCGAGCGCTGTTTTAGGCCGCACTCGTTTGCCCCCCACAGCGAGCACCAACCAAAGGAGTGCGAAGACAGGCCGAACGGGCTGGCCGTGACAGAGCTTCAGCGCTGAAATCTGCGGCCAGCAGGGGTTTGAGCACTCTCGGCCTTCTCAGCTCAGGGGTAGTTGGTGTAGCGGCATCACACCCAGCATGTGAGAGGGCGGGCTCAATCCCCGGCCTGTCCATGCCCATGCGCGCCTGCGTCTGGGACAGTCTGCCGATGCCTGCTCTTCTTTCCTTTGGGTTTGCTGTGCGCCTTGCCAAGGGCGGCTGTTTCCACCGCGGCCGGGTGCCGAACGTCACTGTAGAATCCTATACAGAAGGTAGAAAGCTATCGGTCCCCAGGGCGCGACCAGCAAGAACAGCTTCGCGTCCAGCGCGCTTGGAGGCCGCACTCGCTTCGCCGCAGCGAGCACGAACCAAAGGAGTGCGCCGGCAGCCTGCTCCGCCGCGGCCGGGTGCCTAACGTCGCGTTTGAGTGGCCTCTTTTCGCTGTGGGCAAACGAGCGCGGCCTGGAAAAGCGCTCAAGCACCTGCAGGGCACAGTTTTCAGCGCTGAAGCTCTGTCACGGCCCGCTCGTCCGGCCTTTTTGCTTCCTTTCTGCTGCCGGCGCACTCCTTTGGTTGGTTCTCGCTGTGGGCAAAGGAGTGCGTCTAGTCTTCCTTTCTGCTGCCGGCGCACTCCTTTGGTTTCTTTCCTTTTCCTCTCTGCTGCCGCGCAAGCGCGGGAAGCGAGCTTCAGCGCTGAAAGCTATGCGCAGCAGGTATTTGAGCACTCTCGGCCTGCTCAGCTCAGGGGCAGTTGGTGTAGTGGTATCACACCCGCTCAGCATGCGAGAGGGGCTGGGTTCAATCCCCGGCCTGTCCATGCCCATGTGCGCCTGCGTCTGTCACAGTTTGCCTCTCCCTGGTCTTTCATCCCTTTGGGTTTGCTGTGCGTCTTGCCAAGACCGGCTGGTACGCCGCGGCCGGGTGCCGAACGTCACTTTTGAATCCTATATAGAAAGTAGAAAGCTATCGGTCCCCAGGGCGCGACCAGCAAGAACAGCTTCGCGTCCAGCGCGCTTGGAGGCCGCACTCGCTTCGCCGCAGCGAGCACGAACCAAAGGAGTGCGCCGGCAGCCTGCTCCGCCGCGGCCGGGTGCCTAACGTCGCGGCTGAGTCCAATATGCAGCAAGGCTATGGGTCTAGAGGGAGCGGCCAGCCAGAAAAGCTTCGCTTCCCGCGCTTTTCCAGGCCGCACTCGTTTGTCCACAGCGAGCGCCAACCAAAGGAGTGCGCCGGCAGCAGAAAGGAAAAGGAAAGAAAAGAAACGAAGAAGAACAAGAAAAAAGGGAAAGAAAGAAGGCTGGTAAGGTACAGGGCTGAACGGGCGAGGGCGAAAGGGAAGGGAGAAGGCTTGGTGCGCTGCGAGCGCACGCAAGATGCGTGGCTAAAGGAAGTCCAGGATCAGTTTCGTCACGGTCGCCTCACTGCGGTCACACATGCGTTCTTGCATGGCAAAGCGACGGCAGTGCCAGGCAGTTGGCACAACGGCCGCGCGAACTGTGGAAGTCGGACGTGTGAAGCTCTGGCGACAAACCAGGTGGCGCCGGAGCGCATCCTGGAAGAGGAGTGCAAGGTGTGCAAATCAGAGAGGCGCTCCAAAGCGCTCGTAGCAGCCACGCCGCAGGATCCGCGACTACGGAACGAACTGAAAGATGCCACGTGCATTTTTGCGACGAACGCTGTCAAGTATCATGTTAACAGGACGCGCGCGCGCGAGAGTTTGCGGCCAAAGCTCGGCAGCAAATATATTATTCGATTGCTGAAGATCTAGCGTCGGCAGCAGTGCTCGCAGAGAAGCCACACTTGGAGGAAGACAAAGTGAAGTGGCTGCAGCGTCATGACCGCGAAAGCGGCAACTTGTACGGGACGCTGCCGCTGTGCATTGGCATGCCGGTATCAGCGACTGACCACTTGGACCGGGAACGACGCGTGCTTCGCGGCTGCGCGGGGACTGTGCGTGGCTGGACGCACACGGGCGACAAAAGCGAGGTGACGCGTGCGGACGGGCACGTGCGTTATTGGGCGGAAATGCCAGCGGCCGTGTACGTGAAGTTCCGCACGAGCAAGACATGGCGCGTCGATGGCATACAAGAAGACTGCGTCCTGCCCGTTGCGCCAGTTCGAAGTGCGTGGTTCCTCGATGGGAAACGCAAGAAACCACAGCTTCGCGTGTCTCGCCGACAGCTGCCCCTGAGCCCGGCGTTTGCGTTGACAGCGCACGGGGCGCAAGGGATAACAGCAGTCAACGGCGCAGTCGTGGACATAGCCATGAAGAAGGGAGACAACCCGTTGACATCGTACGTGGCCATGACGCGGGTTGAAGGGAGACAAAAGCTGGGGATATTTCGCCCGTTCGACTTGGAGCCGTTTCAACGCGGAGACGATTTTGGCCGTAACCTGCTTTTGCGAGTTTGGAGGGGGGAGGTCATCGATTGGGAAGCCATTCGGAAAAAGTACCTGATCGAAAAAGAGTGCGTCGAGTGCCTGCAGCGGAAGGGTCGTTGCGCGTACACTGCGGGGCGATGGAAACGAGAGGACGCCAGCGGAGTGTGTAAAGAATGCACCGGGCGGCACGAAAGCGCAGGCCACCCGTGGCAATGCTGCGTTTGCTACTACTGGCAGCCTCGGGCAGGGTTCCTCGAGAAGTGGCATAGAACGCGAAGCGAGCTGCAACGAGTCTGCTGCAATTGCATCGAAACCCATGCGTGCGCGCGTTGCGCAGAGTCGAAAACAGAGAGCGATTTCAGCAAGGCGGCGTGGCAAACACGGCGCAAGGCGCGCCAAGTGTGCAAGGACTGCAGCGCAAAGGAACGAGGCCATTGGACATGCGTGCAGTGCAACGAGAGATGCGCAGCTGCCGCGTTCTCGCGGTACAAGAGGGCGCGGAACGGGAAGCAAGAGTGCAATGCCTGCCTCCGAGCGCGTGACACAAAAGCGATCGCCAAGAAGAGCGCCGCGCGATTAGCGCGCAGACGCGCAGCCCAGAAGCGCCGGGCGCTGGCCGAGATCCGCGCATGCATCGCAGACATTATTCGCGCGCGGGAAAGGCGCAGCGCAGCGGCGCAGGCGTCGGAGCCACGCGACCGAGGAAAGGAGGCCGAAAAGAAGGCAGAGCGCTCGCAGCGAACGTACACTTGCCCGCACTGCAGCGCCGACGTGGAGTCAGGCGTCTGGAGCGGCACGGTTCACTCGCGACGGCATTGCGGGCGCAACTTCCAAGTTCGCGAGGGACAGGTTGTGCGCCGAGAAGCTGGCGCGAGGTACGAGCATGCGTGTCCGACCTGCGGAGCGACAGTGCAGTCGAGCACGAGGCAAGGCCGGATCCGGGTCCAACACGAAGAGCCAAACAGCAGCCGCTTTTGCCAGACCAAGGACTGGCGCACGAAATGACGTGTGCGGAAATCTGGCAGCAGAGCGCAAAAATCTTGCGCATCGGTCCTGCATGCCTGCTCGCAAGAACAGCTTCGCGTACAGCGCGCTGAGAGGCCGCGCTCGTTTTGCCACAGCGAGCACCAGCCAAAGGAGTGCGCCGGCAGCAGAAAGGAAGAAAGGAGGCCGAACGGGCGGGCCCGCACTCGTTTGCCCACAGCGAGCACCAAACCAAAGGAGTGCGCCGGCAGCAGAAAGGAAGAAAAAAGGCCGGACGGGCGGGCCGTGACAAAGCTTCAGCCCTGAAAACTGTGCTTTGCAGGTGCTGGAGCGCTTTTCCAGGCCGCACTCGTTTGCCTACAGCGAGCGCCAACCAAAGGAGAGCGCCGGCAGCCGATAGGAAGAAAAAAGGCCGAACAGGTGGGTCTTCAGCGCGAAAAGCTGTGCCGAGCAGGTAGTTGAGCACGCTCGGCCTCCTGAGCTCAGGGGCAGTTGGTGTAGTGGTATCACACCCGCTCCGCACGCGAGAGGGGCCGGGCTCAACCCCCGGCCTGTCCATGCCCATGTGCGCCTGCGTCTGGCACCGTTTGCCATCCCTGGCACGAACCAAAGGAGTGCGCCGGCAGCCTGCTCAAAAAGCAGCAAGGCTGTCGGTCCAGAGGGAGCGGCCAGCCACAAAAGCTTCGCTTCCCGCGCTGGTCCAGGCCGCACTCGTTTGTCCACAGCGAGCACCAACCAAAAGGAGTGCGCCGGCGTCAAAAAGGAAGAAAAGAGGCCGAGCGGGCGGGCCCGCACTCGTTTGCCCACAGCGAGCGGGAGCGGCCAGCCACAAAAGCTTCGCTTCCCGCGCTGGTCCAGGCCGCACTCGTTTGTCCACAGCGAGCACCAACCAAAAGGAGTGCGCCGGCGTCAAAAAGGAAGAAAAGAGGCCGAGCGGGCGGGCCCGCACTCGTTTGCCCACAGCGAGCACCAACCAAAAGGAGTGCGCCGACAGCAGAAAGGAAGAATAGAGGCCGAACGGGCTGGCCGTGACAGAGCTTCAGCGCGGAAAGCGGTGCCCAGCAGGTAGTTGAGCACTCTCGGCCTCATCAGCTCAGGAGCAGTGGGTGTAGTCGCATCACACCCGCTCAGCATGCGAGAGAGGCCGGGTTCAATCCCCAGCCTGTCCATGCCCATGTGCGCACTGCGTTGGTCTTTCTCGCTTAGGGTTTGCTGTGCGTCTCGCCAAAAGCGGCTCCTGCAGGGCACAGTTTTCACCGCTGAAGCTCTGTCACGGCCCGCTCGTCCGGCCTTTTTGCTTCCTTTCTGCTGCCGGCGCACTCCTTTGGTTGGTTCTCGCTGTGGGCAAAGGAGTGCGGGCCCGCCCGTTCGGCCTCTAGTCTTCCTTTCTGCTGCCGGCGCACTCCTTTGGTTTCTTTCCTTTTCCTCTCTGCTGCCAGCGCAAGCGCGGGAAGCGAAGCTTTTGTGGCTGGCCGCTCCCTCTGGACCTTCAGCGCTGAAAGCTATGCGCAGCAGGTATTTGAGCGCTCTCGGCCTGCTCAGCTCAGGGGCAGTTGGTGTAGTGGTATCACACCCGCTCAGCATGCGAGAGGGGCTGGGTTCAATCCCCGGCCTGTCCATGCCCATGTGCGCCTGCGTCTGTCACAGTTTGCCTCTCCCTGGTCTTTCATCCCTTTGGGTTTGCTGTGCGTCTTGCCAAGACCGGCTGGTACGCCGCGGCCGGGTGCCAAACGTCACTTTTGAATCCTATATAGAAAGTAGAAAGCTATCGGTCCCCAGGGCGCGACCAGCAAGAACAGCTTCGCGTCCAGCGCGCTTGGAGGCCGCACTCGCTTCGCCGCAGCGAGCACGAACCAAAGGAGTGCGCCGGCAGCCTGCTCCGCCGCTAGAAAGCTATCGGTCCCCAGGGCGCGACCAGCAAGAACAGCTTCGCGTCCAGCGCGCTTGGAGGCCGCACTCGCTTCGCCGCAGCGAGCACGAACCAAAGGAGTGCGCCGGCAGCCTGCTCCGCCGCGGCCGGGTGCCTAACGTCGCGTTTGAGTGGCCTCTTTTCGCTGTGGGCAAACGAGCGCGGCCTGGAAAAGCGCTCAAGCACCTGCAGGGCACAGTTTTCAGCGCTGAAGCTCTGTCACGGCCCGCTCGTCCGGCCTTTTTGCTTCCTTTCTGCTGCCGGCGCACTCCTTTGGTTGGTTCTCGCTGTGGGCAAAGGAGTGCGGGCCCGCCCGTTCGGCCTCTAGTCTTCCTTTCTGCTGCCGGCGCACTCCTTTGGTTTCTTTCCTTTTCCTCTCTGCTGCCGGCGCAAGCGCGGGAAGCGAAGCTTTTGTGGCTGGCCGCTCCCTCTGGACCTTCAGCGCTGAAAGCTATGCGCAGCAGGTATTTGAGCACTCTCGGCCTGCTCAGCTCAGGGGCAGTTGGTGTAGTGGTATCACACCCGCTCAGCATGCGAGAGGGGCTGGGTTCAATCCCCGGCCTGTCCATGCCCATGTGCGCCTGCGTCTGTCACAGTTTGCCTCTCCCTGGTCTTTCATCCCTTTGGGTTTGCTGTGCGTCTTGCCAAGACCGGCTGGTACGCCGCGGCCGGGTGCCGAACGTCACTTTTGAATCCTATATAGAAAGTAGAAAGCTATCGGTCCCCAGGGCGCAACCAGCAAGAACAGCTTCGCGTCCAGCGCGCTTGGAGGCCGCACTCGCTTCGCCGCAGCGAGCACGAACCAAAGGAGTGCGCCGGCAGCCTGCTCCGCCGCGGCCGGGTGCCTAACGTCGCGGCTGAGTCCAATATGCAGCAAGGCTATGGGTCTAGAGGGAGCGGCCAGCCAGAAAAGCTTCGCTTCCCGCGCTTTTCCAGGCCGCACTCGTTTGTCCACAGCGAGCGCCAACCAAAGGAGTGCGCCGGCAGCAGAAAGGAAAAGGAAAGAAAAGAAACGAAGAAGAACAAGAAAAAAGGGAAAGAAAGAAGGCTGGTAAGGTACAGGGCTGAACGGGCGAGGGCGAAAGGGAAGGGAGAAGGCTGCCACAGTCACGCTCCAACGCTAAACGAACACTCCCCCAGCGCCTTCCCCTTGCAGGCAGGGGGTCGGCGGATTTTAGAGCCACTCTTGTGAGAAGGGCATCCCCTTGAAATCAGAGAGGAGCTTTTGAAAGATGAGCACGAGGGAACAAGACCATTGGCATGGTGTCCTTTCTCGGTTGTCCCAATTCTGACCTTTTGACCTTTTGGTTTCCCATGTTGATCCGTGGTTAGTCCAGGCTCCAAACGCTTGACCTGTATTTTTGGACAACCCAAGGGGTAACTTACCAATTTCAACCCTTTCGATCGGGCCCGGAGCCCTGACCTCAAGGGCAACCTCAAAATGACAAGGCACCCTCAAAAACAACCCAAAAAGATACAGACAGGTACCTAAAAATTGGACACACCCTCAGACAAGTATCCAGAATATGAGAGTTGGGCCACATGTCTTTGGCTCGCAAGCGCATTCCCTTGAAAGTGACCAAGGGATGTTGGAATCCCACTCTGGTATCCTCATTTCCGACCATTGGGCTTAAGGACGGGATGTCAGGGACTCAGACTTGGAATCCAAAAGTGAGTTCGGGTGCCTGTAAACATTGCCGGGTGTCCTCAAATGGAAGGGTCTCCTCTGAACATGTATGGGTTTCCAATCAAAAGGGATAGGGTTTCTGATCAACCTGGATGCGAAACCTCACGCGCCGCAGGAGACGGGAAATTTGTCTATGTCTCCAACCGCGGGCACTGCTCGATCAGCGCCACTTGACTGATTCGTTGGGGATTGATTGACGCCAAGGTGAGTAGGCGGTTGACCCTGTTGCAAAGTCGAACCCGTCCTATTTTTGGGGCGTGGGCCCCATTAAAAGTGGTCTCAGAGTCTGAATCCCCAATCCCAGACCCCCCCCCCCCCCGGTAGGAAGGGTTTATTCATCCAGGGTCAACATTAGGCGGCTAAAACAGGAGCCGAATTTAAATGACCTTGTGTTCAGTAGTCCTTTAAGTGGCTGGTCAGTGTGAAAATCCTGAGATGAAAACTTATTTATCGGGGATTACCAAGCGGGGTGGTCATCCAAGTAGGGAACCCCAAGCCGTTTGCCTTGGAGACGCCTAAGTTGTTTTAGGTTGCTCCCCTTCATGCATAGACTCCTTGCGCTTTTCAACGTTCAGGCTTCTTCCAGCCCACCACCCCCATGCTTGAACCTTCTGAAGCGGGGAACTGGTGTCGGGTGGGGGTTGCTCCGAGCTGATGGAAGGTTTGTCAAACACCCCAAGGATCGAAACCCTGGCGTATGGTGTCGTTTGGTTTTGTTTGAACCAGGGGCTATCTTGGAGCAACCCTTTTGCTTGTCCTTCAAAGGCCGTTGCAACCAACATAAGCTCCTTATGTGCCGGTTTTCCAATGTGTGTGTGAGCTTGCTAGTGAGTGACATGTTTTTAGCACGTGGAATTTCGTGGTTGGCATAGGTGTCCTTTGTAGGTTAGGCTGGAAATAGATGGCACTGGTGGATTTCATTTCATTTCCGAGGCTCTATGCCGTTGGGGGGGACTCACTTTTCGACCCCGAATTTGGCCGACCTCTTCCTTGACCCTTAAGAGGCCACTCTCAGGGATTCAATAGGCTCGCGACCAGTCAGTCTCCTTTTTGGGCCGCGAAATCGGTCGTCTTCTCCTTGTTTCAGGCACCTTACTGGGGTCTCCTCCAAAACCGGAAAAAATAGGAGTTGCCGAAATATATACCAGAAACTGCAAATCTTGAGTTTTTGTACACCCCAGATTGCGCTACAAACTACGCGCTTTAAAGGCTTTCCAACCGGTCAGTGTCGTGCTTATTAGCCCCTGCAACTGGGCATTCTTTGGCGGGGTAGGGTGCCTAGTTGGTTGGTCCTCTGATGTCCTCTGAACATGTTGGAGTAGAGGGTACATCAAATACAGATTACCCTTTGGGGCCGTATTGTTGATTTCGTTTTGATTCGGGAGAGTTGCTTGATTAATTCCCATTCCACGGTTTAAAGAACTTTAATTAAACCGCTGTGTAGAATCTTACCAAACACCTTTCCGCTGGTTCCTACATGCGTTGGATCATCTTAAAGTTACAGGGGAAAGCAGACACTATCCACGAAAAAACCTGCTAATCCTGAAGGGTTTGCAACCTTGGCGAAACGCCTGTTGCTGGCTGCATCTAAGGTCTCCATATACCAGTGCGGGGGTATCTCAAATAGTTGGTACTTTTTTTCGGGAAGCTGAAAGGACGCCGACCACTTTAGGCCCACTATTTCTAAGACCGGATGGGCTCAGACAGGAGAGGTTTCAGCGGAACAAACAACTCAAAAACAATTCAGCCAAAACACAACTGAAAAGAACACAGACTCAAAACAAACACAACGAAAACACAGAAAACACACAAAGGACGACTCACAAAAAGCACAGAAACAACGCAGAAAACAACCTGAGTTTTGTCTGAGTTATTTCTGAGTTTGTTTCTGAGTTTGTTTGAGTTTGTTTTGAGTGCTTTTGTGCTTTCTTGGGGGGAAGCTGCAGATTTCCTCCCCAACCACCCCCCTCAGAAAAATGAAAACATACTCAAAAGCACTCAGAAGCAGCGCAGAAAAACTTAAGACTCAACACAAACTCAGAAACAACTTAAAGTAGCTCAGCTCCCGACTCAGCCTCAAACTCAAGTCGGGGGATCGAGTTCAAGGCCGAGTTTGTTTTCTGAGTTTGTTCTGAGTCTTCCCAGGTTGGGAGTTTTTAGGATTGAGCTTTCTTGAGTTGGAGTTCCTGGATTTGAGGCGTGTGTGGACGAGATCAGGTCTTAACACTATTTTGCGAACACACCGTTTGTTTACCCCATATACCTGGACCCTTGGAATGCCAACTGAGAAATGGGAATTATTGCGCCCGAAGATTCTGGTGGGTGAATTGTCCAACGTTGTTTTTCTGGGTAGTTCTCCGGCGGGTTCAGGTATACTACTTATATTCAGGTTGCCCGTAATTGGTGGTTTGGATTGGTGTTTTTTTGGATTTGCATTTGAAGCCGTGGTTCTTGCAAAGGGTAGATGGGACCCTGGCAACCCCTCCGAAGCACCACCAAAGCATCGACTTGGCTGCAAATCACCAACTGGAAAGAACATGATTGAACTGACCGGGAATCCCCCTTCATCCCTAAACCCCCGAATCCTTCCCTATCGCAGCAACAAGTTTTGGAAAGGGAATTGCAAGGGAGAGGGTTTAAACCAGATGTGGGCAGGCTTTCGCAAGCGGTTGTGCCACCCAGGCCCAAGAAAAATCAGACCAAAAAGCCCACCTCTTCTTCCATTTGCTTAAGATTATGTTTTATTTTCCCCTTTTGGTTTCAAAGGGAATCTGTCACTGCTGGACATATTTGTATTTTTTTCCAGGGGTCTTAAACCTTCTGGAAGTCTTGGACTGTTTTCCTTCATTTCAGGTCTTCGAGGTGGACGAGGGCCTCACCCTGCGGAGCTGTACTCTGACCGCGGAGGGCGAGGTCTTCGGCGACGCCCCTCTGGGCTGCCAGTGGCCGCCACGTAACTGCCCGCGGGACTTCGCTCCTCGGACCGGTTTATCGGAAAATTGGAAAATCCGAGCTGTGGACTGTCTTTTTCTTTTTTGGGGCGGGGGGGAAACGGGAAAATGGAGAATCCGCTGTGTCCAAACAAGTTAAGGTCCAAAGATTTGGTGTTCGACAATGTTCGACATTTGATTGCCTTTCAAAACCACACAAAAAGAATGGGGCACCCTCAACAAATGACACACCAATGCATAGTATATAGCAAAGGACAATTCCTAGGGCTCGGATGTTTGTTTGTTTGTTCCTGGGGCTGCTTTTTCGTAGGTCTGGTTGCCTGGCAGGTTGGTCAAACAAAAACATAGGAGAACCAAGAACACCTCTACCTTCGGCCTTCCAGATTTAGCACGGATCCCAGAAAACCATCCAGTTGTTTGAGGAATCTCCTGAAAGAGCAGGCCAACGGCCATACCTATAGACAAAATGCACCAAATGGGGTGTCGTTTCTCAGGGCACCCCGGAAAAAGCTGTGGTCCTTTTGGTTTTCCTTTAGAACCACAAAGAAGAGATACCCTTCAACAACGACACACCCAAATTGTTGGACAGTCTCATTAGACTGTCCCTTTTTCCCCACATGCCTTTCGTTTATTATGTCAAGCCAATAGCGAAGTATGCATGTCGTGGCAAATTCCTTTTTTAGAGTTGGATTCCCTCAAAAGTGGTTGGTGGATAGAAACATCTTTCCCCTACTGAGGTGGAGTCCACCAAAGGGTTTTTCGATTGAAATCACACAGACTTGGGGTGGTTTCAAGCATCACCTGGGCCAATTGGCGATTCGTGCTTGATTCAGGAAGGCTGATGGAACAAGCTGCGACCGACCTCTCTAGCTGGTTGGTAGTACATGAGCTGAATATTGCCCAACTAGGTTTCTTTGTGAGCAGTATGTGTGTTTTTGACCCGACTGGACACGCACTTTGATTCCATGGCTAGGCTGAGTTGTTCGCCAGGTTTGGGGTTCATGTTGAACTCCCCTGAATTTCACCACAGTTGTCAGCCAGCATTCATGCTGTTGACATGTTTTTTTTTTTTTTTTTTTTTTTTTTTTATGACTTTAGCGTCAAGTCACGTCGAGACCCCGGAATGGTAATGTGTTGGCCGGTCAGGACGTATCTTGGTCTGTTTTGTGGATCAAACTCTTAACAATTAGACCATCAAGGAACAATCTGGAGCTTCTTGTTCGGGCTGAATCCTGTAAATGGAAACTCTCTCCAAACATGTGTGTACCCTGTCAAACGTTTGACCCTTCAGCTTTTATATAATGGTTGTCCCTGGTTAGTTACACGGGGGTTCATCGGGGGACAGGCAACCTTGTTTACCCTACCTCTCCAAGTAGCAGCGCTCAAAATCATCATCCGTTTTAGGTGGTTCCACTCAGAGTTCCTGAATTTGAGTCATGAACAAGGACTTACGAACGAAGAAGTCGCCATTCATCGCGGGTGTGTTTGGTAGGTCCAGGCTTTTCCTGAGTAGCATTCCTCGCGCAAGGCCCTTTGCGACAAAGATCGGTGGGCCATCGTGGGAAATCAGGCGGGGGAGGGCGGACAGAGCGGCATTGATAGGCTTCCCACGGCGTTTGGCAGAAGAAAGTCGCTGCTACTTGCATGCTCTTGTCCTTCTTCTGCTTCTGCTTCGCAGCCGGTTTAGCAGAGTCTTTAGGATTGCTTCAGGATGTTGTCAAGTGAGTTTTGGGCCAACTTGGGATTAGTTTTGGAGAGCGCCGCGAGCCCCCAAGAGCAAATCTTTGGCTGGCTGGGTAGGGACGGATTGCCAGGAAGCTGACCAGTTACACACTTGCCGATCGAGCAACATGGAGGTTTCCGATCAGCCAGCTAGCCCAACAGATGCTTAAATAAAAGTGTGACATGGGGCGTATTGCTGGTGCTCAGTAGGAAATGAGAATTCGAACGACCCTTAGAGCAATCCCCTATAGTTTGCTTTAAGGGGATTTCCTGGTGAATTCCCAAAACCCGAGCCTGAGTCCTGATGGCGGTTTTGGCCCGTGGCGTCTCTTTCGCAGGACAGCGACTCTGTGGTGGTCCTGGCACGCGATGCATCCACCGGCGCTCTGTCCCCCACAGGCCGGGGTCATTTGGGGCCCAGCTTGCGGGTACGATGCGCTCACTTGAAGCAAGCAGATCAGGAAAGTTTTCAGGTGCTCCTCTACAGATTGACATGGAATTCCAAACGTGGGTGCCCCAAAAAATGAATTCTGCATCCCTAGCGAGTTTCTTGTTAGTTCTCCCCAGATTCCTACCCTCTCCCAAGGCCCCTTAGAGGCTTGCAAATCCCGGGGTTAGGGTTTGTCACATTGCCCAAACTTACCATACACAGCCCAGCAAAGTTTGGGCTGGGAGGTAGCTTCATGTCAGCAACGCCCAAAACAAAGCGCCATTCGAGTGGTTCTACCATTCGGCTTATGGGGATTATTACAAAGAAAAGTACGTCAAAGTTTAAATACATGTTGGTAGACTCGAGAGCTGACGGGCTTCGGGTCCTGCTCATTTGAGTTTGGTCAACAAACTGGGGATGGACATGCGGGAACTCACCAAATTACCCCATGTTCTCTTTGGGGAAACAACTGGGTTCCCCAAATGAGGTGGCCCTCAAGCCTTTGGCGTCCTTCGCCTTCCTTTGCCTTCCTTTGGCTCTCCCTTCCAAGCCGGGTTGCCCCCAAACGCAAGCCCAAAGAATGTGGGGTGGGGATGTCACCGGGTGCCTTATTTTGCTTCAGGGAACTCGCCAGAACCACTCCCCCAAAGATCCCCCCCGAAGCTTTTCGGAAGTTTGCCTCAGTTCCGTGCTTCTCAAAATGAAATGCGGACCCATCCTTCTGTTATATGAAGGAAATCATGGTTTGGATTAGCGGTTTGAGGATTTATTCTTATAGAAGCTAAATTGGAAACTACCCTCCACCTCCACAAATCGAATCGACACTTAAAAAGGAAACCGTTGCCACCTCAGGAAATGGACCGGTTCGGTGTTTTGTAGCGGGTAACTGGGAAACCCCCAAGCACCAAACCACCGGGCTCCAAACCCCGCTATGCGGAATTCAGAAAAGGCAACCCCCCCAAACAAAAGAAGCAACCACATGGTGGTTGTCCTGTTCTCAAAATTCCCCCAAAATGTGTTATTGGCCGCAACTGATGGCGGTGAATGCCCTTGTTTAATTACCTGAACCCTCAAACTAGCCATAAAAAGGGAGTTCACCCGATAATTTGGGGCGACAACCAAATGTTTGGGGAATTTTCATTGTCTAGGTAGGTAGTTTGAGGTTTCCGGCTGGACCCGACTCCAGGTGTTTGGGTGGAGTGCGCCGCGCCGGCGTGCGTCCTGCCCCTCTTTTGAGCGGCTCGCTTAATTTCGAGGCCTCGGGTCCCCTATGTTCTGACACACCCCTGACAAAAGAATGGGATACGCAACATTTGACACTGGACATGTTTTGCTGTCTGTCATTGGGCCAAGAGTTAGTGGACCAAGTTCGGGAAGATCAAGTTAGTGTTCCGAAGGTTTGTTTCAGTCGGGTGCTCAGAGACGGTTGATAAACATGTTTTGCGTCTGTTGTGGAACTCCACGGACCGAAAAGGCCGATCCCCCGATGCCCGACTGTCCTAGGGATTACCAAAACGACAGTGTTTTTCATGGCGAGGGTGCAACTTGACCACTCAAAGGGTAGCAAAGTTTTTGTTAGGCCTCTTCTTCTAGCTCTCTTTGAGTCTTGATGGCCTGGCACAACAAATCCTAACCGGGTAAGTTTGCACGGTGAATACCTCCGATTGAATGACATCACAAGGAACAGCCGGGCATTTGGAGTGTCCAGTATGGTCTCACTCGGCGATTGCTCACATCGCAGGCTATGATTCTTGTTAACAAAATGACGCTGCGGCCGGTGCAAGCGCCGGCTGCTTTCAAATAGAGACCTTGGCCTACTCACTGCGAGCCGACCTTTTCTGGCCTGGGTTTTTGCTTGACTGCTATTGGGTTGGATCTTTAGACTTTAACTTTTGGGGAAATAAAGGTGTTTTCCACTAAACCCCCAATAAAGTTAAACGTTTTGCAGGGGGGTCAACAGCAACCAAGTTTGGGTACCGATCGCAAATGAGGAGGAGCCGGTGATCTCTTGAATCGCAAAGCAACGGATCGCAAGGACATCGAGCAAACGGGAGGCTTCAGGTTTAAACTGGCCCCTGCCAGTTTTCATTGGCCTTTTGACCAGCCAGTTCGCCAACGTTCCGCGCTGGAGGGGCCGGGGCTGTCATTGCCCAAAGGAGTCATGGACCCATTTTGAACGGGTCATGGAGGCTCCAGGTAGACTTTTTTTAAGAGTTCATGCCATATCCGACAAATGTTGAAGGGCCTTTGGGCAGAGTTCAACCGCCGAACTTGCTTGGAGGTGTTTTTGCGCATGTGCCTTGTAGGGTCCCGCGCGATGGTGTGCTGTCAGGCAATCGCTCTTGCTGCTTTTGGCTCATAGGCAAAAGTAGCCTGAGGACCCACCCCAGGCAAGATGGAAAATATTCACTGCAAGTGGCATGGCTAGGCAAGACGGATCTCTTTCACGGAGAGTTGTCAATTGTCCCTTCAATTACCCCGGCAAAACCGGCCAATGCGCCGACAGTCAGTCAAACCAGCTGCCTTCAGTCCAAAAGCAACACAAAGCCTGTTGCGCCTGAAGCGAAGGACCGACGGATCGCTCCACTTGGATGCCCCTATGTGGGCTGGGGCTTAGATATAGATCACGACTCAATTGGGATACAGGTAACCAGGTTCCTTGCCTCTTGGATGCTGCCTGCATCAAGAAGCAGCCATGGGAATGGCTCCAGGTTTGGTGGATGGTTTGCCTTGGCTAATATTGTGTGGACTCACTGCGCGCTTGGCCGTTTCAAACTTGGTTGACAGGGGACATCCCCCTCTAGGGACCGTTTGCTTTTGCGTTTTCTGCGTTTGTTTGGGTGAGAATGAACAAAGTTCCCCCCCGCCGAAAGGGGTGAGAGAGGAAAACCCCTCCCCCCCCCTTCGCCAAAACCTGCACAACTCGAAGCATACAATTGTGGGGAGTCCTCGGGGGGCCTGGCTATTCCCTGTTGGAAGCTCACTTACCCAAAGTGAATCGACGAAAAACCTTTTCAGCTTTGGGTGTCCCTGGCAATGACCCTCCAATGTGTACAGTAGCTTTGCTTGAAGAATGTGTTTTCCCTCTGTCCAACTCCCTGAAATGCGCTTTTAAATATGTTTGGGACAAGCTCTTTTTAGTGGTAAGTAGCAAGCTTAGGCTTCTTTATTTTTTGGCCCAATCCGCCCAAGGGAGCCAAAAGCTTCATGAATGTCCAGAATCTGGCCCAAGTTTGGACACCGATGCAGGACCCATGGGATTTTGAGCTGCGCCCTCGGTGAGAACGAGGGGTGCCTCATTCTCCGATTTCTGGATCCCGCAAGGGCCCAGGGCCCCGAGGGGTTGGCTCCATTGAAAGAGAAATGGCTGTGGCGAATTCACAAAACCGGAATACCAAAATGGGTTGCCCTGGTAAGTGGAAACATGGACCAAAACCTGCGGTTTGCCCCTCCTGTTGAATTTCGAGTCACACCCAAATGAACTTAAGCAGAAAGTTCCACTGCCAGTGAGTCGCGTGGCGGTTTTGGACATCCCTTTACCTCCAAGGGGATGGCTCGTCTTTCCAGTTGGTACTCCATGTTTGGGGCTGTAAGGGGAAATTCAACTTGGAACCAAGTTTGGTATACTCCATTGGGGAAATCCATGGTTTAAGGTTTAAGGGGAAATCCCGGTTTTTTGGGCCGCATGCATCCCCAACAGCATGCATCCTTTTCCAGAACTCGGAACCGCCCAATATCCCTGGAACTGCAGGCCCGGAGCTTTGAGCTGAACCAGCGAACAAATGGGCGGGTCCACGGAAAAAAAAAGGAAGAAACAAAAAAACGCGCACCCAACCAATCGGTACAGGCCGGAGGAGGCTCTGACAAACGCAAAGACTCGTTGGTTCAACTATTCGAGCCTCTAAAGGTGCCTGCAACTGCCAAAAACATAGTGGGAGTGTGTCAACTCCAAAAAAGACAAGCCACCTATTTGCGTTTCAGAAGATGTGTTTCTCTCCCCCACAGATTGAGAAGGACACCAGAAAACACCTACAGAGGAATCTCCTGAAGCATGTCCCTTTTTGGGCTCGATCTTAATTTTGCAGAGCATGTCCGCTGTTGCTTTTCAAAGGAATCCAGCACTGGGTGGGACAGATTTTTTCCCAGATAATGAAAAGCGCAATGGGAAGTGATGTTGCCTGGCGTGTTTTTACCATAGGCTGCAGACTGTTGCTGGAGCGCGACTCGAACTGAAGGTGGCTAACTTCCAGAAAAGATTCATAGCAAGAGACAAAACTTGCTGGTGCTCAGCAGGGAATGCGACATGGAATGATCTTGACAAACCATCCAACTGGTGGCTTCCTTTATGGGGACCGCTGGGTTCATTCCCCACATTCCTACTGAGCACCAGCAAGAAAAGTAGGATGTCAACCCCGGTCGACCCCTGAGCTCGACCCTATCGTTTTTGCAGCTTCCTAGTGCGACAAAAACCTGAAAAAAGCAGGGTGTAAATTGAAAACCCAGTTTTTTCGCTTGGTATTCCTGAAAACCCTGGGTTCCACAAGAATAACCCGGTTTTGTAAATTGCGCCCTGTCTTTAGTCCGTGCACACCCCATATTTACGACGTACTATCTCGTATTTTGCGTATACTGCTTATAACAAAAACCAGGTTTTGAATTTTAAACCCCTGCCTTTTTCTGGGTTTGGGAGCTTTAGGTTAATCCATTTCGCACCACTTGAAAACCATGGTTGAAACCATTGTTTATTGGAATTTACAGGGGAATAGAATCATTCTATGGTTTCTCAGGTGATGCGAAGTGGATTTCGTCCATGCACAGTATGGGGGCAACCTTACCGGCAAACGCGGCCGCACCTATGGCCCAGACTTCCCCTCACTGACCTTCACTTAGGCCACGTATGGCTCGTTCTACATGACTGGCTGCTTTACTCTGTGGCCTGGAATTCACAACGACCCACATACCATCACCAGGTGGACTACCAAAACACGATATCACAGTATTAATCAGCCCCTGTCCATTCCATGGTCCAGGTGCCCCGCCAAAGGGATGATTCCCCACTGAACCCAGGTACACCCCCTACTGAACTGGGGTTGAGTCATATATGGCTGTGGGTCAAAGCCAATGGGATCCCATTTTGGGGGTTTTCGGTGAATTCACCACCCATTTAGAACCTATTTAAGTGGTTGGATTGGGATGTTCGCTGGGGGAACGGCCAGTTGACCCATGGCCAAGACACAACCTTGCATGCATTGGACCCTGTCTCAAAGAGGTTAGGGCTCGTCCAAGTAACTGGTTTCCTGGCATTTTCCTGCTGAAGAGCATCCCAAGAGTTTATTAGTATGTTGGGGCAGGTGAATTCACCACCCATTGAGAACCTATTTAGTGGTAATGGATTTTGACCCATGGCTATATGGGGTCAACATGAGGGGTCAACGTTAGACCACATGAAGGTTCCAGGTGTTGATTTGGTGGCCAGGGGGCTGCGATCGATTTGTCCGTAAGGACCCGCCTGACGCGGTTGCGATGGACAGTGAGAAGGACTGGCGGTGGGTATTGGTCCAGCTTAGAGAGATCAACTGAGTGTCCCGAAGTGTTTGTTCTTTTGTTCTTTTGGGGGGCTCTTTTTCAAGTTGGGTTCTCAGTATTCTTGCTTTAGCTTGTCAAGTTCTGGGTTCCGAAAATAGTAGAAGTGGCCAGGCATGCCTTTTGAGGAGTTCTGAAAGCGAGAAAGGTGTGGGACAGGTGTTCTTTAAAACCATGATATGTCATTTACTCAGGGAATCGCTGGATGCCCTAAGTATTACAAGTGGGGCAAGAAACCTGAGAACTGCTCCAACTCACAAGTGTGGTGGTGCAGACCAGGCACTTTGGACATGCGCAACCAAAGTCGGAGTCTCCCCCAATCCCCAATGGTTGAAATGGCTGATCTCCCTTCTCATCCTCGAGACTCCTCCTTTGGATGGATGGTCTCATATTGATGACCATTGTTTGCTGGTATTGACAGGGGAATCATCATTCCAGAGTTTCTTAGGTGGTGTGAAATGAATTTCGTCAATCCACAGTAGGGGCTCCTTAGATTGCATGTTGCCGCCTTTCATCAGTTTGAGCCTGATTGAAAATGGAAACGCGCACTGCTCCTGGTAGCTGCTGGTAGCTCCTGAGCTCGCTCTTTCAGTGCAAACTTGGATACCCTTCCAACCTCCTTGGCTGCCCTCTGATTTCCGCTTCCCTCGAATTGGTGTTTGGCTTGGTGGATTTGAAGGTTAGGTGGCTGGGCTGCGAAAAAAAACACGTATTCCCCTGTCATTCCCGCGCTCGGGCACTTACGTGCTTGAAATGGCCGCTCAGGACAAGTACGATTACCTCTTCAAGTTCATCATCATTGGCCCTTCGCCTCAATTGCCAACTTGTTCCCTACATTCATGAACAGACCATTTTAGATTACAAAAGCTGACATTTGTTTTGGCCAGTCCACTTGGGAAGTGAGCCAAAGGAGCTCACTTTTCACTTTGCTTCTGTGCTTCCCTTTGCTGAAGAATTTGCATGCTTTGCCCTGTTATTTCTTGCTACTTGGTATCTATCACTACTGCAAGTATTTGCTCATTTGTTTCATGGGATGTACAAGCAAGTGCAAGGATTAGATTTCCATTTTGCGTGATACGGAGAGAACCACCTTATGACCAAGTTGTCACGATGGGTTCGAACCCAGCTTTGGTATCACAAACAGGTTCATTTCCCACCAGTGTGTGTACCCTTGTGCGGATCGTTTGAAAATGTTTGAAACGAGAACCAAGGGGGGGGGGGCGCTGTTTTTGACCGCGTTCTGATTGCTCCTGTTTCTTGAAGAACAAGGAACATTGCTGACTCGTATATTTTGGTGGCTCAAGAAACTGGAGGAGGGCATGTCCCAATCTTGGATAAGCGAAGAAGTTGGATGCCCCATGCGCAAAAAAAAAGAAGGAATGGAGGTCAAGAAGTGGATACCCTCCCACTAATTACATGGAAGTGCAAAAATGGCCCTTTCCAAGAGGAAGGTCGTCTTTCTGCAGGGGTCTGTGCACTTCCATGTTGGCTGAAGGGAGGGTATTGGATGAAGCAAATACTTCCGATGTTAGAGGGTCGTATAGCTTCCTGTCCATTTGGAGTGGAGCTGCGTCCCCTGCTTTAACTGATTGAATGAAACAAGCAGGTTGCACCCAACGGCCAAAAAAAGGAGATTCTTGACGCCAGCGAATGGGAAAAGAGCTGACCAAGTGACCAAGTGCTTGCTTGTAACTCTGGGTCCATTTGAATGAGCTGCTGAGTAGACCAGAAACAGTGGTCTTGTTGGTTGCCGTGGCTAGGGTGATCTCCCCACCCTTTAGAGATTCCCCACAGACAAACCAGGAAAGCTGAAGAGTTCCGCGAGTGTCCCCTTTAAACATCACCCTATCCCCCCCTACCCAAGACTTGGGCGGGGGGGTGGGGGGTCCGGGACCCAATTCCGTTTATCGAAAGTCTCCACGGGTCGATATCCCCCCTCCCCAAATTCCAAAGCCGACCAGGAGGGTTTCCCGACAGATCGGACGCTTCATCTGAAAAACACAAGTTTTGCCCTCAACAAAACAGACACGGGTAAGAGGTTAAAGGATCTCCTTTGGGTTTGTTTCAGGGTCTTTGGGGAGGTTGTAGGATGCAATATATCAGGTTGCCAAACCAGGGAGGTCCAAATAAGCGATTCCAGGAAGCCAAATGGAAAATGCCGAAGCCCAACGTTTTGGCCTTCGGCCGAAACGCGACAAAAAGCACCGCAGGCGATGCGGGCGCTGGCAAGTTCCGGCACTCAGCGCCTTCCGTCGTAAGTTCTTGGCTTAAGCCTCGGGGGCGGCAAATGTATGCAGATATGCCTTTATGTGGATTTTAGTTGATTTAGCAGGCTGACGCCTGATTCCGCCGACCCCAAGACTTTTAAAAGGCACCCGCATCCCCAGCATGCAAAGCATCACCCAAGGCGCCTCCAGCATGATGCCAGCAAAGCTGAGGATGCAAATTCTGCCTATTTTCCTGGTGCTCCAAGACCAACAGCCAGCTTGCAGCATCGCCAGCGTACCTCGCATTCCCAGGATCATCAGTGATGGTGATGCCGGTGATGCCAAAAGCGGCCTTGTTTCCGTGAGAAGGATCATCATCATCACCATCATTATCGCCATCACCATCACCATCACCATCACCATCACCATCACCATCACCATCATCACCATCATCACCATCATCACCATCATCATCATCATCATCATCATCATCATCATCATCATCATCATCATCATCATCATCATCATCATCATCATCATCATCATCTTTATTGTCATCTATCATCATCATTATCGTCGTGTTAAGGTTAGAGGCTAGGGTTTGAGGTGCGGGTTAGAGGTTAGGGTTAGAGGTCAGGGTTAGAGGTTAGGGTTAGAGGCTAGGGTTAGAGGTTAGGGTTAGAGGTTAGGGTTAGAGGTTAAAGTTAGAGGTTAAGGTTTGGAGGTTAGGGTTAGAGGTAAGGATTAGAGGTTAGGGTTAGAGGTTCGGGTTAGACGTTAGAGTTGGAGGTTAGGCATGTCAAAAATCCGCCGCGGGATCCCCCCTCCCCCCCTCAGACTCCCACTTAGAACACGCCTCGCCCCTTTGCAGAGACTAACATGGTTTTTGCAAAGGGGTCGAGTCGGCGGATAACAAAGCACTTACTGAACGTTTAGTTTACAGTTCTGATGATGTATTCATGTATTCATGCTTGATATGTTGCTATCACTTGTGATATTTATGCTTGCCCAAAGAATGATGGCTTCAAAACGGTATGTAGCGGTCCCAGAGCTTTTTTGCATGACAGGTAGGATGTGTCCATTCGCGGAGGAAATTCCAGCTGGCCATGGAAGGTTCAGGTTTCTCACTTGCCGAAGCCTGGACCAGCGCTGAAAGTCCTTTGCTTTTTTGGGGAACGGTTTCCCTTTGAAACCGGCGGCCCTTTTGTTCCCATGTCCACCGGGAGGTCGTACCGACTTTAGCTGTCTCCCGTTGAAATTCCACCCGTGGAGTAGCTTTTGGCTTCATATTGATTTGAGTCCTAGAGCCGCTATGGTGAAAAATGTTCGATCCTTACAGCTTCTGATTTAGAAACTCCCTGAGACAGTATTCGCCCGGACAGTACGCTCAGTTGCCCAAAGCGAATCGAAAGCTCGATCTGACCCTTTGGTTCTCCTCGCTTTGGCCCATGTTTAGTCAAGGCCCCAAAGTGCGATCACCTTTTCTTGCTGGGTCCCTAAGACCGAGACAATATTATTGTTTATCATGCTAGAACATCAGGGGAAACTCCAGGCTTTAGCCCTTTCCATTCGATGGCGGCAAGATGAAGGCAATGCTCTTTCTCAACGCGCTGGGGTATCCCACATGAGAAGTCATGACTTGTTCCCCAAGAGGACATGGGAAATTCGGGTTTCTCCCTAGGTGTGTTTTTTTGCAACGGAGAAGATTCGACTGAACTTCAAGGGTATATGGATGCGATTTAGGGTCTTTTTTTTGAGACACAATCATTTTTTTTGTTGGGTTCCCTTTGGTCTTACAAAAGCCCAAAGCGAATCGACCTGAATCGACTGATCGATCTGATGTTTTAGTGCCCCCGTTTTGGTTGTTTAGTCATGGCCTTAAAAGGTGATCACCTGTGGTTTCCGGGTCCCATCCGGGGCAATTGAGTTGCTGTCTTCTTCGGACTCCATTTGTCCACATCCCTTGTGCGGCACAGATCCCAAGACACAGTGTTTCAATTGATCTAGGGGATGTGTGTTCATGCCTTGGGGGTACGTTCCCAGGTTTATCCGCGAAATACCCCTCACAAAACAAACAATAGACACAAATACTCAGGTTGGTAGATAGTTGGGGTACGGACCCGCAGGGAAAAGCCTGTTTTGCAAGTCCCATTGAAACGAGGTCTTGCCTGCTTCACCAATTCATCGATAACAAGTGCCAAGCCCTCAGCTTGCGTCAGGGGGAGTGAGGGTTTTGGAGGGAGCAGTGCCAGGCAGGTTTGGGCAAGCCACTTGTCTACATCTCTTTTGTTTCAACTCCGTGTGGTTTCGCTAGCCAAACAAATTGGTACATCAAACAGAAAGGTAGTTTGAGGGTCCAGGGAAGCCTCTATAGTTTCAACCACCTCTTTTTGGCGTTGCCTCGGCCGGCTTGATAAAAACAAATGTTGAACCCTGTAGCAGAGGGACAACAGCAAGAGGGCCAGAAAAGGAAGGCCAGAGCGAAAAACTGCATGGCACATTGGTGCCCAGTCAATGTCATGCTTGCCAACATGGAGGGCATGTGAGTGTGCCTTTTGCGAGGTTGCCTTTCTGGTAGTTGTGAAGGCAGAGGGCCCCTACTGGGGGCCTGCCCTGTTGTTCTATGTGTGACATGGGCAATCGCACCCAAGTACAGACTCGTGTGAGGTTTGGTCAAAACTACTGACTACTTAGGGTTGGTCTGGATGGTTAATGAGCCCCTTTGTCGGAAATTTTGACAGCTGGCATTCATTGTGAGGGAGCCATATGACTCATAGCTTGCCAGTTTTTACCATGGCACAAATTCAAAAAGCTCTACTTGGATGTTCAGCCTATTTAGATAGGCTATCACCATGGTTGCGAGTCAACCAACACGAGTCCATATTGGGGATTGTTGACCAAGGCTTCTGTTCAAGGGCATTTTTAGATACGGATTTTGGAGGTATGGATGCAAATACAAATCGCCAGTATAAGCTTGTTGGGCATTATATACCCCTTATATAAGACAGGGCTCCTTAAAAAAGATGCATGTTGCCCATTTGAAACATGGCTTTTTCCACCAAAATAAAGGGAAACATAGGGAAACCACCATTTACAAAGCAATGTTCAGGTGTGTAGTGTAAGGATGCCTGTAAGAGATATTTCTCACCTCCATAAAAGGCATTTGTGAAGCCACCGTGTGCTGAGTCAAGAAGGGCTCTTCTCACACCATCGGAGTCGAGTCTGGCACTCAGCCGATCGGTCCATGGGCAAGCAATTCCACGGGTTACTACTGTGGATGGTTGCGAAATCCGCTTCTCGCACCACCCAAGTAACCCTGGAATGATTCGATTCCACTGGAAATACCAGCAAACAATGGTTTCAACCATGGTTTCAAAGTGGTGCGAAATGGATTTCGTCCATCTACAGTAGGTGTTTAAAGCTCTCAGCCAGAAGAGGGCCTTGCTCTAAACTGGGTGCTTCCCAGCTATCCGGTTCCTGAGGTTTGAAGAGTTTAGAGTTTGGTGGCGGGGGCGGGGTCCCTGTAACCCAAGAAAAATTAAACTTTGAGCAGGGGGTCAGAGAAGAAAGGACAGCCCAGTTAAGGGTACCTGGTGGCTATGAAATCGGGAGAGCAACCTCCATGTCGGCCTCAGTAGGGGGTCATGGGGGACATTGCCAGGGATGCCAACACATAGCAATTGGGGATCATCCCAGCATTGGACCACATAGCAATTATCCTTGTTCCTGGCTTCATTTGGAGGACCCTCCAAATGAACCCAAATGTACCCATACATGTGCGGCTTGTCACTGTTGATCGAGGTACAGGGTCCAATGACCCAGATTCCGCTTTACATATGCCTTCAGCAAAACTGGTTGGTTCCATTTGGTATCCAAGGGAACTGGCCACATGTTTGAGAATATGTTTGAATGTCTCAAACTAACTCATCACTCCCTGAGTTTCTGGACTTTAACACTTTTTGGGAAGAGCGTTCTAGTGGTAACCAGCAAGATTGGACTCAGGAAGTGAGACTTTTTGAGAGGACAGCGTCTTGCTAGCCCGTCCTGTCCAATCGAAAGATCCCAACCTCCACCAGACTAAACCAGTGAATAAGGGTCGCCGGGAATATTTCAAGCCAACCAAACTGGGTCAATGTTCGCTACCATCTTCCATCTTTGCCCGGTTAAAGACACGCACACGCACACGCACACGCACAGAGGCACAAACACAAACACACATGCGCAGAGGCACAAACACAAACACATACACAGACACAAGCACAAACTCATATACATATATATACAACATAATATATATATATACAACATAATATATATATATATACATATCTACATGTTTACTAGATCGGGCTTCTCAACCCATCCGCTGGGGTCTGCACCAGGCAATTTCATAATTTCGGGACCCAGCCTCAGAGGCAAAGAAACACCCAGGTGGCGGAGTAAGCCGGCACAAACAGGCCAGCCAAACAAGCCGTACTGCGGATGGTTGCGAAACCCATTTCGCACCACGCGTGCAGAGTCCCTGGAATGCTTCGATTTCCCAACGTAAATACCAAGCACCGTAAAGTGGTGCGAAAAAGATTTTGCCCATCCACAGTAGTCAGGCAGAACATGTTGCCAACAATTGCCAACAGCTTCCATAAGTTCTCAAAATGAGTTTCCGATTCAAATTGCCGGAACATATTGCCATCAGTTTCCAGCTTGTATTGCCAAGTTGCTTTCCAGCTTAAATATCCAGCAAGTTCAAAACATGATCGTGTCCGACAAATTGAGTTTGCCAAAACCGGTTGCACACTAAGATTGCCGGACTGTCTCGTGCGGCGGATCGTTGGCTTAAGATTAAGACCTGTCTCGTTATCGGCGGATTCCTCAGGTTTGGCTCCAAGGTCATTACCGTTGGAGGCACGCAATCCTTCGAAGCGAGCCGTTTGAGCTATCCCGGATCTCCATTTGTGGGGGTCCGTTTAAAGGGAAGCTAGCAGCAGCCCTGCGCACTTTTGAGGCGGTTGCCCTGCTTTCACACATACCCAGTTGCCTTTCAGAAGATTTGAATTAGTTTTCCAAGCTGATTTGGAGTTTATATTTTTCAGAGACAAGCTTCCAGTGTTTTGTTTTACCCGCTTGTTTTCAGTTTTCCCATGTTGTAGTTGGAATCGATCACCGTTGTTTTTCTTGTTTTGCTTCTTTTTGTTTCTCGAGGCTTGACACATGGCCAAGAAGTCCCAGCTGAAAGCCTTGGGGTGGTCTTTGGGTAAGCTCCTTCTCCGTGCTAACACACCGATGTTGTTTCTTAAAGGAAAAACACAGACCCAGACCCTCAAACGTACATACATGAAAAAGGGGATTCACCGCATAGTTTTGGGGCAAACACCAATATTTAAGGGTGTCTTGAGGGTCCAGGTAGCTGCAAACACCATGGTTGTACGCTTATCAGGTATGCTATTTTCCTTGCTAAGTATGGGACCTTGGATGTCCGTGCTTAGAGAGTGCTGAAATTTATTTCGGGAAATCAACCATACACTGCAGAGCATTGGGTTTTCCTAAGAGTGTCAACTGCAATCCTGTAGATATCGCCAGCCTGGGAGTTCCTTGTGCTCAATTTGGAAGCACGAGCAATGGCCCCCTTTTCTGGGCGTTTCCGAGTCAACTGCTTGGATGAGCCCAGTTCGGCAGTGTGAAATCTGGGTCACAAGCCAAGTCCAAGAAGGGCCAACCCGGCGAGTGAGTTTCTGTGGGTCGCTGGGGCGTCGGGGCGATTCGAAGCTTTCACCTCCGCCTTCGCCGCGAGCTCCGCGTTCCGAGTTCTCGGGGGCCAGGCAGAAATATCAAGCTGCAGATTTGGGACACTGCCGGGCAGGAGCCGATAGGAACAGACGGGGCATCTGCAGTATTCAAGGTTGACCCCGGATGAACACCAAACTCCTGGTCTATGAATATATATGGGGGATTATGGGGGGTGGTCCTTTCCAAAAGTGGTCCGAATTCAAGCACCAAAACCAGGGACAGCCCCATATCAGTAAGCTGGGGTTCATTAATCCGTTGTTTTTTTTTCACATGGAACTGTTGCACGCTTTTCGGGGTCCTGACTTGGACCATTTTCCTTTTTGAAGGGACCGGCCCCCGGAACGTCGAATGGTTCCATGTTGAAAGGGTGGGGGGGTACCTGCCTGGCGTCTCCATGACCAATTAAAAATGGGCCCACGACCCGTTTAACTTGGGCGAGGTCCCCATTTTTGAAGGGTCATGGAGACTCCAGGTGGGTTTGTAGGACAAGCACCATTCTTTCAAAATCAGAAGTTGAAAATGGTTCGAAGGGTGACTTAAAAGGGCTTGCTTGGGATCAATGTCCCAGCGAACCCCAAAAAGGGGGGACGTCTTATATTGCTGGCTCAGGGCGTCTTGGGGGCTCTAGCCCCACAAGACTTTGTCCATGATCTTAAGCCTTGGCAAGGCCAAACTTGTGACCAAGTAAGCCACACTTCCATGTTTCTTTGAAGATACAGTTTTGCAGGGTCAGTTGGAACAACCAAGTGCTTCCAGACAAGCCACTATGGTTGGTAAGCCACATGTGTTGTTTTGCATCTGGAAGCCTCGTGTTAGGTCGAAATTCCCCCTCTGCCCACTGAAAAGAGGCAAGCGGGAAACTTCGCTTGACCGGAAAGAGAAGTCTTGTTCTAGGAATCCCACTGAAATCCCAGGAAGGTACAGGGTAGTTGTTGGCATCAGAGGTTGGGCTCCCTAGGCTCCCTAGGCTCCCTAGGCTTCCAGCTGGTTTTTTTTTAGGGAGCGGTTGCGGCATCCCCTGGAAGATGGTCTTGGATGTCAGAAATGGGACTCTCGGGTGGATGGGCTGGGTGCCGGCAGCTCCTTGCTTGACTGCTATCGGGTTGGATCTTGGGGTCCTTTGGGGTCCTCACTTGGTGCAGGCTCCTTTGCTTGGCTTGGCAGTAGCTTTCTCTGTGGAGCTCTTTGTGCTCTGGCTATGCCCACTGGAAAGATGCAGGTGTGTCACCCCTTGACATGGATATGCGGCGAAGAGCCGCGCCATTCTCCACTCTTGGTGAGTGTGACCCATGCCATCTCTTTTTTTGGTTCAATGAAACATGGTGAACAATGGACCCTACGGGACCCTTGCAAATGGGGAACCCCAAGTGGTTGGTGGCGTTTTGGTTTCCCTTAAAGACACTCCCAGAAAGGGTAGCACCCATATCACTGCGGAAGCGTGGCGTTGGTCTCCTGCGAGGATACCCTTTTGAGGGCTAGGTTTCTATGGAAGCCATAGGGAAACCAAAGCCCAATGTCAGAGTTCCAACCCATTGAAAGAAAATCCACGGCTTGCGAGAGGAGCGGTACAGATCTGTGACCCGCAGCTACTACCGCGGCGTCCCCACCTCAGTTCGGGCCGAGAACGCGAGCGAGGGTTCTGCGAAGTGCTTCGCAGTGCCCAAAGCTGAAATGCCCATGTGCAATTTTAGCTGGTTGTCATACTCGGCGTTATCAGGATTATAGAACATGACTGTACCTGCAGTCTCCATGACCCTTAAAAAATGGGGTCATTGCCCAAATTAAAGGGGTCATGGACCCATTTTTACTGGGTCACGGAGACTCCAGGTATACATAGCAAGGCCTACATCTTGATTCCCATCTTAGAGCCAAACGTGGGCTTGGAACACCGCTCAGTTGAGCAGCTTACAGATCGCGAGCTCGTGGGCAAAGAGCTCACCCAGGAAGGCTCTTGAAAACTTTGTCCCACCATATTTATGTCAGTTGTTTTGTCAAGGGCAGTTGTATACCTTGGCATATTGAATCCAGCCTTTTGGTTTACGTTGCTGGGTTCAGCCGAGCAACGGAAGTCGTAGTTGGACATATGCGCGGACATATGAACCCATGGGCGGTTGGACCCGGTTTTGGGTCCTTGCGCATAACTACCCATACTGAAGCCTAAAATGATGGAATAAACTACGGGCGCTACATGGGTTCACACATGCGGCCTTCCCTTGGGTTGGTTGTCAGTTTCCCTTGAGCCCCCGCTTTCCTGGGAATGAGCTGACGGGACCAATTTTTCTCATGGAGCCTTGGAGTTTGGTTGCGACGGTTGACCTGGATTGGTCAACCCCTGCCCTCCCAAAGTGGCTCGAATCCAACCGCGACACCGTGGAAACCCAAGTTGAAAGTCCTGGGTCTTCCCATGTGCCGCGGGTGTTTTTTGCGAGGCGGCAGGTGCTCTCATCGTCTATGACATCACCAATCGCCCAGCCCTTGGGTTAGTCGTTTGATCCAAAACGGATGGACCTGAAACGGGGTTGCCTTTCCTTCAGGGTACCTGTTGTTTCATTGTTTTTCAGGGAAACAACAGGGACGCAGCCCCTCCATAAAGTTTATGGGCAAGCCCCCTCCCAAGCACCTGAAGATGGCATCGCCGGCAAGTCAAGCCAAGGTCCCAAAAGGTGATGACCTTTGATTTCTGGGTCCAAACTGGACAATTGAATGCTAGACATTGGCTCGATGTTTGGCATGTTTCATGTTGAATGGTTAGGGTGTTTCATCTTTTCGGTGCTTCGCTTTCGCGTCTTCGGTTCTAGATGTTAAACTGAGGTTCCCTACCAGCCACCCCAAGATCCGCGTTCCTTTCCGGGAAACCAACTGGAAACGAGCCATTTTGAGTTTCGAACCCCTCACTTGGGGTTCTTGGGTTGGGCCCCTTGGTCCCCACTCGGTCCATCAGAGTCAGCCAAAACGGCATCTTTTCTTTTGCGCAATCAATCCCAGGTGCTGGGAACAGCGGAACAGCGGCGACTTGGATGTTCCACTCGGAGCAAGTGGATATGGATGAAAGTCAACGCCCACAATCCCCCCGACCGCAGTTTTTTTGTCCTTTTCCTGCGCCATGGTGCAGGGCAACCCATTTCGGGGTTACCCTATTTTTGACCCACACCCAATTCAAGGTAGACTTTCTCCAAGTGTCCCATTCAGTTCCGATCCTTTGGGAAAGTATTCGCTATCTGAATCAGGCCTCCGAGCGCTTTCAGGTTGTCCGCGCGGTGCCAACCGCTTGTTTCAGCCACTGCAGTTTGATTGGTCAACGTTTGCCCTGCGAGCACCGGCGACATCGGTCTTTGATGTTAGACAAGATTCGTTCGCGCTACCTGGAGTCTCCATGACGAATTAAACATGGGTCCATGACCCCTTTAAATTGGGCAATGACCCCTTCTTTTTACGGGTCATAGAGACTCAAGGTAGGCTTGGGATGTTCAATGTTTGACATGTCCGGCGTCTCAGGCGACTCCTACAACCACCTGGTGAACTGGCTCGCAGACGCGAGGCCACTGGGCTCGGGCTTTCGAGCCGATGGAAGGGTGTTTTTCCTGGACCAACCTCCCGCAACCCTTCTTTCCTATCAATCCGAGCAGGGCTTAGGGGCTAATGGGATCCTCGCCTCTTTCTTGCATTTGCAAAAGCAAATATGTTATTTTCCCCTGTTGTTTTTTTAAGCTGGAATCTATCACTACAAAACATAATTTGTTCATGTTTTGCAGGGGCAAAGAACCAAATGGAAGTTTTGGGAGGGCAATCGGATCCTTAAAAGCTTCAAGCCATCCCAAGGCTGGCGGGCGGGTTGGAAGGGGAATTTTGGATCCGGAAGCACGAGAATATCTTTTCAACCAAAGGCAAAAGAAACCGTTTCAACCATCGTGCAGTTTTGATCGTCCAACCCATTCAATCTGATAATCACATATCACGTACGTTCACTGGTGAGTAGAAGGTGTCCATTCAACATGTGCTCTCGACCTGCCTCGGTCACGTATTTCTTTACAACTGGTGGGTACCACCATGCAAAGGGGTTATGAAACGATATGGCTGTGGGTCAAAACCAATGGTACCATTTTGGGGCAGATGCACCACCCATTTTAGTCTATTTTAGTGGGGATTGGAATGTTCACTGGGGGTACGGGCTTTCGATCCATGGCCATATATTGGGGCATGTATACCCCAGGCGCGAGCCAAGCATTCTGGCTCGGGGAGCCTCATGTTTCTGGGCTCGGTGAATCTCAAGGTACGCCTCAGCCCGGATTTGGGACATCCCGGGAGTTGGTTTGGGGGTGGGGGGGGGCGGTCAAGGGCTGCTGTTCGCCAGAGTCAAATGTCTGGGTTGATTTCTATGTAATTGATTAGGAAACTAGTCTACCCACTTGCGCTTGGGTCAACCTCACTTGTACAGAGTGTCATAGAGTATCAGCCAGCCTGGCCGAAGACCGGCCCAGTACTCAACGTGGTGATCGAGTTCTCTTCGACGTTCATGGCAAAGGGAAAACCGTCACAAGGTACAGCAAGGGTTCCTCGACTTCCCTTTTTGGAACCTCCAACAAAAGTGACAGTTTCAATGGCAACCACCAGTCAGTTGCAACTTTGAAGGGGGAATCTACAGTCCCATCCCAGTGCGGCCGATCTTTGGTCCAGATTTGCTAGGTGAGCTGGTTTTTGTTCTCTGTGTTCAGCTATTTTTTTGCGAGGGAGGGCAATATGCAGCTAAAGGGAACTTTGGATGAACTCCTTGAACCCCTGGTGTTGATCATGACGAACGGGCCAACCATCACCCCTCAGCTTATATTTCCGATTTATTGAATATCGGCCAGGATCTCAACGTATTGCCTTGAGTTGGTGCGGAAAAAGCTGGGTAAGTTTGGGCATGATTTGCAGGCGTGGTTGTTTGCCGCAGGACGCTGGCCAGAGCTGACATCTCCATCATTACTGTCGGCCAGAGCCTTAGCACATGGCTAAACTCGTCGGTTGGACGGGACTCGGACTCGGAGCGATCGAAATTTGGGGGATTCTCCTGGGAGCACCAGGAGTTCTGTGAGGACAGGGGCTAGGGCTATCCAAATTTGCCTTCAAAGAGAGAGCCTTTTGGAGCTGTGTAAGGATATGACAGGGAAACCAAACGGTTGAAAGCTACCCCAATGGATCCGTGTACTTGTATAATTAGTAGGGAACCATGAGCCACCCTTTGAAAGCCAAAGGAAAATGGCTGGTTACACCATCTACCATGGTAGTAAAATGGCTGACACCCTTTGTAGGGCTCGTCCTGGTGATTTCCTGATCGGGATGGATGTGAGTTTCCCAATGGTCCCCCCCCCTTCAAAAGGTAACCAAAAGCTTCGTACGGTTTTTTGGGCAGATCGGCGGCTCAGATATTCAGGCTTCGCTTTGCAGACTCTGGGTTTTCACGCATCACTTCTAGCTTCCAAGTTTCGACCCGAAGATCTTCTCAACTGTCAAGGCTATTTGGCCCCAGACGGCCTTGGTTGCCCATTTAGCCCTACTTGGACGTTTGTTGCCAAGTTAGTGGGTGGTTGGCCAGCTGGCTTAGAACCCACTAGTACCAAGCTTAAGTTCCAATGAACAGGGGGGCTCCTATGTTTTTTTGTTTTTTTTTTGTGGGTTATAGCTGAACGGTTGCCGGTAGGCCTTATTTCGCCCCAGTACTTTGGACGAAATCCGCTTCTCGTTCCACGAGATGAAACCACCTGCAGTCTCCATGACCCTTAAAAATGGGGTCATTGCCCAAAGGGGTCATGGACCCATTTATAATGGGTCATGGAGACTCCAGTCATGTTGGTTGGTATTTACGTCGGGGAATCGGACACCATTCCGTTGGGTTTCTGAACGGTGAACCATTTTGTCCATCCATCCACACTTTTCCCCAAGATCTGCAGATGCCGTTGGGCGGCCGTTCTTCGAGGGTCCAGGTCGCCCCATGGCACGCGTGCGCTTGAGTCAGTCACACATCTGCCGGCGGCATCCGATCCGAGGCAACAAGGTGGACCTCAAGGAGAAGCGAGCTGCCGCCCTGGGCACCAAACGTCGGGTTGAAGCCCAGGGCCCCTTCGTTCAATCGAACAGACGAACAGCACAAGTCAACGGGAAGTTAAGTCAGCTAAATATAAGTATAAAAAAGAAAGCCAACAAAAGACGAAAATAACAGCACGACTACAGCAATAAGAGGATTGAATAATGGGTTTGAATCAAGAAATGAAGATATGTTTCATCTAAATGAATAAATGAATATCGAGATAAGGAAAGATGGATACAAATAAATATAGAAACAACAAAAGACATAATCAGAAAGAACATAAACAACGGAAACTGCAAACCACAAATGAATAACATTGACAACTACATAGTTTGTGCACAAATAATACTAAGCAGGGAAAACAATAAAGAGCACATCACGCCCCTTGTTGCGGGAAGCCCCGCGTTTCCTTGCCTGCAGCGCCCCCTTTGTTTGGTGAACATGAGTGAGGCTTGGCCGCATGGCGAAGCTGGTTTGCTTGCCCGACGGCTTCAAAGCATACAGGAATCATTGATGAGAGATGTTTGAAGCAACGCCCCCAACAAGGAGCAGCACTCAAAGAAAGACTTGAACGCTAGCCTGGTGCCCTCTGATTGAGCTACAACTACCTGGTTTTGGAAGCAGAACCCAGCTTGTTGTATATAGGCCTGATTCAGCCCCGCGCCCTTGCAGGTCTTGTAAGGCTGGCTGCTGTTGAGGAGGGTAGTATTTAAGGGAGAGGATGCCGCCCCACTTTTGGGGAACACAAACCTCCATATTAAAACTGGGAGACGGAGGGAGGTTGCAACGGGTTGCAAGAGGCTAAACCGGGCCGCCAGCGGATTCACCATCCGAGTTACCACCTCCAAAGTGGCTGCTGCACATGAACCCCCAACTAGAAGCAAGTAGGGAAGAAGAACAACTTCTCAAATTCGAGTTGATCGATTTCTATCATGGGGTTGGCTTACTCAAGCAAAACGGGGCTCGGAGTCCACGGCAGCATGAAGATTTCTGCTAGATCGATTTCAGGGACCTTAGATGCCTCTCCATCAGCCCGTGCGAAGCTTGAGGTTGAAAAAACTTAGGTGGAACGAAGGGGGTGGGGGCCCCGGAGATTGCTTCGGTGCGTGCCCCCGTTGGCCAAAGTCCGCCAAAGTCCGTACATTGCCCCATTCGCAAATTTGTCTCTGTGTCAGGTTTTGCCCGTTGACCAAAGTTATGTTTGAACAGGAGCCCTTGTTTAAGGCCAAAAGTCCTGTTTAAGAAAGCCAAGGAACCCGCTAAACGTGTAGAAAGCTCGTTTTTTGTTGGGGGGGGGGTCCTTATTTCTATTTTCACCGGCGACATCGGCTCCCCACGCGCCTAGGAAGTGACCTTTCTGGAAGCTAGTCGCTGTGCACAGGAGAACGGCCCAGGGCTCGGAGAACGGCCCAGCCATTTCTGGGCTGAAGTCAATCAACAAACGGAACCGAACGCAATCTGCTGGGAGCAGTTGGGATAGGTGTTGACATGTTTCACTCTGGACCAGAACCCAAGAAGATGTTCTTCTCTTCTTAGTTGGCAGAGGATCAAGTGGGCATAGTCCTGTTCTCGACAGTACTTAGGCAGCCAAAACCTTCAGGACACCAATGCCTCACAATCCTCGTCCATTGCAAGAAGCGGGAAATGAAGCTATCGCGAGCGCAGCCTCGGAAATATGTCAAACAGAGATCGGCTCAACGACGTTTGATTCCCAAGTGCCTTGGTCACGTCACCCTGACCCACCGTGGCGAACATCCAAGCCACACTGACTGAACCCATTCCAGAGGCTCGCGATCATGCAGGTGCCCTTCGGGAATGGGACACGTCAAAGACAATGTTCCCGCGTCGTTCCGCGTGAAGCGTCTGAAGGATGCCCTGTCCACGCCATCGATCCACAAGGACGACCAAGAATTGTGCAAATATTGGCCGTGCCAGACTGTGCGGACTGTGAATGATGACACCACGGCTCAGGCCATGCCCATTGGCTCCAACAACACAGCAGTTGACGGATGAGGTGATTAACAAAGATCCGGAAAGAGGTCAATCACTTGAGCGGCAATTAAAACCTCGGCATGTAAAGCGTAATAAGGTGCCGATGTCCGCGTTGATTCTGACGGTTTTGGGTAGAGTTCCCTATATTTCCCCCAGCCTTAAAGCCTGCGCCGGTTCGGCACCCCGTTTGAATTCGCCGAAGCCGAAGGGCGCACATTTCACGATAAGTCTTCCCAAGGGGAGCCATAGGTGTCCTGTTGCTCAGCGAATTTGGTTAGCAATAGACGGGTTCCACTGGTTTAGAGTGGTTTTATAAACCATTCACGGCCATCCTTATTTCATTATTATTCCAAAATTGGTCACCTGGAGCGAGTTGGCTCAAACTCTGCGTGTCTGACAGCCAATCCCCGCGATCAAGGCAAATGATGACACACTCTAGATTTGTGCGTTCCTAACAACTTATCCTCTACTGCAAATGGCATGTTTTGCTTCATCTGTTGAAAAGACTGGTTTGTCAAGGAGTCAATATCACGGCCTTTGGAACATTCAGGTGTTGGAGTCAGGCAAAGCTACATGATCTATTCGCAACCGGGTTGACTCCACTTGAACAAAATCGGCCTTCGAACAGATTCCAAGAACTCTTCAACATCAGAAGCCTCTCTTCATTGTTGGAGGGCGTTTGGTTTCTGGGGACGACCCTGCTCAGATCAAACTTAATTAGTCAAACATGAGGGTCTGTGGTCTTGAGAGGGGCAAAGGGACTCACGAAACTCTGAACCACCACAACCCATGCTCAGTACGTGTCTACGCCAAAACGGCTTCCCCCACAATTGGAAAAGGAGACTAAAACCTGCGGTCCCCTGGATCCCAAATGTGGAACACCCAACTTCACGGTTGTTCTTGGGAAACGCTTCTTACATTTTGCTTTATTGCGGTTTAGGTGGTTGAAATCCAACCACTGAGCTGCCAAAGCTTCATGTGTTGGTTCCCTTCCTCCCCCCGCTGAGATATCCTCTTCCTCGAGACCAGCGCTCTGACGGGCGAAGGGGCGGGATGCCGAAAAAGCGCTCGAGTTTGATCGTCCGGTTTTTGTCTGGTCCGGTCTGGAAAAAGCAGACAGCGTCCCCCGACATGAAACGACCTGTGGGTTTTCCTATGCCACAATCATTTTTTTTGGTAAGGGCCAGTCCCAGCCAGAAATAGGTGCGGCCGCCCTTTAATTTCCTTTCGGATTTGGGTAGACCATTTTGTGGTTGGGTCCAAACTGGGTAACTGAGGCGCAGAAAGGTTCTCACCCAAACAAGAACAGGGACATCCATGATGAGCGGGCCCTGAAAACTGCTGGTTCCCGTGTGTATGACACTCATTCCCATGTAGAGCATTAGTGTTTCAGGATTCCCATGTGATAAAGTGGCCAAGGGGATAGATGCGGGTGTTCACGATTTTTTTTCACACAGAGGCTGAATCCCCAACCAGCACGAGAGTTTCAGCTCTGAATAGGCGGTTGAAGCTTCACCTTTTGGAAAGGCCAAATAAAATTGAGTTCCTTTGGAGGCATGATGCGGGGTGATGTATGGACACGTAGGGAACCCTGACAAGTTTGTCCCACATGTTTAATCATGAACGTTTGAGGCATTGCCCTTGACTAGCATGATCAACGGAAATATGTTTTATTCCTACGTGCTGGGTTGAACACTGACTGGGATGCCGTAGGAGTGGTGATGCTTCCGTTTCATGGGGATGCTGGTAAGGCCTATATCAGGTTGCATAGCCATCTAGAGCCAAAAGAAGTCATGTTTCCGCCCGCAGCTTTTCCTCAGCCACGCAGCTGCATGCAGGTCGAGGATGTCTTCATCAAAGTGGCGCGAATGATCCTCAATAAAATTGAGGATGGCACAGCCGGCTCAGTTGTGTTACTTCAGCGTCGTTGCCATGCTTTTGGTTTTTTAGGTTGCGTGGTTCTATCCATTTTTAGTAGGGTGCTGACGAAAGCAAAGCTTTTGCTACACCAAGAGTGGGAAAGTTGATCTTCTGAATGTACGGGCTTTATTGTGGGCACGGTATGGGTATTGGCATGAAGATCATATACCAGGTACCACTTGTCTTTCGGGGCCTTTCCTACCTTACAAGCTTATGTTGGTTATATAAGTAGCTCCAAAGCCCAAACCTGGAAATGCCTAGGTTGTACATCAATTTCTGAATCCTTGCGCGTAGGTCGAGGTTTCCGTTTGTGAGGTCCCACAGCGGACTAGACCCCCCAACTCCAACCGTATGGGCAACCTTGATTCACCGCCTGCGTGCCCGCGTGGTTTTATCCATTGACTTGTCGTTTCTACTTGCGGCAGAAAGGTCATTACCAAAATGTCCAGTGGAGAGGATGAATTACCCAGCTCAGTTTCATCTCAATGTACAATGATTATGCGCAGGTGCCCCCATGAGCGTAGCACGATACCAACGAAGCGCCAGTTTCGTGAAAGACTACGGCAAACTCGGGCATGCCCTGATCCGTGCACTGATTTGTCCATGTCCATTACTGGTACCGAGTATTTCAACATATTTCAACCGTGGTTCATATTCAACTTTGAGTAAACCTTTCTGACCCTAGCTGTTGGTACAGCCACAAGTCTATGGGCTCGGAACGCCGCTGCCCACTTGCTTCGACCAAAAATAACCCTTCCTCTTTTTCTGAACTTTACACCTTTTGGGAAGAACATTTATGGCAAACAACAAGTTTGTTTGCTTTTGACCAGTCCACTCAGGAAGTGAGGAACTGTTTATATCCTTTAACCATTTGAAAGATGTAGTTGTCTTCCTGGCCGCCCGCCAAGTATGGAAGTGCGCATGAGAGAAAAACAACTGCAGCACACTTCCCGCTGCTTGTTTGTTTGCTGCGAGGGTAATCGTTTGCACTGGGTCATTCGAACAAAGAGTACTCATAGTTGATCGCATGCTGTGGTGTTTCTTGCTGTTTTGGTCCACCCGTCCCAGCGTGGCCAGGCCTAATCGATCCTCATACCATGGCTGCGCCCTCGGCAACGTTCAGGAACTGCAATTTGTCAAACTCGGGGATCCAAACAACATGGGTGTTTTTGTTTACGCCAACCCCAAACAGGGTACCTTGTTCAAGAAGAACCACATCTTGACAGACACCCGTGTTGGCCCTTCTAGAATCCTCATTTATATGAATATATAGCTGATACGGCAAGTAACGATCCACCAGAAACCGATGGGACCACTCCAGCCTGAGACCCTTCAACCTGCAAACCTATACGGGACCACCCAAAACTGATACCCCACGAATATATTGAGTAATCTGCGGATTGCTCATGTGGGCCTTCTTACTGGGTCAACTTTGCGTACCTTGTCTAAAGTGATGGTAGGAAGGTTAAAATCGTTGGTTCGGGCTTGAACGTTGACCAAGATCACGATCACGAGGCCAGATTGTTTACAATGATATATACATCTTTTGCTAATTCTTCCCCTTTCAATGAGCCCCTCTTGTGAGCGTGCCTGTTTAAAGCTTGGCTGTTATTGGTTTAGATCTTGAGACTGGTGCTTTCCGGGACATGGTGACTTTCCCCAACCTGCAAACAGTCGGACACTTTTGGGCATGCAATTTTGTTGCAACTGATCTCCAGTAGATTCCAAGTCTCTCAACTCCGGCAAATCGGACCTCCAACAGTGGAGGTTTCGATGGAAGCTGCCAGGAAATTGCCACGTTTCAAGGGGAAACCCAGCAACCCCTGAGAGAGGGAAGCCAAACCCCAATCGCCCAGTGGTGCGCTTTATTTCTCAACTTTTTGTTGCAAAGGGTGCCCCAACTCTACCAACCAAAAACTGTTTTATTTATTTATTTGTTTATTTATTCCCGAAAGCATGGCGAAGGGTTCTTCCGCTGGGTTCACTTGAGTTGTTCTCATGAGAGTCATTACAAGGTGTCATTGCAAGGAATCATCATCATGAAAGTCAATGCAAGGAGCCATTGCAAGGAGTCATCATCATGAAAGTCAATGCAAGGAGCCATTGCAAGGAGTCATGTCAAGGTGTCATTGCAAGGAGTCATGTCAAGGAGTCATTGCAAGGAGTCATTGCAAGGAGTCATTGCAAGGAGTCATTGCAAGGAGTCATTGCAAGGAGTCATTGCTAGGAGTCATTGCAGGAGCCTTGCAAGGAGTTATTGCAAGGAGTCATCGCAAGGAGTCATTGCAAGGAGTCATTGCAAGGAGTCAAGTGCAAGTTGCAAGTGCAAGCAGCCAAGTGCAAGCTGCAAGTGCAAGGAATCAAGTGCAAGTTGCAAGTGCAAGGAGTCAAGTGCAATTGACTTGCGAGGAGTTAAAATCTCTTCTTAGGGCGGCGGGGTAGTGCCGACGACACTACACGAAAATCGACCCTCTGCGGGGATCGGCGTGGTTGAGGTGCAAAAACCCATGGTGTTTTGCGATTTCTAACATGCCCGCGCGACCCTCTGCGGGGATCGGCGTGGTCGAGGAGCAAAAACCCATGGTTTTTTTTGCGATTTCTAACATGCCCGCGCGACCCTCTGCGGGGATCGTGGTCGAGGTGCAAAAACCCATGGTTTTTTTGCGATTTCTGCGGTGCTCGCGCGACCCTCTGCGGGAATCGGCGTGGTCGAGGTGCAAAAACCCATGGTTTTTTGCGATTTCTGCGGTGCCCGCGCGACCTTCTGCGGGAATCGGCGTGGTCGAGGTGCAAAAACTCGAGGTTTTTTGCGACTTTTGTTGTTCGAACTGGTCCTCGGGAGTTGTATCGTGGTTCGCACGCCTGCTCCCGGGCCGGCGGGTGGCGGGTTCGATTCCTCCCTGGTCCGCGGGCGGGCGTCGCAAGATGCAACTTGCATTTTAAAGCAACTTGCGCAGACCAACTTGCACCGACCAGTTTGCGCAGAGCGCCTTGCCTAGAGCAACTTGCGCAGAGCAACTTACGCAGAGCAACTTGCACAGAGCAACTTGCACAGAGCAGCTTGCACAGAGCAACTTGCAGGGAGCGCAATTTGCATGCGCTGCACTTGCCGGAGCAACTTGCGCGGAGCAACTTGCGCAGAGCAACTTGCACAGTGCAAGAGACCAACTTGCACCGACCAGTTTGCGCAGAGCACCTTGCCTGGTGCTGTCTCGCGCCAACTTGCACACACTGCAACTCGCACAGAGCAACTTGCGCAAAGCAACTTGCGCAGGGCAACTTGCGCATGTGCCAGGCCGGGGTTTAACAAGTTTGCCGCACATCGTGGGGAGTTATGCTTTCAGGCCAGTCACCCTGTAGGAGTTTGACGCAAGGAGTTCTCATCATGAAAGAAGTTGCGGGGAGCATGGCGCACACGGCTTATTTATGGGCATGGCGCACACGGCTGGTTGATATGTGGCATCTTGCGGATGATCATCGAGATTTGGCTCAAACAGAAGTCATGGAGCTCGAAGTAGCTAGGCTTCAGGCTGGCGCGGCCCAGCATGGCAAAGCGTGGCTGCAGCAAGAGGTGGCGGCCAAAGCCCAACCCCAACTTCGCGCACTCGCCCGACAGCTGGATGTGCGCCAACGGGTCGCAGGCAGCAACGTGACCAAGGCAGACCTAGCTGCCGCTGTCGTGGAGCAGCTGTGCCCACAGGCCAGGATCGAAATCTGGAGAGTTTTGCTGGTGTTTGCTTTGCTGTGCTGATTGTTGCCAGGAGCCAAGCAGTTCTGCGGCTTCGCCGACGCCGGTGTCTCGACTTGGTCGTAGTCGGTGTTTGACGCTATTGTTTTGGATGATGTTTGACGCGTGCTTTTGTTTCACTCAATGAACAGTGCTAACTTTTCCGGATGGGAAGGATTTTGCTTCAAGCATTTGGTATTTCGGACTCAGCAGCTCGCTGAGTGGATGTTGGCTCCCGCCAAACGCAGCAGCCATGGTCAGGATTTTGGAGCTTGATTGCATTCGAGCTTGCCAAGGTCTTGCAGTGTGTGCCGGAAGATGTGCCTTCAGATGGAGTAGGGAAAAAAAGGTATCCTGCAGCGTTTGGCCGACCTCGCTTGCGATGTTATGCTTTCGGGCCAACCGTGGTCTAGTTTTTTATTTTCAACAAACACCCATTGTTTTTGTTTTAAAGAACACTCCAACCTAAGGGTTTTTAGTAATAACCCTTTTTTCAACCCATGGAAGTATCCCTTCGGGGCATCTGAGAAACCGAATGAAGCTTTTGTTCTCAGGTCTCGGGCATCCACACGGGCGCGCAGCGCCTGGAAGGCGCGAATTGGGGCGTTGGCCTTTTGCGAGGTGTGAGTCTCCGGCAGGTGCAGTTGGCTCAGGTTCTCCATACTTGCAAACTGGAAATTATGTTCTACAAATAGTTGCCCTCTCTAAAATAAGTGGGGAGAATATTTGGCCAACTGGAAACCAGAATTAGCTCCCCTTTTGTTTTTTTGCTTTTTTGGGGTTCCCTTTGTTTTCCACTAACCAGGCAAAACATATGTTTTTTTGCTGGGGTCCCAATTCCAGCCAAGATATATACCCCATATTTGGAAATTATCTCTCTAAAATCTCAGCTTTTGGGACCGTGAGTCTCGATCCTTTTGGCGTCTCCTTCGGGAGCCCAGGTTGAAAGGCTCCAGATGGGTCCAATGGATGACGGCGAGCGCGTTTGAAAAAACTGTTGGCTCTTGGCCCCGAAAAGATCCGTGGGTTTCCTCTGGGCTTCCCAAGCCCGCAACACGTTCCCAGGACTTGTTGTTTTTTTTTGGGGGGGAAACAAGGGGAGGTTGTTAGGGTCCTTTCCCCTCCCTTTTCCTGAAGCACCCCCTTGACTCCAGAATGCTCAACTTTCTGCTGCGATGGGAAGGTGGAATGGAATGAACCGGAAGAGGATTCCTGAATAAAGGAAACTACCAGTTGGATGGTTTATGAGGGTCATTGCTGAAATTCCCCACTGAGCCAGCAAGCAGTGGGGTTTCATCTTGGCTTTCCTCAAAGCCAAGGAGGGAATACCTGCAAAAAATGTAGCTGACGTTGGTCCATTTTCCGGTTGTTGATGGGTTCCTTGCTGAAATTGCTAAAACTCCAGGCAACTGGGGTTGAACTTTGAATCCATCTTCGAGAATAGGGAGTCCCCGTTATTTTGAGACAACCTGCACGAGGTCGGTCAAACAATCCAGCAGTGTATGGTCCAAAATTGTGGTTCAGACAGGCCAACTCTAAATTGAACCGGGTTTTCTCAGAACATCCCGGTCATGTAAGAAACAAGCATTTTGGAGGACGCCCATGTTTGGGAAAGCTTAAGCTTACGAGTGGCTCAGCCTTGCTGGGTTCAAGCGCGGACTAAGCAAGTAGGTGGGTTACAAGGGGAAACCGTGAACCACCTTCTCCGGGTTTCCGCTTTCTGGTGGGGCGGGGCTGTCACGGAGAACTCCTCGCCAACTGGAAAGACAACTGGGCGTTGTAAACTGGGGAGGCTCCAATCAACTGAACCTAAGGGTGAAACTTTTTGGACCTTGTATATTTTTTGGATTTTGGGACACTCCAAATCCAAAACCCTCCCTTGCGACAGCTTTCAGGTCCCCTTGAAGGATGGTTCTTGGCTCAGATGCCCACAGCGAATCAATGACCTGTTGGTCAACTTGTCAGTTCGACAAGGGGCCCTAAACAGAGCTTTTGACCCCTATTTCATCATCACTTGTTGATCCTGTGAAACCGTTTTCAGTGGTATTTGGAACTCCCGGAGTGTTGCTAACATGTTGAGCCTGCCACGTGTCCTTTTGCATTTTTTTTCTCGAGCTTGATATAGACGGCCGCCCGTGCGAGGCGGAGCAGAGGCTTCAGCGAACAAGACCTGCTCTTGCTGAAGGCTTGCGAGTTTCGGACGGCGTTGGGAGGCCAGGAGGTTTGGATTGAGGTTCTCTCCCGCTACTTTGGACAGATGGGAATCATATCAATACTGCAAATAGAGGAGTCTTGCCTGATCGCCAAAGGTGCTGGTGTTTAGCAGCGACGCTCAACAAGTGACATCATAGATGAGCATGCTCCTATATGCAATATATATATATATATATAGTGTATGTATACATAGCCCAATTTATTAATCGGGGGGTGGGGGCCGCTCCAAAAGTGGTCTGATTCCCGCCTAAACCCAGCGCCCCCCACTAAACCCAGGGACCATTTGGGTGTTGTGGATTGGCTTGGATTTGGGTGTGAATGGGTCCCTGATTTGTGTGTGGATCAGGGCCCCTGGAAACTCCTTTCGAGGGAAAAGGCGAAGGACTCGCAACGTCTAGCGCTGGACCATGCCACCTCTAAACGATTCGTTTTGCGGCCCTGGAACGGTAAAGAATCACAAGACACAAAAGGCGGGTCGACTGTCTCTGACAAACAAGCCTCCTCTCGCCAATATCTGTTTGGAGGGAGTGGTTCGTTGTTTCCCGTCACCAGCCAGAAAGCTTGTGTGAGATTTTGCTAGAGCCCTCAGACAGCTCCCTATGGTCGTTGTTCTGTCCTCTCTGGTGAGGTTCTTCGCTCTACGCTCGCGCTCCGGGCTGAGGGTATTGCAGCCGTTCAGCGGCAGCCAAGGATTAGGAGCGCGGGGTTAATGTTGAACCCGGATCTAAGTAGAAGCCGTCATATTATGTCTTTTTGGGGGGGGTGTTCCCTAAAAGTGGTTTGAACCCCCATATTCAGTGGGGACACCCAGACCCATCTCTCAAAATCAGCCCGGGGTTCTGGCTCCCAAAAAGGCCGTCAAAAGCCAAAGCTCGACCTAAACAAGGGAAACATAAGAATTATAAGCCTTTGCCAGAAGAAGTTGGTTTGAAAGTGAATGTACCACTACCGCAAATATGCTAGTTGTTCGAGGCTACTTCAGCAAATTTCCAGGGACCCTAAGCAAAGGAAGGATACGGGCTTAATGATAGGCTGAGGCTTTGGGGCTGGTAGGGTCCATGGAACTGTACAGAAAGACGCCAGCTTCGTTTCGCAAGCGGAAAATGACCAGCGCACTGGGCGGGTGCTCGGGGGCTAGTCCTTCTGTCTCCCGTTGCGAAAAGGCAGCTCGTAGATTTTGCTTGGGTGTTCAAGCAGCTTAGTAAGCAGGCATAGGTGTCCTTTTTAGGTTAGTTTGGCTAGAAATAGATGGCACTGGTTTAGGCGGGTTTCATTTCCTTTACAAGGGCCGTCTATTTTACCAAAAGGTCACCTATGTAAGCAGGGTTACAGCCATGGTCATAGCTGGGGCAACTGGGGCAACTGGGGCAACTGGGGTTAGTCTCCTTATAAGCATGGTTGAACACTCCAGTCCTGGTGACCAACGCACGCCAATCGACCAGAGACGTGAGAAGGAAACCCGCCCATCTCCCCCCTCTCCTGTGAAGGTCCCTCGTTGATGCTTTGGATGGCCGCCGCGAACGTGGTTCAACGTTACAATCCACCCCCCCCCAAACCCAGATGGCCAAGCTATTCAGCCCATGCTGGGACTTTTTGGGTGGGCGGCTGGGGGGGATGCTTGAGACATCCTCCTTTGAGGTCTTGGTGAGAGGGAGGTTGAAACTTTCTGTGATACCAAGGTGGCATTCCCCCTTGGAGTGACAGGGACAGGGAGGGCCTCCTTTGGTATCACAACAGTAGATTCCCACATCCAGGGAACAAGCCCCCCAACCCACATCTTGCCATTGGTTGTAAGCTACTGACAGGGTTGTACCCAACTAGAGTGCGCCCAGTTCACCCTTTCAATAACAACACAACTTTGAGCATGCAGCAAGAGCGAAGATGCAAGCCCAAGCGTTGAGGCTTGATTTCCCCCGGCTTAGGGATCTGAACGGAGCAGTTCGCCGGCCGATCAGAGGCACACAGATCCACAGAGAACGGCGGGAAGCACAGGGGCCATGATCAAGCCCTCCGCCCCGAAGCACAGAGCGGTTGAGCCAAACTGAAAAGCAAGCAGGCAACAGGTCAGCAGTTGCGGGCTGACGAAGAACCTTGGTGGGAACTTCGGAGCAATGGGCGCAAGCCTAGGCTGTGCTTGGATTGACTGGAGAGAATTTGGGAAAGCAGCCGAGGAGAGGTGACCTCCACAAGGTGATGTTGAAGAACATGTCATGCCTAGGGCGGTGGTTACAGTAGGGGGTTGTCTCACTTGTGAAGGGGTTTATGACTTGACCAAAGCCCCGAAGTGGTAGCTGGAAAAACCAAGGGCCCCTTCTCTTGCACAAATCAGGGAGCCTTTGCGCGACCTGCCAATGTGTTATCAAGGTCTTTTGTTTTGTGGTTCTTCATCACCATGGCTGCTACTTCCCCCACCAGCATACGGGTTCTTTGCCTCAATCACCAGATTCGCAAGAAGCGGCCCACAAATCTGTTCAGTTGGCCGTGATGCAAATGGGAGTCGAATTGAGAATATCTTGCGAGCCATCCTGCCTTGCGCCGTGCTTGCTCCTTTGGACTTGGCCAGTTGTTTCCTTGCAGGGCAGTTGCCCTTGTTTGGAGCCATGCCGAGTTCCAAGCCCCACCCGTCCATCTCCGGCGCTATAGCTTTGTTCAACGCAGTTGCAAACTCAGATACTCACTTGCCCAAGGCGAATCGACCTTTTGACTTTTTGGCTTCCCAATTTGCCCCAAAGGCAAACACCTTGGTGTCGAGGTCCTTCGGGCAAGTGAGCATATGAGGGCTGCTTTTCGCGCGTTTGGCGCACTGCGCGGTTTGATTGCAGGAGCTACCAGCAAAGCAGCTATCAAGGTTCAGACCTACCTCAGTTCGAGAAAAAGTAGAAGGGGATAGCTGAGACAGCTGACTATGACTATGATCCCAGCAAACAGGTTCTGCGATGTTGTTTGCTTCGGCGAGGGATTCTGCGAAGTGGTTCCGCCAAGCACTTCTGAGCGATTCAGCGACGGAGTTTCTTTGCATGCGTAGTTTGCTGGGAAGTTCTGCGAAGGGTTCTGCGAAGTCCTTCCGTTATGCGCGGCTGCCGTTCTGGCGGTGCCACGCTTTAAGTGGCGCTGCGAACAGGGCGGTGCCAATGAGGTTGTGTTGGCCGCCAGCATAGATGGCGTGAGGGGAATCATGTTGCCTTCGCTTTGAGCGCACGGAGCACTTGGAGCCGTTGCGCTTGCAGCGGCCATGCATGCCACACCTCGCACCCCGTACCTCGCACCCCGCGCGTCGCGCGTCGCCCGTCGCACCCCGCTCGTCGCACCCCCGACATCGCAAGATGAAAATGATGGTGGCGCAGTATCACACAGCCCATCGCCAGTGGGATGGTATATGAAGAAGCCACGCAAGATCTCGCAAGACCCCAAATACCGCAAATGAGCATGGACGTGCCAGGAATCGAGCCTGGGGCCGTCCAAGGCATCCTCACTGTCTACAGCTTTATCATAGAGGCGGTGCACTCACATCGTTCGTTACCTTTCTCCTCCCTACATATCTTCACCAAATAAAAAGGGGAGGATAAAAAGTGAGAGTTAGGAAAGGGAGGTGATGGCCTGTAGAAGTATTTTAGCCATCACTACTGGCCACATGCGCTCACAACTTTTTGCGTTGGCTTGCCTTGCACCGGCAGCGCGGTAACTTGTCAGCCCTCAAGATTTGAAAGCTGGCGCGCGTTGGGAGCTGACGCGTCTTTGTCTAGCAGTTGCTTTCGTTGCTACTTCGAATGGCGAGAGGAGCGTGAGATGACCTCACAAGGCGCACTGAGGTGGACACATCGCCTACTGCGGACTGGACTTGATCTTGCACCAGTTTGAATCCATGATTCAATCCATTGTTTGCTGGTATTTTTAGGGGAATCATCATTCCAGGGTTTCTGAAAGGTGGTGCGAAATGGATTTCGTCCCTCCACGGTAGTTTGGAGCCCGCCAGCTCGGCTGTTGCCAATGCCTCCTGACAAGCCTCGAGAAACTGTTGCAAAGCCTCACGTTGCGCATTGAATCTCCTCATTAGCTTGCGTGCCGTTCACGGCTGTCTGTGAAAACTTTTCCCCCCCTGTCCCGTTCTTCCGCGGAGCTGCCTTGGGCTGCCCCAGCCCGCCGGGGAGACGTCACAAGCGGCCGCGAAGGTCCGAGCAGTGTTGCGCCTAGCTTCTTAGCGCCGAGCGTGCACATGCGCGCCATCGTGCGCCCACCAACCACTTTTGAGGCGGATCCCTCTTAACACTCATAGCCAATTGATGAGGCACCGGCAACAAACTTTGTCATGGCGAAACACGCTGCCCAAGCGCGGGCTACTTAGAAGCAGCTGTGTGTTGGCTGCAAGCAGTGCGGATCTCATTTTTTGGCCACTCTGTGAGTTGCTCAGTACCTGGGACCAAGTGGCAGGTTTGTTTTGTGTTTAGGGACCTCTGCTGGGTGGTTTTGAAGAGGAGCCAAGAGGGAAGCCACCCTAGGGTTCGAATTTTACTAGGATCATGGTTAACCCACTTTAGATGATGACAATCCCTAGGTAGGGTCTCCTAAACTGGGGTCCCCTAAAAGGAGACACGCCCATGAAACAAAGATAGAAAATTGCCCTGGGTAGGCGCGCCGTGCTGCTGCTGCCCAGACAGGGCGCGGTGCTCGAATCGAGTTGCGCGCTCGGGAATCGAACCGCCAGCGTCCAACCGGGGAAACGAAACGGCGATTTGGACGAGAGTCAACCCATGTTCTTGCTTCCCTTTTCCTGAGGCTTCCGCCAAACAAAGACACCCAAATCCTCATAGGGGTCCTCTTCAGAGCTTCAGAGCTTCACGTATTCTAAAGGGTCCTCTTCAGAGCTTCAGCCGTGCCATTTACTCGGGGGCGTCCTTCCGAAATTAAGAAAGAACAGGTGCCCGAGTCAGTTTCAATCGGGTAAGGTGTGTCTCAAAGAACAAAGGTGGGATTTCAGGTCGGGGCTCAAAAGTGGGATATCATCAAAGTGAGTCTACCTGGACCCTCAAACCATGGAAGAATGCCCCCATATTTTTTGAAACCCAACAACCCAGTTTCAAGGGACATTTTTGTGGGTTCAGGTAGACACTAGCTGAAAGTACCGGCGCTGCAGCCCTGGCACTAAGGACCCCCTGCACCCTGGGACGGTCGGGGAAACACGTCAGGCCACTTTCTGTTATATCCAATGCCGAAAAGTCCTAACCACCCAGGGATGTTCCTTTCAAAAAGTCAAAATCGCCCACTTCAGGTGATGTCCAATGCCGCAAACATCCTCACCACCCCAGGAAGATCAGCTGAATCCTGCAAAGCGGTTTTGGGCCGCTTTCCGGCTCCGCAGGCTGATGCGGATGAGGCGATCTTGGCAGCGCACTTAGTTGCTGTTGGTTACTTCTTCCCCTTTGCGGTTCCCCATTTTTAGTGGTGATCCTGGACCCAGGTTCCCTTTAGACATATTGCCCCAAAGCTGCAGGGTGAGCTTTTTGTTTTACAGGCAGTTTGAGGGGGATGAGATGATAAAAGATGGCTTCTGGGACAGTGAGTGAATGGGAATGTTTGGATGAGATTAGATGGTTGGGAGAAAGGAATGACCCAACCCATCCTCATCCATCCCCTTCCTTCTCCTCCGTCGTCTCCAGGTGATTACATGGGATGGAGATAATGACGGAGGAAACAGGAGATGGAAGGCCACACAAAGGCATTCTCACGTCGTACCTCCTCCTCTATCCATGCCATATTCCATCACCTTCGATTTTTGGGCCCCCTAAGGTGTGTCTTAAGAAGCCTTATGATTGATGGTCTTGGTGTGGAAAGCAAGTCAAGAGTAGAAGCCCATTTCGGAGGTTGTCATGCATTGGCGAAATCGGCAGGTTGAGCATTGGTGTAGAATTGCCGCAACCAAAAAGAAGAGTTGGTGGTCTGGGGAAACGATATTTATAGGCTGTAAAGGGTGCATTGATTAATAGCGGGAAGAGATGAACATCGATCTCATTCACCATTCATATCATCCATTATCCCACTGTATCCACTTTCCCCACCAGATCTTAGGGCTACCCCTCTGCGCCTTTGTGTATATAATATATAGTGTGTGTCAAAATAGGGCGGACCCCAGAAAGGTGGCTTTCCTTTTGGTTCCCCTTTAAACCAACCCAAAGACAGGTACCGTCAAAAGAAACCCGCAGACTCACCAAACCGAGAAAACTCACTATAATGTCCCCATGTCCTGTTGGGAAAGCGTTCGCAAGTTTGACCATGGTCGTATACAGTAGGTTTTTTTTTAGGGGACCCCCCCCCCAAAAAAAAGAAAGAAAGAGAAAGGAACGAAGCAAAAGCGAACAAACACACATCGCATAGCGTGGTTTCCGTGTTGGTGTCCCTTTAAAGAACCACGACAAAGGGGCCCCACCCTTCCCCGAAACGACCTGTACCCTTGGCAAACATCCAAATAGGTGACAAATGGATGTTCATCCACCCCAAAATGGAGCCACAGGTTATGCCCCATGGACATTTATGTCTCGATGCAAATGTCTGGCGCCTCGATTGGTTTCGGGTTCTTGTCGGGGGGCAACCCGAGGTGCCACCTCCGAAGCTTCAAATCGGCAAGCGGGGCAGCCAGCTCAAGGCCAGTTGTGTTTTTTTCTTTGTTGTGTTGCTTCTGTTTGTATTATTATTATTATTATTTTATTATTAATTATTATTTTATTATTATAATTATTATTTATTATTAATTATTATTATTAATTATTATTACGTGTTTTATTATTTTAATTATCATTATTATTATTATTATTATTATTATTATTATTATTATTATTATTATTATTATTATTATTATGACGATTATTTGTTATTACATTGTTGCGGTAAACAGGGGTCCAAATTTGAGGCGACACCTGAAATCGAAAATCGAAGACGAACATACATGTTAATTTGAGCACCGCCTTGGGACACTGAAGACGAAAATTGGGCGAAGACGAAAATCAGGCGAAGACGAAAATGCGGCCGAAGACGAAAACGAAAACGAAAATGAGCGACCCCAGGCACGAAGCTAAGCAGTCCGCGAAGACGAAAATGCCGCTATGAGGGTAAGCACGGTGACGCGCTTTTCCGCGAAGGCAAAAGACGGGCGAAGACGAAAATGCCGCCGAAGACGAAATTGAAGACGAAAATCGGGCGAAGACGAAAATGGGGTGAAGACGAAAACGCCGCCGAAGACGAAAATGAAGACGAAAATCGGGCGAAGACGAGAATGGGGCGAAGACGATATTTCCGCCGAAGACGAAATTGAAGACGAAAATCGGGCGAAGATGAAAATGGGGCGAAGACGAAATTGCCGCCGAAGACGAAATTGAAGACGAAAATCGGGCGAAGACGAAAATGGGGCGAAGACGAAATTACCGCCGAAGACGAAATTGAAGACGAAAATGGGGCGAAGACGAAATTTCCGTCGAAGACGAAATTGAAGACGAAAATCGGGCGAAGACGAAAATGGGGCGAAGAGGAGCCGCAGCCTGTTCCGAGAGGCTCTGAAAGGACCAGCCCGGACATGAAGCAGGTGGCTCGTAACGACCGCCACGAGGCGGACCCCAAACCCCCCCCCCGTTTCGAGAATGTCCGCTTTGGCTCACACTGCAGGGCTCTGCTAACCCCCCCCCCCTTTGGCAGTCCGGACATCGTCTCCCTGGCAAACAAAGGTGGCAGGGCCAGGACTCGCAGCTTGGGAGCGAGGCGAGCTAGCAGGGGTCCCGCACTACGGTGGGCGGAAAGGTTGCCACTGGACGGGACAGCGCCGTCTGCGGTGAAGAGCACGGACTTGGAACGAAGAAGACACCGGAGTCGAATAGAGAGGTCTAGTCCGCAGTAAAGAGCAAGGGTCTGAGACGAAGAAGGCGGGGGAATAGAAAAGGGAGGTCTAGTAGCGAAAGCACCGTCTGTGACGAAGATGAGGAGCAAGGATTTGAAACAAAGAAGGCGGGGGAAGCGAAAAGAGAGGCCTCGACACGAAAGTGCCGCCTGCAACGAAGAGCAAGGGTCTAAAACGAAAAGGCAGGTCCAGAAACGAAAGCTTGAAGCGAAGAAGACGAGGGAATCAAAAAGAGAGGTTTAGTAGCGAAAGCGCCGTCTGTGACGAAGATGAGGAGCAAGGATTTGAAACAAAGAAGGCGGGGGAAGCGAAAAGAGAGGCCTCGACACGAAAGTGCCGCCTGCAACGAAGAGCAAGGGTCTAAAACGAAAAGGCAGGTCCAGAAACGAAAGCTTGAAGCGAAGAAGACGCGCGAATCGAAAAGAGAGGTCTGGACACGACCACGGAAGAGCAGGGACTTGAAGCGAAGAAGACGGGAGAGAGGTCTAGCGCAGTAACGGGAGAGAGGTCTAGCCCGCAAAAAAAAAAGAGCAAGGATCTGAGACGAAGAAGACGGGGGAATCGAAAAGCGAGGTCTAGTGGCGAAAGTGCCGTCTGTGACGCAGACGAGGAGCAGGGATTTGAAAGGAAGAAGACGGGGGAAGCGAAAAGAGAGGCCTCGACACGAAAGTGCCGCCTGCAACGAAGAGCAGAAACGAAAGTGTGTGTTTTTTCCACGCATGTGTTGTTGACATACGTGTAAATGACACACGTCTCGAAGGGGGAAAGCCAAGAGAGACAAGAGCGTCTAGGCGCAGAGAAACGGAGCGTTTTTTGGCTTCACGCATTCAGAATTGATTGACGACTTGTGGTCTGAGGGGCCGAGATGCAGGCGATTGGCTGTATTTTCCCCTTGTTTGTTCCCCAGATAGCTGAAAGGTATAGGGGTTCTAACTTCTAATGGAAAGGGGAAAGTGATTTGCAAGATTGATGGGAGGGTGCTAGGGGCGTGCAGTTGGGGTGCTGGTGTAGGTGCTGTTTGGGGTACTGTCTGGGGCGTGCTGGTGAGATTGACGGCCGGGCGCTGGCGTACATGCAGGTGACGGCGCGGGCGCATTTTGCAAGATTGACGGTAGGGTGCAAGCAGGCATGCAGTTTGGGGTGCTGGTGCGGGTGGTGCTTTGGGATGCTGCTTGGTTGGTGTGCTGTTAGGTCGCGAGTTGACGGCTGGGTGCTTTGGGGGTGCAGTTTGGGGGGTGCAGTTTGGGGGTGCTGTTCGGGGTGCTGTTCGGGGTGTTGCTCAGGGCGCACGGGGGTCATGCAGTTTTGGATGCTCTTTGGGGTGCTGTTGGAGGTGTTCGTGACGGGGCGGGCGGGTGTACAATCGTCGGCATGTTTTTCGCTATCTGGGGTCTATGCTGGTGCATTTTAAGTAAGACGGCTAACCACATGGAGGACACATTTTTGATTTCCGGCACACTGCGCACGGCAAGCCGGCAGTGGGCTGGACCAGCTCCAAAGCCGCTGATTTGCGCACGCTGTGTCTGATTCGCTAGAGCAACCGATTTAGGGCCCTGGGGCCCTTTGCCCGATTGTCCGTCGCGTTTGAAACTTTTCCGCTTTGGGGTTCAAGGACGAGGCGATCGTGATGACTGATGGCTCAAGCGACGAGATGCAACGCACGAATCCGTTTCTGGCACGTGTTTCTTGCGCGTTTAGATGCAGTCAGTGCCAGGGTTTTCATGAGACGCAACATTTAAGTTCAGCTTTTCTCAACTTGGACGGTGCATGTGGATGAATTCCCCTGGGCTTGCTTGTCCCATTGAGGGCCCAGGCTGAATGCGACTACCCTCCTACTGTTAAACAAATGGAGGCCATCCCTCAGAGCAGCCTCCCGTGCGTGCTTCGGCAACTCTTTGGTAACGGGCGCCGTCACCTTGCGGTTGGCGTTGTTGTTTGGAGTGATCGGCCCTTGCGTCCCTGGTTCAAAGCTTGAGCTCGCCGCACCACTCCTCGAAAGCTGCTCTTCAGCCTCAGAATCCGATGTCGTTCCACCGAACTCCTTCTCCCGGCACCGCGGAAATGCAATCCCAGTGTTTTTTTTGTTTTTTTGTCGTGCTCATGAGCACGGATGTGTCCATGAACCGCTATGGGCCACGCCGGAGCTGCGTGTGTTGAACATGGCCACATGCCTTCGGCGGCCCGGGAGATCACGCGGCACCTGGGCGCGGGCCGCAGATCTCCAACAGGTGGCCGGGAGAGGCTGCGCACTGGGCCATGGCAACCCCAAGTCCTGCTTTGGTCTGCACATGAGTCTTTTAGTGGAGGGAGAGGGGTTCTCCTTTGTTGATTGTGTCCTTTAGGGCTGGGTTTTTTCTTTTGGCTTAAGGGGGCCCTCATAAAGCAAGCCACCAAAAGTAAGTTCGCCCCAAGATGTTCACTCGGGACCCGACGTGGAGGCGGGCGGAGGACAACTATGGCATGACGGTCGAAGCGCGGCTGGTGCTTCAAGGCTTCCAGGATGCAAAAGATATGGGTGTGGCACTAGGGTACCTAATGTACCCTCCCTGATGAATTTCTGATATACGCAGAGATTATCTCTAACTATTAAAATTATATGAACATGCTTTTAAGGCATTTGACATAGACATAGTTTGTTTTTTAATATATATATATATAGATATATACACATGTAGTGGAGAGGTCAGGATGGGAGAGTCCTTTAGGGCCGGGATTTTCTTTTGGCTTAAGGGGGCCCTCAGAAAGGAAGCCGCCAAAAGAAAGTTGGCCCCAGGATGTTCACTTGGGACCCGACGTGGAGGCGAGGACAACTATGGCATGACGGTCGAAGCGCGGCTGGTGCTTCAAGGCTTCCAGGACGCAGAAGATTTCCTGAAGTGTCAGCTTTTGTGTGGAAAAAACGATGATTCCAGAAGTAGGCCGGATTTTAGGCCGTTTTGAGCACAGACAGAGTGGAAGACGATTGCCGTTTTTTGGGATTTCAAGAGCTACATCGGCTCACCGCATCGGCAGAAAACGCCTTTGGCCCAGGGATTACGGATTAGGATCAGATGGGCGACCCAAAACGGGGGATGTTAGGGGGCTTCGGGGCACGCGGTACAACTCTATCACTTTGGTTTTGTCAATCCTCTCACCCACGAAACAACCTGCTTCCCTAGATTATTTCGCCCACTTTTTTTGTTTTCGCATCCATAGCATAGCAAGATATGGGTGTGTCCTTTGAGGAAACCGTGAGAAGATGGTTGTGGCACTAGGGTACCTAATGGGAAAAGGGTAGCCATGTTTTATGGTTTCCAGCTTGGCATGGGAAAGCTTTTTGGGTTTTCCAGCATGGTTACTCCCCTGTGGTAAGGAAAACAGAAGGATACCAGCCAGTTTCGGGGAACTATTGGCCCAACTTCTGACATATAGCTCTAATGAACTTTTGGTTTGAAGGAAGCTAAAGTTTAGCTGGGTGTATCCCCGACTAGGGGCCCGAGAACTGGTGGTTGGTTTGGGTTAAACCCACACTGGCATTTTTATAGGCGGTCTTTTACCGGGGTCCCCAATGGGGCCAAGGGGGCAAAAGGAACATTGTGCCGGTTATGGTTATCTGGTTGACGCACTAGATATTGCAAGCGCACCATGGACCACGGCTTCAAAGCTCAAAATGGAACGCGCTGGGGCTACCCGGATTTTCAAAATATGTCCCGGTCCTTTTCTCTCTCTCAGATTTTCGCGATGTTGCTTTTATGTTGCGACTAGTGTGTTTTGTGTGG